AAGGGAAAGTAGGTTAATTTCACAGATACAAAGAAAAATGCCAACCAACAAAATGCCAGGCCTTCCCTGCCAGACCTGAGGCCATGGCGGCATGTTTGTGACAATCTGCATGGAATGCGGAGGCCCCTAAGTGTCCCAGTGACAGTCCATTGTGGCCAAGGGGCCAGGGCTCTGACTCCGACGCTCTCTGGCCTGCTTCCTGGGGAGAGTCTGCTTTCCCTGACAGTGTCAGTTATTTCCTCTGCGCTGTTTCTTCTGGTTTGACTTACCCCTTGAGGAAAGGAAGTGGCAGGACCACATCAGAAGGGTGGGTGTCCAGAAGCTCGTGGACCAAAGGATGACATTTCAAAGGCTCTTCCTATTCTGTGCCTCCTTTGTGGCTCTCACAGCCCCGGGACTGCTGATTGCTGTCTGCATTTTCTAGATGCAGAAAAAAAATCCAGAGATTAACTGTTTAAGACAAGGTCACAGAGAGGCAAAGTGGTACCGTGGGTAGAGGTCAGGGAGGCAGGCAGCGTGCTGAAATGCTGAGGTCAGTTTCCCAGGCCTTGCCGGTAGGAAAGGGGTGTGTGTGTGTCTTCTCTCCATCAAAGGGGCCTTTTGCTGCTGTTTCCATCCAACAGGCAAGATGGCAAGCCAGGAGGTGGCAGAGGATGTGGAAAGAAGCTGTGTCTTCTCACGGCAGCGGGATGGCTAGCCCCATGTGCATTGAGGGAGTGCCAGGAGCTGTGCCAGGCATCTCACCTGATCCCCACAATCACACTTCACCTAAGAGGACACAAGTCACCCTGGGAAAGAAAAGGCAGTGGCTGCTTTACCATCCGTTTGCATAACTAATGGCATTGACCGAGTGACCACTTGGGCAGAGCCTAGACTCTTGGCTGCTCCACGAAGGCAGGCAGGGAGGTCGTGGCAGGTCTCCTCTGTGCCTGTAATGGAGGAAGTGGTGGGTCGGTCAGTCAGGCACTGGGCTAGGTGCCGAAGTTGCAAGAGCCTCCTGGGGCTTGCAGTGGTTGCGGTGCGGAAGACATCTTCCTGTACCCTTCTGGGTTCTTCTCAGGCTGGTCATGTCATCAAAACCTTATCAGATAGGTTAGCAATGAAAATAACAGGTATGGCAAATTTATGTGGTTGTAAATTCTTTTTTTTTTAAAAAAAGGATTTATTTATTTATGCCTATAAGAACGAGGGTGTAGGCCAGAGGTGTGGGGGGCGAGGTGAAAGGGTTCCCCAGAGACAGAGTGGGGAGCTGAACAGGCAGATCTACTGAAACACACTGCTGAGGGGAGCAGCGGGCGAGTCAGGAGAGGTCTGCTGCGCCATGTGGGTTACTCCCTGGCTGGGGATCGAACTCGAGCTGCAGAGGCTGTGGATAGCTTCATAGTGCTGAGACTTAACCCCTTGCACCACAAGGGAGGCCCTGTGATTGTAAATTCTAAAGAATAATGGAGGAGACCGGGAATATTTATTCTGCATCTTAGGAACTGGGCCATTAAGGACAGGAAGGAGGAGACTCTCACATGACAGATAAGAAGCAGGAGACCTCATCCTCACTCAGAGATTCTTAGATAGTGAGGACCAATTCACTGATAAACCTAGAAGTAGACGAGACTCCCCTCCCCAAATTAATTCATCTAGGTATCTCTTCTTGGTTGAGGGGGGTCATTAGTGAGGGAGGCCAGCAGGATTTGGAGGACGGAAGCTGCTTCTAGCCTTCAGGGCTATCACGAAAAATAATCTACTTTCTTTACCTGATGGTAACAGACCTCCCGAGGTCACAGGGTCTTGACTGACCTCTAGTTCCCAAATCAAGGTGACAAGGGTCTGCTCCGGACACACTGAGAAAAGCCTACACTGACCCCACACAGTCTAATGGGGAGATTGGGGTGCAGATAATAACTCATTAAACAATTGATAGGACCCTACGTTCAGATATTGACAAATGCTGCAAAGGAAAGAAAACAGAATGGCACAGACAGCTTGCGAAACAGTTGGGTAAGTCTGTAAAATTTCAGTCTACACCCATCATGTGATTTAGTCATTCCACTCCCGGCTGTTTGCCCAAGTAAGTGTCAGGAACTATCCCCTGAATGGCTGAATGATTCCGTTCTGCATGTGAGTTTCTTTGCTGAAGGTCCAAGGATAAAATTTGGCAGAGACAGACAGGCTTGGTGAGGGACGTGAAAATTATAAACCTGAATTCCAAAGGTGGACTCCCTAAAAATATGACCCCAAAGCTGGTGGAATGCGGTTATGGGGGGGGGGGGCAGTAGTGTTCCCATCATGGAGACCCAGTCATGGGAGGGACACTGGCTCCTTTGAGAATACAGATAGTTTCAACTTTGCTTTGTTCCTCTGCCTCCCCCCATACCCTACGCCATCCCTAGCCATCTGGGTCTTGTGTGCCCTCCACCACCACTGTCCCCACCCCGTGCCTCTGGCCCCAGCTGGTGGTGATGAATGCAGTGTCCCTGTGTGAGCGGCGGGAACAATCCACAGACTCAGCCTTGAGCTTACCTGGGCTCTCTGTCCTCCCCACAGCTCAGCCTGCTGCATTTTCCTACCAAAGAGGCCGTGGAGCTGACTGGCTCAATGTCAAGGTCCTGGAGCCAGAACTCAATTCCCAGCGCTGGTTCACTGCCAAGCAGCGCTGTACCTTTGGGCAACCTCTTAAGTCTGGCAAACTCAGTCCCCTTACTGTAAATGAGGCCTCCACCTGGGGTGATGGGAAGCAGTTACTGTGAATCGCTTTTCACATCATCTGCCGCAAAACAAGGACTTAATGTCAGCTCCAAGCCCTGGAGATGGTTGTTGGCATTTTCTCCTTCTAAGCTGATCACGGTCTGCCTACCTACGGGCTGGGACTGAACATCTCTAGGAACTGGGGTTGCAAGGAAACTGGCAAATAATAATATAATAATAATGTGATCATATCTGCCACTCATTAAGAATTACTCTTTTCCAGGTACTTTGCCAATAACAATCTTTAACAATAATTAGCAAGTAATTAATAATGACCGTAGTAGCCAAGGCTGACTAGTGCTTACGACAGGCCAGGCACTGTTCTATATTTTCCTAACAATTTGAGGAAGGTACTATTACTGTCCTCATTTATTTATAGATAAGACGGAAGCACAGGAGGCAAAGCAAATTGCCTCATTTATTTTAATTTTTGCATAGAAGAACTGAGGTGTAGGCCAGAGGTATGGCAGGTGGGGGGAGAGGGAGGGTAAGAGGATTCACCAGAGACAGAGTGGGGAGCAGAACAGGCAGACTGACTGAAATACACTGCTGAGGGGAGCAGCGGGTGAGACAGGAGAGGTCTGCTGTGCCCTATGTGGGTCAGCTCCCTGGCCAGAGATTAAAATCAGGCCATAGCAGTGACAGCACTGAGACTTAACCCTAGGCCACCAGGGAGGTGGCCTCAACTTGTATAATTTCAACCAGTAAGTGGGGACACTCAGACTCCTGAGCTCTGCTTTACAGCTATTCTCCGTGTGCTGTGAATCCCGAAAAATCAACCTAGATAGAGACATAGGATGGGTCTCTACTGCTTTCCAGCTCTCCATCGCAGCGGCAGGGGCCAGGCTGCCTGTTTCCTGGCCCGCAGATAGGCCTGTGGGCCCCGCAGCCCTGCACAACCCCCTCCCCGCCCCCATCTGGAAAAGTCCTTTCTTTGTATGTGGACCTCGCCTCAGACCCCCAGGCAGGCAGTTTCTCCCATCCTGGAGCCAACAGCAAACACTCAGAAGGACCAGGAGGGGAGCCTCACTCCAGGTGACTTGAAAGCTGGCTTTCTCCAAATCAAAGTTCCCATTTTCTCTACTGATGGTGAGGATGGGGCAGGAGGCGGGTGGAGGCAGTGGGACTGCTTGTCCTGTTCGGGGCTAGGCGGAGGGCCAGCTGTCTCTAGTGAACGTCAGGTGAGATAGCGCTCTCTTCCCTCCACAGGTGAGGGGCGCCGATGTACCGACTTCTTCTTTCTGGAATCAGGTGTGACCTACAGGACTTCTGCTGGTTGTCCAGGTAGAGTTTTCTAAAGTTTTGGTATGTTGACTCAGGTGGGCTCCTCCCAGCAGGACTGACAATCACGCTGCGTTGTGTGTGTGGCTGTTCACTGAATGCCGGGCACTGTTCTGGGCACGTGGCAAAGACACTGTCCTCTGAGGCCCCTTCTCAGCCAGACCTGGACCTCGTGTCCATCCTGTCCTTGCTGGGCCTGCACAGAATCCTGCTGAATCGGCTCAGTGAGACCTCCCCGGCTTGCCGCCACCTCCAGAGGTGACAAGCGCCTTATCCCCTCCTAGGGCAAGAATCAGGTTGGCTCAGCTGAGCAAGAATCCCCTTCCCTTGATGTCCTCTCAGGAATTTTCCAAGCACCGAGCCTCACCCTGTGCCTGGACTAAAAACCTCCACTCCACCGTGCTGTACTCAGGGTGGAACTTGAGCTGTCTCCCTCACTGCTATTGCAATCATCTTGAATAAAGTCTTCCTTACCCTTCTCACAGGTGTGATTTTTTTTGCTTTAATTATAATAAAGTAAAAATCAAAATCAACAGGCAACTATAAATCAGAGACACACTGTAGGGGGAGAAGGAAATAGGATCAAAACAAGGGGGGGTGGGAATTTTACGGGGACGATAACCAAGATGAAAATGCATACACTGTACAAAAATGAAAAATGATGTAAAAACATATAAAATAAAAAAGTTTAAAAAGAAATAATAATCCATGGGGTCATTGAGCCTCCCCAGGATCCCACGAGGTGGGAGCTGCAAATGTCTGCACCTTAACCCGGGGGAGGCGGCCCACCTGCCGGGGCATTCACTGGGCAGGATCTTGCGCCCCTGGGCACCGCCTGGGCCGCGCGGGGGTTCGGGTCCCGGCGCCGGGCGTGAACGGCCGGACGCCGTCTCCTAGCAACCGGTCGCCTCACGTGACGCGCCTCACATGGCCGGGAGCTGAGCTGGGGTTGGAGCCGGGGCGGCGGGCGGGGCCGGGCCGGGCAAGTTTGTTTCGGAGTTTGCGGCCCCGGAGTCCCCCAGGCGCGCAGGTGCCCCGCGGCGGCCGGGATGGAGCTGCCGGCCGTGAACCTGAAGGTGGCGACGGGCGGGCCGGGCGGGGCGCGCGGGGCGGGCGGGGGGCCCCCGGGGTGCGCTGGGCCTTTGCTGTTTTAAAGGAGTATTTCAGAAGCGGGGGGACCGAGCGTTGGGGCACAGAGGGGTGCCCGGGAGCAAGAGAAAGTCCAGACCCCGCGAGGAAGCGGGGGGCAGGGACCCCGCGGGGCGGGGCGGGCGCGCAGCGGGGCGGGGGCGCCACCCCTGGAGCCGGGCCCCTCGGGCGGCCTCCCGGCCGGGCCGGCCCGCGGAGGTTCGTTGCGGCCGCGCCCCGGATTCCTCCGGACCCAGCGGCCGGCGCGGGGCGGAGCCGCCCGCGGGCGGGGGTGGCCGGGGCCGCCCCCTGCTGGAAGGGGGGCCGGGCCTCACCTGCGCCGCAGGCCGGCGCCGGCCGCCTCGGAGTTGCAGGTCAGACTGGGGACCTCGGTGTTCCCAGGGCAGATGCTCCCACATTCACAGGTTCGGCGCCCGCATCGCCGAGGAAACTCGCTGTGCTGGAAGTTGCGTAAAGACAGACCCCCCCGCGCCGGGAATGCGCCGCGGGGCTTCCTGCCGCCCCCGCTCGGACGCCGGAGGCTCTTCTGCTTTTTCTGGCTACTCCCCTCCCCCCGCCCCAAGTCTGCGGGAGGCCGAAGGGACGGAGCCTTTAGTTTGGGCTGGGAAAGTGCAGATCTTCGACCGGCCCGCCGCTTGGCGCCTCCGTGCAGTCTCCCTGGAGCCCATATCCTGGGGGGACGTTCACTCAGGTGTGGCGGAGCTCCCAGCGCCTCGAGGGCTGCAGGAACGGAGGGATGAGCCAGTGGGAGACACGCATCCCCTTGTTTGCGTTATCAGACTTGGTGTGTGCTCCGGCAGGTTCCCTCACACTTGGCTTGAGCAAATCTCCCCGAAGCTTCCACTTAACAGCTGGACAGGCTTAACTGCCAAGGCTTGGGGTACCTGAAGCAGTGGGCTGGGGTGAACATTCAGCTAGGAAGAAATTTACAGGAGGGTGCCTGAGGTTTGTCCCTGGGATGCTCACACTGTTCCAGGCAGTGTGGGGTTCATGCCTCACGGATGAAAGACCTGGGGGACGTGGTTGCGGGGAGGGCCTCTATCCAGGGTCCTCGATCTGGGGGCGGTGGTGGTTGATTTAATCACAGCTGCCTTCCGAGAAAGCAGACACTGTCATCGTTTCACAGATGAACAAACTTTGGCTCGGAGCAGGTGAAGAGCAGGTCAGAGTCCCACGGGACTGAAGTAGTGGAGTCAGGATTGGAACCCACTTCAAAGCCGCGTCCTTGCCAGGCCACCAGTTCGAGGGGGCTGGTCTGCCTGGACGGTTTATGGCCACCTGGAGGGCTTGATCTTCTTAGGTCTGTTTTTGAACGAATTTGGGTATTGACAGGCCAGCGTGTGAGCTGTGCTGGATTTTGGTGCCCAGAATGAGCAGCTGGTCCTTCCTAGACTTGGAACATGAGACTCCAGGTCCCTGAGGGTCTTGGCTGCTACTGGTCATCCATGCAAGCGCTGGGAGGCGCTGAGGGCTGGGTTTGCCAGGGACCATACAGGATGTCCGGTTGAACTTGAATTTCAGTTCAACAATGAGTGATTTTTTTTTAGTACAAGGATGGCTCAGGCAATATGTGGGACATACTAACAAATTGTTATCTGAGATTCAGAGTGAACTGCATGTCTTGCATTTGCGTTGTTAAATCCGGGCACTCTGCAGAGGGCAACCTTGCAGAGAGACCCTGGAGAGGGCTGTTCTGAGAGCAGAGCCATCCAGGAACTGGGGCGGTGCGCCCCTGGGCCCTGGGCTCTCGTCCCCCTCCCTCATTTCGTGCACTCCTTGGGCAATGCTGAATGCTTGCTTGTGCCCTGCCCAGCTGGAGTGGACAGTGGTGCGAGGTGGAAAGAAAGGACTGCCCCAGGCCCTTTGCACAAAGGGCAGCCCCCACCTAGTGCCACCCACAAGGGACAGCCTACTCTGGAAGGCGACAATGTGACAGGCTTAAAAAGGACTAGGTCTTATTAGAAGAGGCCTTTGGGAAGAGGGTCCAGGAGATAGTGCGGCACTGGGGTTAAGAACTCAGGAAGCCGACCTCCTGCCCTGGGGTCGTGATGAGGATGGCTGCATAGGCTGGGCTGGCTGCCTGGGTGGGATGTTTCACACAACTCTCCACCTCCGCCGGAACCCAAGCCCACCCTGTAAAGCAGGCATCATTGCCCCTACTTTGCAAAAGAGCAAGCAACCGTTCTGAGCGATTAGGTGACTTGTCCAAGGTCACACGGCTTCTACATCATGGAGCCAGGATCAGATCCACATAGGTAGTGCCAGTGCCCACACAGTTAGCCAATGCCAACCCTGCCCCCCGCTACAGCAGCCCCAACTGCTGTCCTTTAGCCTCAGCCACCTAGGGGCTCTTACTGCCTCCGTAACAGGCGGCCGAGTGTTTGCCCAGGTCCGGTAGGAATACTGTCCATATACTGGTCTGCCTGGTATGTTAGGCCCTCCCACCACCACCTGTCTGGGAGTCCCGCCTCTGCTCCCCGGAGTCCCGCCTCTGCTCCCCGACTCTGAGTCCTGATCCACAGGACTTAGCCTGCCCTTCTCCGGGTTAAACCTCCCAGCATCCACCCTCCCGCTGCTCCCCCAAGCCCGACAGCGTGGCAGCCAGTGGATAGAGCAGACCTGTGTAGAGAAGCCTGCGTTCAAGGCCAGCCTTTGCTGCTTACTAGTTGCGTGACCTTGAGCAGGGTACTTCCCTCTTGGAGGATCAGTTTCCTCACTGAGAAAAGCCAGGAAACATAGACCCTAAGACTTCTGGCGATGGGGGCGCATCGGGTGGACCTGGAGGGGGGAGGCATTTTTAGTGGTGTAAACATCAGACCAGATAGAGGGTGAGACTGACACCTGGGCCCTCGTTCTTTAGCCGCACAGCCTGGGCCAGTGATTTAATCCCTCGTGACCTCAGTTTCTCTCTGTAGCTAAGACAGGATTGATACTGTCCCACACAGTTGCTAGGGTGACGGCCGCCTGGCAGGCAGGTCCCCCAGGGCTAGCAGGAGCTTCTGTTGATGCTGTTAAAGGACCTCATGGTTAGGGTCCCCGGGGTGCATGTGACCATGTAGATGCCTCAGCGGCGGAGGAACCCTCAGGACATAGGGTGATGGGCAGGGCCTCCATCTCACAAAGCAGCCTTGGGCACAAAGGGACAGGCCCCTGACAGTCCCCTGCGCCAGAGCCAGGTCTCCTACCCCCAGTCGGAGTCCTCTGACCCCTGCTGCCTTGGCTCATTGCCTTCCCCTCCCCCTGGTCTTTATTTTTTAAGATTTATTTATTTATGCGTGCAAGAACTGGGGTGTAGGCCAGAGGTGTGGGGGGTGAGAACACTCACCAGAGACAGAGTGGGGAGCAGAACAGGCAGATCTATTAAAATCCACTGCTGAGGGGAGCAGCAGGGAGACAGGAGAGGTTTGCTGCGCCATGTGGGTAGCTCCCTGGCCAGGGATTGAACTCAGGCCTCAGTGGCTGGCGAGAGCGCTGAGACTTTAACCCCTACACCACCAGGGAGGCCCCCCCTTGGTCTTTTGACACATTGGTTGCCACCTGGCCTAGAACCAGGCAGCCCCCTGGGCTTGGCACTGTATAAAGCGCCCAAGAGCTTACACTTACTTCCACTTCCAGAAAGGAAAAAGGCTGCCTGTCCAGGTACTTCTCAGATCTGGCTGCTCCCTCCTCTGCAGAACCTGAGGAGTAGCCCTGTCTCCCCTTTGGTTACCAGAAACCCGCTGTGGCCAGCTGACAGTTCTTGTGTGGGGGATGAGTCACTGTTCCTTCCTCCCAGGGCTGGTGGGAAGGGCAAGGCAGGGTCACTCTATTTCAGTTTCTTTTTGGAGCTTCCCTGCACATGAAGCCTCTCTGGACGCAAGTGAGAGTGCCTCCTCCCTCCATTACAAAGATGGGGAAACTGAGGCCGAGGAGGCTTAGTCTTCTGTGGGTTTCTTTTCCCAGATGGCTGGGAGAAATGACCAGATGCTGCTAAGTTTCTCAAATATTTATAAAACAAAAGTGACGTCCCAGGTGGAGACCACATGTTGTTTGAGGGCCCGCTGCCTCTCGGGGTTCTCTTTCTCCCCCCAGCCGGTGCTCCCTTGAGTTAGCAGGACCTAACACTGAGCAGGACCTAATGCTGAGCGTGTGCTGTGGCCTTTGGCAGGACCCCTCTGCGGGAGGGCTTCCTGTAAGAGGAGATGTGGCTGGATCTTAAGATAAAGATCAGAGTCCTTCCCCCCATGCACAGCTCACACCCAGCTATATCCCGCCTCCCAGCTTCTTTTCCCTCCTTCACGCTCCTCTTAGCTTCTACTCTAGACACGTTGGCGTCTTCAGTTTCCAGAATGTTCTACCCTCATTTCTAACACAGAGCCTTGCGATGCCCTTCTCTCCGCTCTGTCCCTGGTTCAGCCCCTGTTCCCCACTCTCCTCTTAAGTGTCACCCCCACCCCCAGAATCGGCCTCCCCTCTGCCCCCCTACCTCAGCCCTTGCCATGCCCTGTCCTCCCTCAGGCCTTGGTCCTGGCCTCCTGGCCCCCTGCCCATGCTTCTTCTCGCCCTCCCTTGGCCTGGCCAGTCCTGCTGACAGCTGCCCTGTCTCTCCAGGGCCTCTGCTCCTTCCTTCCTTCCTTCATTGGTTTTCCAAGTGGGCTCCTTTCATTTGCCAGAACTGCAGACCAGTTCTGTTATTTTAAGGATACATGGGACAATTGAAAGGGTGGAATACTACAAAAATCTCGAAAAAAGAGGGCTTTCTCCTTGACATAACCACATCATGTAACCTCCCTGCAGAAAAGCCTCGGTGCCCACGAGACTTTGGAACCCACGCTCTGGCTGCTTTCCTGCTCCCTGGAGGCACTTGGCCTCCCACTGCCCGCCCTAGCACCCCAACTCCAGTGCCCTAAGAAATCAGTTTCCTTTGATCCCCACCCTAGCCTCTCCCATAGAGTCATCTCTGATTCCAAAGCAGATGTCCAGGTTCCCCAGAGGAGCCCCCCAGCCTTTGGAAGCATGAGGGGGTAAAGTGGCAGCTCCCCCAGCCTGGCCTGGGCTCTTGTTCCTTCTCTGAGGCCGCTCACTGCCGCCGGGCCAAGAACTAACATTAGTGAGGCCTCAGGTACAAGGCAGGGCCTTCTATATTTTCAGACTCCAGAAGCTTCTCTCCCACCCCCCAGCAGTCACATTCACAGATCTCTTCTCCACACACCCCTCTTTTTTTGTGGCGCAGGCGATCCTCCTGGTTCACTGGCTGCTGACGACCTGGTAAGTGACTCAGCGGGCACCAGGGTCTGTGTGCACTGCCTCCTCTGTCTCTCGTCCTCAAGTCTCCACAGCCTGTGTCCACCTGCCGCTGGGGGTCTGTGTCCTCATGTCTCTAAGGCCCTGGCCAAGGGTCTCCTGGCCAGTTTTGTGAATGTCATCAGTCAGTGTCCCACATCTCAAGGTGTGAGAAGGGCGGGCAGTTCCCAGAGGCCTTTGCCATCACTGCCTCCCAGGAGCTCCAGGCCTTCATCCCAGGGGCGTGGCCAGCCCCAGACCGTGCCAGAGCACAGCTCCTTCTTCAGACACTGCTTGAGCCACTCTGAGGCTTCGGGTAACTCTGCTTCCTCCCCAAGATCTTTGCATCTGGGAGTTCTGAGGCACTGAAGCCAGGCAGCTGTCTTGCTGGGCTCCCCTGGCAGCATGGGGTAGACACGGGCAGAACTCCATGTGTCTGTGATCCGGGGTGAGTCACTTCAATCCCCCTGAGTCATTTTCTCATCTGTAAATTGTAATCTGTGAAAGAAATGCTGGTAAGGCCTTTGGAAAGTGAAGGCATGGCTTTGGGAACTGCGGTGACCACTCGTGTTTGTTGGAGGTAACCGGGTGCCAGCTGCTGGGCCGAGGGGTCCTCGGTCTCCTCCGTGACTCGGAAGTAGGTGCAGGACGAAGCTGAGACACCGGGGCCAGGTGGATGCTTAGGGGCCGATCCTCACTCTCCGTCACACCCCCGGCCCAGAGACGGCAGCTCAGGAGACAGATGGACCCTGGCCAGGTCCTGGCTCTGCCATGTTCCAGCCAGGTCCCCTTGGGCAAGCAGCTCCACCCCCCAGGGCCTCAGTTTCCACCTGAACAATGGGCTCAAGGCCAGCTCACTCTCCGGAGCTGTGAGGGTGGAGGTAGCAGTGGGAGGCAGAGAGGGAGGCTTCAGGCTTGCAGGGTTGGCTCTCCTCATTACTGTTCTGTCTTCTGAGCTTCCGGGGACATTCCCCTGCCGAGCCAGGACTGGGAACCTTTGAGCTCACACATGCATTTTGCAGACTTTGAAGCAGTGTACGTGCAAAACAGTGGCAAATGGTGTAGAGTGACCATCGTAGTTAATGATCTTGGGAGCCCGGCCAAAATTTCTCAGCCACACAACCCAGGATTCTGAGTTGGCGAGTCTGGGCTGGGGCCCCGGCTTTCGTAAAATGGAAAGAGAGGATTATTTATTCAAAGACTATTGAGCCTGAGTGTGCTCCACTTCCCTGCCTAGCCCCTGTTTTCCATATGGTACATTTGCATGAATGCTGTTTACATATATGGAGTCCCCCTTCTGCTGGGGCCCAATGGGGATGGTAGGTCAAGCCATGGCCTCCTGAGCCAAGCTGCCTGGGCTCCTCTCCCAGCTTGCCATGTAGCTGTGTGGCTTTTGGCAAGTTGCTTAACTTTTCTGTGCCTCAGTTTCCTTTTCTGCAAAATGAGGGTAATGTCAGTGCCTCCTTCCTAGAGTTGTTACCACAAAAGCAGGTAAATATGTTAGTTTAACACACTTGGAACCATGCCAGCCCGTAAGGGCCCTGTGTTAACTACAGTTTTCCTTAGGTTGACAAGCACGTAAACCTGTCAGTGGCAGTACCTTGAAAAATAAAATGGGGTGGGCATTGTGTTAAAAAGTGGGGGTGGTATTAAAATTGGGGGGGTTCAGGGAAGGAGTTAGCATTTGAAATGAGACTCAAATGACAAACTGGGCCGAGCACTGTCGAAGGACAGTGGCTGGAGCTGAGCCTGGGGCCGTCACAGGCAGGTCCCCGGGCTGCGGTGCTGTTCAGGGACTGACCTGGAGGGGGCCGTGGAGGGAGGGGCGGAGACCAGTGGGGAGCGGCTGTGGTGGTACATCCTGGGGGGAGAGGACGATGGTTTGGACCTGGAGGGACGTGGCCAGATTCTGGGTCGGTCTGGAAGGCAGAGCCCGTGGGACCTGCTGGCGTTTCTGGTGCAGGGCCTGGTGGGGAAGAGCAGGTGCCGTGGCCGCTTCCCAGAAAGGCCTGGCCGCCCAGGAGCTTGAGGGCGGTGACCCCCCCTGTGCTCAGTGCCTCTTCCCGCAGGGGCTGCATGGTGTTCTCGGGCCCCTATGCCTGGGCCAACTTCACCGTCCTGGCCTTGGGCGTGTGGGCCATCGCTCAGCGGGACTCTGTCGACGCCATCAGCATGGTGAGCTGGAGGGAGGGCAGCGCCGGGAGCTGGCTTCGGGGTGTTTCCCCTCACCCATCCCAGTCTTCTCTCTTCCTTGTGCCCCCATTTATTAAAATCATCTAAAGCCTTGCAAATAAGCACCCCCAGGCCACGGGCCCCATGTGTGTTCCCCAGCCTGGACGGCTTCTCTGCTGGCCTGGCTCAGTGTCTGCTCTTGTCCTGCACGAGAAAGGCATGGGGTGGGGTCCCCAACTGCCTATCCCTGAGGGCCTCCTCTCTTGTGCAGACACCCAGTAACCCTCCCAGGCCCTCTGTTTTGGGGGGAGAACGTGGCAGGTGGACTCCACTACTTGCTGAGGTCAGAGTGAACATGGCCCGGCTGAACTCTCCTATGGGGGAGCTTCCAAGGCCCACTCTGCCCCCTGGGCTGTGAGCGCCAACACAGCTGCTGGGGTCAAGGCGGGGCCTCTCGGGGTGACAGAGGGATTCCCTTGGTGATGGGACAGATGGGGAGAACTCCAAGAGCTTCCAAATCAGAGGCTCTGGAGCCCATTGTGGCCTCCAGGGTGACAGAGATGGGTTTGGGGGGCAGCGCTGGTGGAGCCAATAGACATGGGCCCCTGCGCCCCCACTCACAGCCTCGCTGTCCCCAGCCAGGTGTCTCACCCATGGCCCTGCCACCTTGCTTGGTCCTTTTTCCAACAAACCCTCAGGACACAGCAGGCGCAAGTGGAGGTTCCGGTCTGGCATCTGTGGAGGGAGGGGGATGGGGATGGAATGGGGTGTCAGTGCCCCCGTGGGCTGATGACTCAGGGTCCCACCTGCGCCGGCATGTTTTGCAGTTTCTGGGTGGCTTGGCGACCACCATCTTCCTGGACATCGTCCACATCAGCATCTTCTACCCACGGTCCAGCCTCTCGGACACCGGGCGCTTCAGCGCCGGCATGGCCATCCTCAGCCTGCTGCTCAAGCCCTTCTCCTGCTGCCTCGTCTACCACATGTACCGGGAGCGCGGGGGTGAGCTCCCGTTCCGCACCGGTGAGGCCGCACGGCTGGCCAGCTCCCAACTCCGCTTACCAGCCTGGCGCTGGCCCTGCCGCGTCCCTGTCTCTTCCCTGTCCTCGCCCTGCCTGACCCGCGGCCCTGCCCTGTGGGACGAGGCTCACGCAGGGAGCGGCACAAGATGGGTGCCGAGTGCAGTCTTCCTGTCTCTGCTGCAGGAGCCCAGTGTCCCTGGCTGCCCCATCTGTGCGAGCGGCCCCTGGCGTCGGGCTTCGAGCAGAGCTGAGGGCACCAGCTGGGCCGCCCTCAGCCCAAGCACAGGCCCAGATGGGCATGTGATTCAGTCAAGGCCACTCCAGCAGTCTGCCAACACCCGAAGGGCAGCTTCTCCTCTCAGATCCCACCACCCCCTTCTTGAAGCCCCCCTCTCCTGCCACGTGGGGTCTGGGTGTCCTAGGAACAGGTGATTCTGGCCTGGACCCCGGGAACCACCCAGAGAGAGCTCTGAGCTTCGGGCAGTCCCTGCTGTCCCTTCCCTTGGGCCCAGAGCGGGAGGCCCTTCCCTGTAGCCCATGTCCCTTCTTTTGGGGCTCTGGCCTGACGGAACCTGTTCCCCAAGATCAGGCTCCAGACTTTGCTCCTGCAGCCCCAGGCCCTGCCTAGCATGGTGGGGCCTCGGCTTGTTTGGACAGGTGGACACAGAATGGTGGGGGCTGAGCTCTAGGCCTTGACCTCTCGGTGCCAGGGACCAGCCAGGGTGACCCGAGAAAGCCCAGGCACTGACCTACCTGGGGAGAAGCTAGGCTTCACCTAGCCTGGTGGACTGCAATCCTGCAGGCACCTGCTGCTGTGTGAGGGGGCTCCCCCAACTTTCCTTCCGTCGGGCAGGTGAGGTCCCTGAGGCCTGGAGTCCTTAGAGGTGCTCAGGGTTAGACACCATTGTTCAGGAGGGTGCCGCCTGGAGCTGGGACAGAGGAATGTGGGCGCTTGCAGCCCCAGCACCCGCCTTGCACCCCAGGACCCAGCCCTCTGGGCCTTGGACCTTCTGGATATAGCACCACAGTGTCCAGTTTGCCTGGAATAGGAGCCCAAGGACAGCCTGTGGGCCAGGGCCAGTGCCCCTGCCCATGTTCCCAGCATGTGCTGCTGCTGCAGCGCCAGGGCCGGGAGGCCAAGAGCCTGGCTTTGGGGTGGAGCCGCCAGGGTTTGAAGCTGGTGTCCTCAGCTCCCGGATATAACCTCAGGGAAGCCAGTCCCTCTCCAGCCCTCTCCTCTGTAAATTGGGGACAATAAAATACCTGCCCTGTAGGGATCCTGGGAGGACTGAGTGAACAGTATCCCCAGATGCCAGCTCTGCCCTTCCTGGCAGGGGGGAGGGGGCACATTCACAGTGCTACCTTCCCGACTCCTCACCCTTCCTTTCCCTTCACTCCCCACCCTCCAGGTTTCCTCGGACCCTCCCAGGAGCACAGTGCCTACCAGAGGATTGATTCTCCGGAGGCTCCCGCAGACCCCTTTGCAGGACTGGAGGGCAAGGATCATCGTGCCCCCCAAGGGTACTGAAGCTGCCCTGCTTCCTGGCTCCAGCCCAGGGGCCACATTGACGAACTGTGGAGGAGGCCCCAGCCACTTGTGTGCCTTGGACATGATTGTAGGGGTGCTCCTGACCCCCCTTTCTCGAACCTAACACAGAATGTGTCCACCACGCCCCATCTCAGGCTTGCCTCATTCGAGCCCCATCACACTCCTGTCCAAAGCTCCCCGAGGCCTGTCTGCCTTCCTGGGTATCCTGCTGGAACTGGGCTGGGAACCAGAGTCCCTTTCCTCCCCTCCACCCTTAGCTGCTCTGTGCAGGCCCTGGCTGAGTCACACCTGAGCCCAGCAGGGTGCGGCCCCTCAGGGCCAGTAATGGCCTCGCCAGCCAGACCCTCCAAGAACTTTGGGTCTTGGCCCCAGGAGTGAAGTCCCCAGGCTTCCTGGGAAGCCCCGGGCTGGAGGCAGGCAGTAGAGACAGCACCTGAGACCCACCAGGCCTCCCGCTGCCCTTCTGAGCCCTGCATTAAAGTTGGGGATTCTGTGTAGGGCTGTGTTTGGAGCCATGAATCCCTTCCCCTCGGGGCTGGGGCCTGGACCTGACTCCTGCCAAGAGAGCTGCTGGGAACCCCTGGGAGCCTGGGCTGAGCCGCCTGCTTTGTGATTGGAGGAAGCAGGAGCTTCCCTTTGACCCACGGGGCAGGCCCAGCAACCAGCTCCAGCCCAGCCTGAGCCAGCTGACGTGATTGTTTGGAATCCTGCTCTGCCACTTACCTGTGTGCCCTTGGGCAGCTTCGCCTCTCTCACCCCAATGTCTTCTAGAAAAGGGATAATACCTGCCTGGAGGTGATGCAAACTTAGTGTAAAGAGCCTGGCCTGCGGGAGGCTCCCTGGGTGATGGCAGAAGTTGCTGGCGAAGTAATTGTTGGAGCAAGCAAAGGATGCTGGGTCAGGAGAGACCCAGGCTGGGGTATTAACCACTGGGCCCCAGGTGCCTGGGCTTCCCTGGCCACCCTGGCTTCTCATGGGCACCGAGAGGTCAAGGCCTAGAGTTCAGTCCCCACTGTTGTGTATCCATGTGCCCAGAGAGGCTGAGTACCCACCAGCCTGGACAAGGGCTGGGGCTGCAGTGGTCCACAGTCTGATCTTGGGCACCAGGTGGCCAGAGCCCCCAAAGAAGGAACATGAGCTGTAGGGGTGGGAACTCCCACTCTGGGCCTGAGAGGTGCTAAGTGGCTGCAGTGCGGGGAAAACAGGAACAGCCTCACTGTCAGATGGGATACATAAGCCCTGGAGCTGGCATTGTCTGGAGTGCTGCAGCAACATTAGCCCCCCAAATATGAAGAGATTGAGAATGGCGTGTACTGCAGGAAGCTGCAGTGTGGATTTTAAAACCTCACAGAAATACCGTTTATCATTCTTGGATGTATAATTAGTAAAACAAAAGCATGGACTAGAAGGACACAGGTCCAGCTCATGATTGTGACCTTCTGGTCCATGGGCTGTGGCCTTAGGGGACTGAGACGAAAGCTCATTCCTAGTTCTCTGGCCTATACCAGCTCCTGGCACTCAGGGGGCTGGCAGCATGTGCTTCTGCATCCGTGCTGTGAACATGTCAGTTTTCCAAAGGGAAGGGGGACGCGGGTGGGCATGGAGAACAGCCTGAGAAACAGGTGGGCCATTCAGAGACCCTGCTCGTCAGCCCCGGGCCTCACCAATCTTTAGGAGCGTGGCTCCTGCCTCGGGTGGGCTGCCCCAGAAGCAGCCCTGAGATGAAGCGCATGACTTGGTGCAAAGCCAGTGAATGGGACTTTCTCGATCTTTTAGCCAAGAAGACCTCTGGGGGTGGATGTTGGGGTACAACCTCAGGACTTCCCGGGTATAATTTGAGACCAGGAGGTTGCACACGGAAGCACTGAAGAAAAAGGCAGACCTCTTCACACTGGTAGGTGACGGTTTAGTAACCAAGGGAACTTAAGAGGCTTTGTCTTGGGCGAGACAGGTTTTGCGCACCCACTGCCACCCCTCCCCACCAGGTCTGGGGGAGTTTGCAGAGGCTTTCTCTGCCCAGTCACCTCTGCGGTCATTGCACACCACACCACCCATCACAAGGCATTTCCTCAAGTAGGGAAAGCACATTCCAAGGGGAGGGGGTGGGGAGCCTCCCATGGCCAGGGTCCAGCTCTGGGGTCAGCAGGTGGCCATGTACTTTGTATCACCTCCCCCGATAGTGGGGGACAGTGACTGAAACTGCTACTCCAGCTTCCTGACTGCAGGCAAAGCAGCCCCAGGACTGCCCTGTGCGGAGAAGGCACCAGAAGCGCCCAGGACCTGCTGGGGCCATTTCCTCCATCGGGCCACCTGACCCACAGAGCATGAGCTTACAACATTCACGTGGCCAGCAGTGGGAGCCTGTGGGCACTGGGCAACTATACCCCATGCCCCAGATACTGGTGATGCCTGAGTGGGAAAACACCCCTAGAACCCCAGAGATTCCATTGCACAGGGGAGATTCTAGAAGGGGACTCTCATAGGAAGCCCTAAGCAGGCCTGTCCCACTGGAGGGAAGGAGATGAGGTCAGGAAGGCAGGGGGCGCTGGGTGGCACTGGGCTAGTAGGTCACTGCAAGGACTTTGACCTTTACTGAGCAAGATGGGGGGCCTTGGGCACAGGTGAACATGGTCTGACTTACGTTCTGGAAGGAAACCAAAAGGACAACTTGGCAGAAATGGGGAGTGTGGGTGACAGTGGTCCCATCAAGAAGAACCCTGTGCGATTAGCCCTGGGGGGCAGATCCCAGACACTTCTGCCTGCCGTGCCTTGGTAGTAGAGGTGCCAGGGAAAAACCACACAAACCAAACACTGGGTGGACAACACTGAATGTCAGCCAAGAAGGGACAGTGAGATCAGCTCCAGGTGGGCATCACTGCCCGTGGCCAGTGGGTCTCCCCTGGCAGCTAACAGCTGCAGTGGGAGCACAGACAGAGCAGTGACCACATGGGTGGGACAGGTGCCACACCAAGCGTGTGCCTGAGCAGAACAAAGAAATTCACTTTGCACCTGGTCCAGGAGAGAGATTGCCACACGAAGTAAGAAGTAACCAGCTTGCACAGACCAGGGTGGGCTCTTTATCTCTCTCTCTTTTTTTTTTAAGATTTATTTATTTATTTATACAAGCACTGGGTACAGTCAGAAGCGCGGGAGGGTGAGAGAACTCACCAGAGCCAGAGCGGGGAGCAGAGCAGGCAGAAGGACCGAAGTACACTGCTGAGGGGAGCAGCGGGCGGCAGGAGAGGTCTGCGCGCCATGTGGGACCCTCCTCTGGTGGCCGGGGAGCAGCCGGGGATCGAATCGGCGCTGCAGAGGCTGCGGGCAGATTTGCAACCCAGCGCTCAACCGCTGCGCCACCAGGGAGGCCCTCTTTATCTCTCTTGAGGAATGTTCCAGGCCCAGGGCCACCTCTCCATGCAGGGCAGGCTGCATGTGTTTTGAAGGCAGAACAGTGGGGTTTGCTGAAGGACTGGGTGTGGGGGGAGGAGAGGAATCCAAGGTGATAAGGGCCCAGGCCTGAGCAGCTGGGGGCTGGGGCGTCCCCTCACCGGGTAGAGGACGGCAGGAAGCCAGGTTCAGAGCAAGGCCAGGTCCCAGACTCCGATCAGCCACCCTCGAGGTAATAAGACTTTCCAGCCAGACTCTCTCACTGCTGTGTCCTTTTAACAAGGCCAATTTCTGTAGGGACTCAAAAAACAGTCTCTATTATAGTGGCTGGTGTCTGACGTTTTAGAAACTCCACCACAGGAAGCAAATGCCTCCTGCCTCTGGTCTCCTGATGGAGAGTGCTGAAGTCACTTGTCTAACTTGCAAATCCTCTTTGTCTTGTTTTTACAAAGTTGAGCCTCAGGATGAGGAAGCCAGAGAAACAGCTCCAGGGAGATCACTGCCTTCTGTGGGTCAGAACTGGCCCAGAGCCAGTACTACCTGCAGGATCCCCACCTCAGGCCCATTCTCGGGTCCCCCAAGGGAAGGCCTGGAAACTGCTGCACTCACAGCCTCCCAGAGCCAGCGAGCCTTGGCTCAAGTCCCAACAGCATCCTGTGACTGAGCAGTTTCTTCACGTCACTGAGCCTCAGCTTCCACTTCTAGAAATTAGGGATCATCACAGTGCCTCACTCAGCAATGAGAGAAGGCTGAAAATGCCTACGTAATAAATGCTAGATCTCATTCCCTTTGTTATCGGGTTTGTTATTTAGAGGAGGGGGGAACCAGTGTAAGAGAGGGAAGGTTTTCCCCAATACCCTTAGGGTCCCTGGTTGGGTCTGGATGATAAACTGACAAAGATTAACACAAGAAAATCATATACATTTCTTGTTTTAAATTCATTATTGTTTTCTCCCTTTCTCCCCCAGCATATTCATTTTCTTGAATGTTTGTATGTATAGGAGACTTCACAAGGGAAGGAAGACCAGAACAGGAAGCTTTACACCTTTCAAACAAAGAAATGATCAGTGTTGAAGAGTTGATAAGACAAAGGTATTTGGGCTGGAGGTAGTAATTGGTGAAGAAGTAACCAGGAAGATAAGTGTTAGCTTAATAAGGTTTATTTATGCAGGTTTCTCCACCATAAATTCCTTATCTCTGGTGAGAAGAATGTCTGTCTTTCTCGTAGTGCAGAGAGGGGATCTTTCACTGGAGTTTTATGACTTGTTTCAGGGGAAAAGGGCAAAGAGGGAGGTCAGGGTGACCTTCCTGCTTCAGCTGAGGATATCCCATAGGCCACAGAGCAGTATTTTGGGGTATCATGGCCTGAATGGCATCACCAGTCTGTCTGACTACCCCTCCGTCCATTCAATTACTATTATTCCTATGCACATTCATCGAGTGCTTTCTACAAGTTTCCAAATATTTTCTGAGAATGTGTCAGAAAGTAAGACAGAGGTGCTGCTCACTGGCAAAAGCAGGACTCCGAGGGTTCGATTCTCCAGTTGGTTGGGTGCCTGTGTGCACACCTATCAGTCCAGAGATTATCAATAGAGTCAGCGGTGGCTGTAAAACACGATCACATTGACGTTCTAAACTCAGATCACAGATTCGAACTTGAAGGGGGCTGAGCACTTCCTTTGTCCAGAGGGTTGAGAAGCCCATTTTATTTCACATGCTTCATTCAAAGGAAATCCTACTCAGTGTATAAAACAGCCTGATGGAGCCCACCCCCACCTCCCCCCGACCACCACTCCAATGTATGAAAAGTGATCTTTTGGAGTCTCCTCATTTCACAACTGGGGACACAGCCTGGGAAAGGGAGACTTGGACAAGGACACACGGAGACACCTTGATTTTAGGGCTGGACCGTGGAGGCTGGGATGCCCCGGAGTGTTTAAAAGGAAACAATTAGAACTACAAAGGAAATACAGTGATTGAATTTGGAGAGTCAAAGTGTAGGCTGGTTCAGAGAACAGACACAGCAAACAAGAGAATCGTGGCCTTGACAGTGGATTTGAAAGAATTACTCAGTATCAAAAAGGGGCAGAAAATATAAGAGATTAAGAAACAAAGGCTGGAGTGAAATGGTCTGACATCAATTTATGTCTCCTGAGGACGCCAAAGGGAGAGAGGCAACATTCAAAGGAAGAATGGCAGAGAATTTTCCAAATTTGAAAGACATCAAACCTCAGATTCAGGAAGCCAAACAAACCCCCCAAAGAATAAATAAGAAGCCATCACAAGGGACCTTTGTTCACACACTGGTGTGTCTTAGGCACCTAGGACAGTGTCAGCACCCAGTAAATGCTTTATAATAAAGTTGTAGAACGAATGGTGAAATGAAAACTGCAGAACATTTAGCACCCCCAAAGCATCCAGGTAGAAAAGAGAGCGTCCCCAAAGCAATTACAATTATATATGTCTCAACCGTAGCAATAGAAGTCAAGTGACAGAGGAATAATCACCCTGGTGAGAAACCTAACCGTCCGCCTAACATTGTGCACTAGTGAGTTATCTTTCAGGAATAGAGATTAAATAAAAACATATTCAGTGAAATCATAATAGAGTTTACCACCCACAGACCTTCAATACTCAACCATTTAAAGAATCTTTTTGTGGAAGAAGGAAATTTTTCCATAAGAAATATCTGGCGTGCAAAAAGGAACTAGTAAACGTGGTTTAGTGTTCAAGAGGAAAATCATTTATGTCAGAGGAGCTGATCTAAGTCAAGTGTTATAAAGTCCTTTATTTTTTATGTGTCTAGAAGTATGGTAAATACAAGAGAAACTTTAGACTTTGTTAAATATGCATATTAAAATGTCCTAGGGTAACTGCTGAAAGGCTAGAAATAAAATGGACTTTCCAATAGTAATTTCCAAGAAGGTGGGAGGGGGTGAGAAAAAAGAAAACCTCGATCCATTCTAGAAAAGGAAGAAAGGCCTCCCTGGTGGTGCAGCGGTTGAGCACTGGGTTGTGAAGCTGCCCGCAGCCTCTGCAGTGCCGGTTCGATCCCCGGCCGCTGGGTGAGGGTCCCACATGGCACACAGACCTCTCCTGCTGCCCGCTGCTCCCCTCAGCAGTGTATTTTGTCAGTTTGCCTGTCTGTTCCCCGCTCTGGCTCTGGTGAATTCTCTCACCCTCCCGCACTTCTGACTGTACCCAGTGCTTGTATAAATAAATAAATAAATCTTTAAAAAAAAAAAAAAAGGAGGAAAAAAATAAAGGTTGACCATTAGTAAGCACAAAAGTAAGAGGGGCTATATCTATATGCCACAATCATACATTTATAAGTGATTTTTGAAAAATTTCCAGCCATGTTGTGTTTATAAAAGAAATGCCTCCTATATATGGCACAGGAGCCATGCAGGGGAAGGTCACGCCAGGCAAATAAGAGGCCACCTAGAGCTGGTCGAGCTTCGTTAATATCAGGCCAACCTGACTTTAAAGCGAAAAGTATTATTAGCGGTAAGGAGAGGCCAGACCTAAGTGATGAAGGTTTCAACCCACCAGGTTTTGCAGAGATTAAATGCAGAGACTTAAGAAGAAAAGAATAGTCACCTGCTTCCTCAAAAACTGCCTTCGAGTTGAAATGGCTCATGGCATTTATGGGTGGTTCCGCTGACTCTCACATCAATTCTGGGGAGGTAGCAGAGTCGAGGTCCCCACCCCCTTTTACAGGTGAGGAGCCTGAAGTTCAGAGACATCAGGACCGTGCTCAACGTCACACTGCAACCGACCTATTTTTTTTTTTAAGATTTATTTATTTATGCATACAAGAGCTGGGGTACAGGCCAGAGGTGTGGGGATGAGAGGATTGATTCCCCAGAGACAGAGTGGGGAGCAGAACAGGTGGATCTGCTGAAATGCACTGCTGAGGGGAGCAGCGGGGAGACAGGAGAGGTCTGCCGCGCCATGTGGATATCTCCCTGGCTGGGGATCGAACTCGCGCTACAGAGGCTGCGCATCGCTTCATAGGTTGCGTCTTAACCCCTTGCGCCACCAGGGAGGCTCCTGACCGATTTTTGACCCAAGTTTTTGATCCCAGGTCTTCTGACTCTCGATCTAGGGTTCTTTCCTCTTCCTGGGGGTGTTGAGACAGGCGAAAACACAAAGGGCGCCCAGCGAAGGCGGGGCACAGGGGGCGACGGTATGGCGGGCTGCAAATGCCCGGCGGCGTGGGACTGGGCCCCGGCCACAGCCCTGAGCTGAGTGGGCGGGTGGGTTCTGGCCCGTCCGGGGAATTCCGAAGGGCGATGGTTTCACTCAGGTGTGAGAAGTTTGCAGAAGACGCGGTGCCCGCCAGCAGGTGCACCCACTCCCCGCGCCCTGTGGAGCGCGCGCGCGGGCGGGCGGTGGGCGCGCGCCCTGGAGAGCGCGGCCGGACCTGGGTGGACGAGCTCGTGGACCTTCCGCGCCCCTCCCCGACCGCCTGGGCCGTTAGCCGTCCCGCCCCGGCCCCCTGGGGTGAACCTCACTGGACGAAGGTCATCGCCATGTGAGGGCAGGAAAACTGACCGCAAGTTCTTTTGGTGGAAGAAGGAGCGAGGTCCTGCTGCCCGGAACCAGCCAGGCACGGGGGTGTAGTTGCGGAGGGCGGACAGGGGTAGGAGTGGGGAGCAGGGGTGGTCCTAGTCAGGAGCAAGCCCCGGGAGGCGGGCCTGAGCCGAGTGCGCACCTGGGTGGGGTGAGTGTGGAGCAGGTGAGCAGGCAGGAGGGGCAGGTGGGTAGGGGACAGCCGGGTAACCGAGAGCAGGCCTCGGCCATCTTCCTTCAAGGCCAAGACTCTGTCCTGGCAACGCCTGGACTCCGTCCTTCCAGGGAGAAGGTGCAGACCAGCCCCGAGCCCGCAGACACAGCCGGGCTCCTCATCACTTCATCCGCAGAGCGCCCGGGAGGCCTGTGCTGGGCGGGAAGGTGGCCTGGAGGCCAGCAGCGGTGGAGCAGGCCCTGAAAGCGGGGACTAGGCCTGGGACGCAGAAGCTCCAGAGAGGCAAGGGGTTTTTTGGGGGTGAGGGGCAGAGGGAGGGAGGTTGGTTTTGTGTTTGTGTCGTTGACGGGAGTGACTGGGCGAAGAATGGGCAAGTGCCGGCCATGGGGGTGGGGATTGTGGCAGCAGGCACATGGGCTGTGCCACCCCAAAACTGGGTCCACTGTGGGGCCAGGGGGTGGTGGGTGCTTTTCCTGAGTCACGGGATGGGGCCATCGTGGAGACACTGGGCGCTGTTCTCCAGCAGGAGAGACAGGATGACCCCCAGGCCATGGGGGAGGGTCAGGCTGGGGCCAGGCGAGGCCACAGGCGTGAAGCTGATGGCAGAGGGGACATGGGGGGGAACACGTGTGTGTCTGAAGCCGGGGGCAGTCAGACCATATCTCTCCTGTCGGGGTGGTGGAATCGGAACCAAGGTCCACCAAAAGGGCTGAAGGGAGAAGAGGTGGCGCAGGTTTTATTAAGAGAACAGCGACTTTCCCAGGCCAACAAGACACGTTGATCGGGGACTGGCACCGAATTGCATTTGGGGGTAGCTAAGTTGGGGGAAACCTAAAATGTGTCCTGGCTCTAGGGGGAAAACAAGAGGTCTTTATAAGCCAGGGAAGGGGAAAATCACATGAATGGAAAGAAAAAGAATTTCTGTTGGTGCCGGTAGCTTTAGTCACTCTTGGCTTCGCTGCTGGGTTGCTGATCCTGGCTCAGATAAAGTCCACAGTCTTCAGCCCTTGTGACCACGGCGATTTCTCAATCACTTGTGGCTCAGACAATTGCAGGCTCGCACCGTCTGGAGGTTTTTGGGCGCAGTTCAAGGCGTCGGGACGGACGGGGTGCCCCTCCGGGACGCCTCCTCGGGCTCCCAGCGAAAGTGACTCCACTTTTGTCGTTTTTTACAGAGTGGAGGGTGAGTTCCCACCTAGGGAGGAGGAGGCTTCTGGAGGCTTATTTTCTAGCAGCCTTTGACTCCACTGATATAGAAGGTGCAGTTTTGAGGGAGGCCACCTGCAGTTTTAGGTTTGTTTTTTTTTTTTTTTGTGGGACCCTCGCCAGCAGCCGGGGAACGAACCGGCGCTGCAGAGGCTGCAGGCAGCCTCACAGCCCAGCGCTCAAGCGCTGCGCCACCAGGGGAGGCCCTTAGGGTTATTTTTTTAGCCACTTTCATCACCATCGATTTTGCCGGAAAAGTGTGGCAAAAAGAGGGAGCCAAGGGGCGCGTGGGGGCTGAGTCTGACGCTGACGGTGAAGCTGCAGGAGAGGAGAGAGACTCCGCCAGAGGGTGGGGGGTCTCCTTGGGGAAAGATGCTTGCAATCAGGGCACTAGAAGGAGTGAGCTGGAAAGTTGGGAGTGACCTTGGAAACTGGAATTGGAGTGGAAATGGTTGTTTAGGATAATGAAGTCTGCGGGGACTGTGGAGCAGGTGGCAGTCAGATGAAGAGCAAGATGGTAATGGGGGGGGCAGGCCAGGAGTTGGCGGGATGGTCCTATGGACAGTGAAATCACCAAGAAGTGCGACAGGTGTGTGCTGGAGAAAGTGAGCCAGGATCAGAAATCTGAGGACTGGGGATACGTCCAGAACTTCGTGCGCGTCCGTCGGGAGCTTAGAGCAGGAGTGTTTTGTAGGGGAGGGGGCAGGATGGTGAGGAAGTAGCAACAGGGAGCAAAGAGGCCCCCCCCCCTTCTTGGTCCAGGGGTCCGAGAGGAGGCCTCACCTGAGAGGACTGCCCAGGAAGCAGGGGAACAAAAGTCGGGGCACAGGCAGGGGCCTGTAGTGTTAGAAAAAGACCTGAGAAATCTACAAGGGAAGGTGTGGCATGGGGGTGCAGAGAGGAGACCCCAAGGAGGTCTGACCAGAAGAGCAGGGTGCTGATGGAGGGTGGGGTGAGGACCAGGGCTGGGTGGGAGCCTGTCCTCGCCAGCGCACTTTGTCCTTACCCTCCGCGGTGTGGCCCATCAAACAGACTGCCGCTGTGGTGCGGACCACGGAGCTGCTGCCCTGGCCTTGCCCCGGAGCTCATGGAGCTGAGACCAGCCGCCAGCCACAAGGAGAATGTACCCCCCAGACCTGCGACCCCCCTGCGGCCAGGCAAGAGGCTTCATGGTTCTGGGTCCCCTCGAGGTGTCAGCCCAGAGTTCCTTCCCCATCGGACCAGCCCGGGACCCGGGACCTCGCTGAGGCCAGAGATGACCCGGGCAGGGCCAGGACACAGCCTTCCCAGCCTCTGCCCAAGGGAGGCCAGGAAGTCAGGAAGCGAGATCAGGAAGAGGGGGACCAGGGATGGGGCTGGCTGGGGCCCCTGGCTGAGATGTCCCCACAGGTCTGTCTGGCCCTGGGTGGTCCTGGGGATCCTCCCTGCTCAGGCGCCTGGGGCTGAGTGTGGGGGCCGCTGAGCACAGGCTCAGGTTTCATGCAGTTCACGTGCGGCTCCTGCTGTGCGGCCCAGGGCACGTGGCTCAACCTCTCACTTTAGTTCCTGCCTGCGGGCTTTTACAGCCCACTCTGCCTGCCAGGTCCTGCCAGGGGCCTCACCCTCCCAGGAGGCCTTGTCTGCTGTGGAGTGGACCTGGGCCTGGAGAGGCCTGTGGGGGGGGTGTCTCTGCGCCCCACATTCCCCAGAGCAGCCCCCTTTTAGCTGTTTGATGTATTAGGTCTTGCTCCCGCTCCGATCACTGCTGTCACCTCCTGCTCACGCGGGAAAACAGGACTCAGCTCCACCCTGCCTTCTCCTCTGCACTCTCTTCCCTGCCTTCACCCCACAGCGGTCTATTCCCTGCCACCCCAGCTCAGCTGTCACCCCTCTCCTCAGGCACCCCCCCATTAGCTTCCTGCTGCCCCACTTCCCTCTGCCTCCTCTCCACCCACCCTTCCCCTGCTCCTGGCAGTCAGGCACCAAGTCACCCCACCCCTGCTTTGCTCAGGCTCCCCAGGCACTGCCCATCAGTCCTCCCAGGGAGACAGAACACCCCAGCCCCCCCAAAATCCTAGCCCCCTACTCTGAGGCCTGGCTGGTCCCATGTCCCATCTGAGCACTGACCACCAAGCGCCCTCTGCACGTGCCTGTCTCTCCTCTCTAGAGCAATGGAGACTCCCGAAGAGCCTTGGTGTGGGCCTGGGCAGTGGGCAGGGCCAGTGGGTGCCCACGTGCCAGAGGGGCGGGCCTGGCGTCACCCCCTCCCCAGGGGCGGTGCTGGGCCCAGAGCCCTGGCAAGTCCAGACCAACCTGGCCAGCCCCTGGCCCCGCCCTGGCCTTGCCCTGAAGGACTCGACAGGCCTGCTGACCAACTCTGGCTCCCGACAGCAGAGCAACATGCAGCCACGGGTCAGGAGGCCCCAGGGCGGAGCCCTTGAGTCTGCTGTGCAGCAGAGTAACCTGAGCGTGAGGGAGGCTGGTTTGGGTGTGTGTGGGAGTCCCAGTGGCCCCCGCCTCTGGTCAGATCCTCAGGAAAGGGGGCCCTGCCTGGGGCTCTGGGAAAGCCCCTTACCCCAAGGGTCACTGACCTGCCCGCCCTCCACCCTGGGGCTGGCCCAGCTGCTGACCACAGACACTCCCTGCCTGGGCTTCAGGCCTGCTGCAGGCTTTGCCTCTCTTGATGGACACACACAGCTGAACCCCAGATCCTGGTGTGGCCTGGGGAGCCGGACCTGCAGGCTCCTGGTGGAACCTCTCACCCTGGAGGACCTGGCTGTCCATGCCCCGAGCCAGGCTCCAGCCCCATCCCAAGCTGCTGTCCACCGGCTGCTGGTCTCTGTTCGATGCCTGGAGCTAGAGGTGGCCCGTCTCCGGCACCGGGAGTCCCAGGAGCCCCCAGACTCTGCAAAACAGGGCCCCTGGGCCAGCGATGGCCGAGCACTCCCTGCCAGCCACCGGCCCTGCCAGCTGGCTCTTGCTTCCCGGGATGAGAAGAAGTACCTTCGAGGTCTCAGGGAAACTGGGGGTTTCCCAGAGACGCAAGGGGTCCAGGCTGGTCGCTGGGATTCCAAGGCAAGCGGCAAGCCCACATCACCCGAGACCACTTTGGAGCTGCTGACTGGAGGTTCCCTTGACCCCGAGCAGGGGGTCCTTCCCACCCAACCCCTAAGGCGAGGAGAGAGCCACTCTCCAGGGCCACCATATGCTGGGGGGCAGAGGAGGGAGCGCCGGCACCCTGTAGGGGTGAGCAGCAGGGAGGCCAGACTCTGCTCTTCAGCCTCCTGCAGCATGGCCTTGCCTGGGCCTGAGGGAGGGGAGGGCGCTCGGGGCCTGCAGATCAGCACGGAGGAAGAGAGGACAGCTTCCTGCCTGCCAGACGCCGCTGCAGCAAGGAGTGACCCGCAGGTAGGGGCCAGATGAGTCTGCAGGAGTGAGTTGGGGTGCTCTGGGGGGGCCTATTGCTCTCCCCAGAAATTCTCACTCCAAGTTGGCAGTCACCACCCTGTCATACCCCCGCCCCTCAGAAAGGAACAGGCAGGCCGGAAGGGGGTTCCTGTCTTTCGCTTCTCGCCCTGACCACTGTCTTGCCCTTTTGCTCTCCAAGGACCGAGCCCAACACTCCGGGAGCCTGGAGGCCAAGGCAGCTGGGTGAGGTCTGGCTGTGGAGCGGGGCCGGGGCCATGCTCCCGGGACAGCGCCTCCCCCATTTGTCTGGCGGGTGGAGACTGAAGCCTGAGAGTGACAGGACCTGGTGGCAGGCCCGTGCAGGATTTAAGGGGAGACCTTCTTGCACACTGTCCCTCCTGGGGAGTGAAATAATGGGGCCTTCTGGGGGGTGGGGCTGCTGCTCCTGGGAATCTGACACTTCCGAGGCTGCCCTGCACTCTTGGCAGTCAAAAGGGGCATTCTGCCCAAGGGCCTTTGTGTCTGGGATTTCCAGGGTGCACCAGAAGAAGAGGGGAGGTCTAAGCTGGTCTTCTCACTGCTGCAGGGCCCTCACCCTGCGATGCTGGAAAGGCACCAGGGATGGTGCCCTGGCCCCTGGGGCCCTGCTCCCTGGGGCCCTGATCAGCTCTGGTCTGTCCCCAGCCGGCAGCTTCTGTCCAGATGTTTCAGAGCCTGGTGGTGCTTGGTTCAGAAGCAACAGGCAGTGGGAGCTGCATTGGTGCTGAGCCAGCAGCAGCGGTTGCACAGGGGCCTGCGGGCGCTGCGTTGGGCCCTGAGGCTCCGGGAGGCCCAACTGGAGGCAGCGTGGACACGACACACACGGACCCTGCTGGCCTGGAGCTTCCAAAAGGTCAGGGGCTAAAATGTTGGTGATGAAATGTTGGTGTGCCTGGGGGATGAGGCTTTATGGGGGCACAAGTTGTACCTCCCAATGATCACCAGCAGAGCTATGGTTGGCAGGCGGGATGCCTGTGTTCCCCCTTTTTAGGAAAGGGGTGCTCTGGGAGGACCCAGCTCCAGCTTGTCTCCCAAGGAGAGCCCTGCCTCTTGGGCTCCATCTCTCCATTTGTTCACTCCCAAGGAGGCAGGTGGTCTCAAGGTCAAAGCCACAGGCTTTGGAGTCTGGCAGTGACTTCTGCCCCTGCCCTTCCTGGCACATTCGCGATGCAGCCAACGTCCTTCTTGCCCTTCTCTCTTGACCCAGTGGAGGAACATGACTCTGCAGCAGAAACAAGGGCAGACCCACATCCAGGCCGGTCTCTCGCCCTCGGGGCCAGGCCAGGGCCAAGGGTCCCCAGGAAGGAAGCCGGCGGTGGACCTCGCCCAGAGAGGCAGGTAGTCTGGACAGTGTGGCCTGGGTGGTGCTTGTGGCTCCCTGCCCTGCGGTCCCCCATTTTCCCTCCCCCATAAGAGTAAGAGGATGAATCCAGCAGGTATAGACAAAGACTTATGCAAAAAGATGTCCAGTGACAGTATCATTTATTCCTGTGCAGACTTCAAAGCAGCCTAGATGCCTGGCAGAGAGGGAGAAAACTATGCTTTAATCACAGGACAGATCTTGGCAACCGTTCAACATAATGTTTATGAAGATTTAAAAATGTTCTGTCTGCTCTTTTTTCCCGCCCCCTCTATTCTTTGTCTCAATGTCTTTGTGGGTTTTATTTCTAATCATAACACTCATGCATATTTGATTTGAAAAGAACATTCAAAATAACTGGAAGTTCACCAAATAACTACTTGCAAGCATCATCTCCCCACGTATCACCCCGCCTGGAAGCGTTTTATGGGTATCTGTGTAGAATTTTAATGGCAAAGAAGAATGGTTCAATGGGAGGGAAAGGAGAATAAGACTTTTCTTTTTTTTTAAAGATTTATTTATCCATGCATACAAGAACTGGGGGACAGGTCAGCTTCACCAGAGACTGAGAGGGGAGCAGAACAGGCAGACTGACTGAAACACACTGCTGAGGGGAGCAGCGGGGAGTCAGGAGAGGTCTGCTGCGCCATGTGGGTCAGCTGCCAAGCTGGGGCTCGAACTCATGCTGTAGTGGCCAGTGATAGTTTGATAGTGCTGAGACTTAAGCCCTTGCACCACCAGGGAGGCCCAAGACTTGTTTTCTAAGCACGTGAAATAATATACAGAAATAGGGCCAAGAGGAAAAATACTCAAATATTGCACAACACAGTGAATTACTTAACACAACTGAACTGTTTGGTTGGCAGTGAGTGAGATGGTCAGTTGTACCACTATTAGATGTAGAAGCACCCACTGTCCTCAGCCCCGCAGCCCACACACCCCAGGGCAGCTCTGGCCCCCTGGTCCCGCACGTGGCCCAGCGCTGGCCCCTCCCCCTTTGTGCTGCTCTGAAGTGTGGGATTAAAGGTGATTATTTTCTTCTTTGTATGCTCAGTTTTCAACTCTGGCAATATATTGGTTTAGTTCTTATTTTTAAATCAAACTACTATGTTTAATTATAATTATTCTTTCAGTAACTTATTTAACCAATTTGTATTATTTAGTAAGTCGGTAATTTGCCAATGATATTTAAATATTTTAATTAAATAAATGATCATTTCAGTTATATTAAATGATGTTATAAAATCAGATATATATGTATGTTTGTAAAACATAATATAAATATGGGCAAAGTAAATATGATTCAATTACATTTGTAAAATAATATATATTTTAATTATTTAATGGTATTTATAGTAATAATGATTGAAATTTTTATTTAATAATACTTATTTTATTTAAGTGATTTTTTTAAAGATTTATTTATTTATGTGTACAAGAACTGGGGTACAGGACAGAGATGTGGGGGGTGAGAGGACTCACCAGAGACAGAGTGGGGAGCAGAACAGGCAGACTGACTGAAATACACTGCTGAGGGGAGCAGCGGGGGAGACACCCTGTGGGTCACCTCTCTGGCCGGGGATCGAACTCAGGCTGCCGTAGCTGGCGAGAGCTTGATAGGGCTGAGACTTTAACCCCAGTGCCACAGGGAGGTCCATGATATTTATTTTAGTCCATTTGTTATAAAAAATACAAATAGTGACGCTTCCAAGTGACTGTTAATTAGGAACGCTATGAACTGCCTGGAAGAGAATGGCAGGTGGCTCAGCGGCACCTTCTCCTGGGAAGGGCAGCACAGCCGGGGGCTGGGTGGGCAGGGTGGGCCCGTGCCCTCCCTCAGCCACAGCCTTAGCCCTCCCTGGGGGCTTCCCCACCAGCACAGGGAGCCTGAGGGAGGAAGCAGGTGCTCGGAGGCTCCCGTTGCATCTTCGGCCGAGACCAGGTGGAGGAGCCAGGAGATCCCAAACCCTGCAGGCCCTGCAGCAGCTGGCTGGTGAGATGTGGGTGCCAGGACAGGGGAGGGGAGCTCCGCGGGGGCGGGTGGGGGCCCTGAGTCAGTGTTGAGAAAGCATGGCGGCCATCTTACTGCGTCCAGAGCTGCCCGGTGACCAGCTCGAGGACGTACTGCATCTGTGTGTCGCTGGTGCTGGTGCAGCAGGCCCGGCAGGAGCCTGAATGTCAGAGCTGGAAAGTCCCTTGGATACCACCCACCCCTGGGACAAGGAGGCCCAGAGGTGGGGAGCTGTACAGCAGGGTGCTCCAGGCGTCAGCAGTCCCTCCTGGCTGGTCTCATCCCCTCTGCCCACCCTTCTTCCTCCACACCCCCCTTTAGTCTTCCTCCTGTGGTGCCATCAGAAGGAGCGGGCCAGACCGGAGCAGAGGGGTCAGGGAGAGTCTTCCTGGGCCACCCGGAGGACTCAGAGTCTGGGAAGGCCCCCCCAGGCCAGGCGCCCTCCTGCTGCAGACGTGGCCTGGGTGGCCCCCCTGGCTACCTGGTCCCAGAGAGCCTGGATGTGCAGGTAGGGGAAGTGAAGGTGTGTGGGTGCTGTCTTCCCTGAGGCAGGGGACAGGCGCATGGGGACAGCCGGTTCTTGACTCCTGGTACTGAGAGGCAAAGATGAAAATAAGAAATGAACCAGCTGCCGCATACTGAGAGCCTGCGATGTGCTAGGCACCACCCATGGGCTGGGATTTGGCTATGGGTAAAGCTCAGGGCCACCAGACCCTTCCCTGCCCTGGCCAGGTGCAGGGACAGACAGGAAATGAGCAGTCACAGAGGGTGCAAGCGGATACCACCGAGTTTAGTGTGGGAAGAGAAGGGACAAAGACTCAGAGGGTCTTTTCCCTTATTAATTTTTTATTACGAGACAACATTGTCTTACACAACAGTAGAAGAAGAAATTAATAAACCCCAGTGCCCACCGCTCATCTCCAAAAAAATCACCTGTTTCATCTGTACCCCAGCGACTCCCCCCGCCACACACACGTTATTCTGAAATCCCGTTCACCTTCCATTCCACCCATAAATATTTCTGTAGCTTCTCTACAAGATACAGACTGCTCAGAGAAAGGAAGCACGATACCGTGATCACACCTGCAAAATGAACCATCCTCCCTAACCGGCCACTGTCCGGCCAGCAGTCACCCGTCCAGTCCTTTCACAAGCGCAGGTGACCCTGAACAACCCAGCTGGAACAGCCAGATCCGCACACACTCGGGCTTATTTTTTTCTGCCTGCAGCCTCTAAATCCACGAATTCGGTGGTTTGAATCCGCGGGTGTGGAAGCGTGGGTCCAGGGGAAGGGCTATAAATTGCACTCTGGTTTCTGGATGAGGGGGTGCTTGACATCCCTCGCCCCCACTGTGTTCAAGGATCAGCTGTATATTTCGATACAGCTTGTTTGAATGGGGATCTAAACAAGGTCGCGGTCGGTGGAAATCTCATTAACCTTTGGGCTCCCTCCATTTATTTTCCTTGCAATGTATCTGGGGGGGAAACCAGGTGTAGTTTTCTGTGTGAGCTATTAACAGAGGCAACTGAGCCAGAGCAGAGCTCAGAGGAGGTGGGAGGCAGGAATGATTGCCAGTGGGGGAGAGGAGGCAGGTGAGTCAGGCAGAGGGAACAGCATATGCGAAGGCCAGTGAGTGGGGCATGGCAAACTCGAGAGCCGCTTGTTAGTTGGGGAGTGGGTGGGTAGGGCCCAAAGTAGTTTGAGATAGTTAGAAAATTATGGGGGGAGGGAGGGGGTTGTTGGTGGGAGTGGGGTGGGGAGGCAGATCATGCAGGGTCTTTTTTGGCTTTGGGGAAGAGTTGCAACTTTGCTCTAAGAGCCAGGGGGTGTCGCTAGAGGATTCTAGCAGGGGAGGAAGATGATTTGATGGTGAGATTTGAAAACAATCACTCTGCTGCCTGAGTAGGAACGGAAGGGCCCAGGGTGGAGGCAGGTGGCCAAGGTGCCGAGTCCCTGTGCAGCCTTGTTTTACAGACACGAAAGCAGAGGCCGGAGGGACGTGGCTCCTGGCCCAGGGTCATCTCAGCAGAGTGTCTGGCCCAGAGCAGGCTGGAGCTGCCGTCCGCCTCGCTGGCACCAGCACTTCCTCTCGGCTATTCCAGGTGCTTCAGGGCCTGGCAGCGGTTCCTGCAGAGGGGCATCCGGTATCGGCACCACCTGGCTGCCTGCTGCACAGGGGCCCTGAGGATGAGCCTGCAGCAGTGGGTGAAGATGAAGCAGCTCCGGGCCTCGGACGGGGCAAAGGTGACCCAGCTGTCGCTCTGCCGACAGAAGGCAGGTGAGCAAGTGGCGGCCCCAGGGCCCTCTCTCTGACCCTCCCCAGCAAGCAGCATCCCCAGTTCCCTCTGCAGAGGGCCCTGGTTGAATTTGTGGGCTCTTGTAATAGGAGGTGGTGGATCTGGGAACTGTCTGGGGTTCCTACCTGGTCCTAGGAGAATCCAGGAGGGGTCCCTGGAGCAGTGAGGCCTTGGCTGGGCTCCTTCCCCACCCTCCACTGTGAGCTCCTCCAGGCAGAGATGCTTTTCCGTCTTCCACCCTGAAGGGGTCCCCATCCCAGGAAGCTCCCCGTCTGAGGGGGACACAGACCGTGCCCCAGTCAAAGCCTGACTGGGGATGATGAGCTCTTTGACGTGTTTGGCACTGGAGGGAGGCCTTGGCAAGTGCCCGTGGGGGGAGAGGCCCTGACAGGGGCAGAGGTGCAGTCACCACTGGTCTGGGGCTGAGGAAGGTCCCTGGGACCACGCTGATTGGTCTCGTCCTGTTTCTCAGGGAACACAGTCCTCCGCAGCTCCATCCTGGGAGCGGCCACAGCCTATGGCCCAGGGACAAGGGCCCAGGCGCGGGGGCTGCCCCAGCAGCCAGGTGGGGGCTCGCTGCAGGAAGCCTGCCAGAGGCTGGCCCTCCACCGGGCGCTGCTGCTCTGGAAGACTCGGCTCTCCCAGCGCCAGCAGGCCGAGTAGGTGTCCGGAGCTAGTGACCTGGGCTTGGGCGGGGGCCCGGGTGGGCACAGGCGCATGCTCAGCCCTGGATGAGATGGACCACGGCCTGTTCTTCCCACGGCCCAGCATGGGGCACAGCTCGCGGTGACGGCAGGTGTGTGGGGCCTGGAGGTGGCCCAGGCACACGGAGACGGTGAAGGTGCAGAGAACCTCGGGGGCGGCTGGGATCACAGGCGTGGACTCTCCCAGGGTGTCTGGAACCTGATGGGGAGGTTGGGATAATGGCTCCCCCTTCCAGAATTTGGAAGCCCACCCTGCCCATCCTCCGACTAGGGCCCAGCCCCAGTGGCAAGAGCCCCAGAGGCCTCCTCCTCTCTGCCCTGCCCCTTGCAGGCGCCCTGGGCACGGAGGAAACACCGTGAACACATAAGTGAAGGAGGCGCGGTGCCATGCTCTCCGCCCCCGGCCCCCACCTGACTCATTATTCAGCTGCAGAAACTGAGGTCCAGAGGCATTGAGCTCTCGAGAGCTGTTCTGGAAATGTCCGGAAACCTTGCGCCCACGTCATTACGTCACAATCTGTGGGTGGGAGCCCGTGGGCCTGGGTGTTCCTTCCAGCCCGGCGTGGCCCCTGTGTGCGGCTGGGTTGGGAAGCTGGTGTGGGGCTCAGGCCCCAGTTTGACACGTTTGACAAGTTTCCTTCTAGCTCGGACCCCGGTGGGGAAACCCCCCCAATCCCAGCCGTGGGTGAAACCGGGGCCTAGAAACTCACCTGTCTTTTCCAATCCCAGCCGTGGGTGAAACCGGGGCCCAGAAACTCACCTGTCTTTTCCTGTAGCTCCTTCTTCCAGGGCTTGTGGCGACGGACGCTGCGGGGCATCCTCAGGGGCTGGCACTTGAGGGTGTGGGGTCTGGGCACAGTGCCAGGCAGCGCCGGGACCACCTCGGCCCTGGAGTCCCTGGGCAGCTGCAGCACATCCCAAAGCTCCCTGGAAAAGGTGAGGGACAGGGCCAGGGGCCAGGGTGGCAGGATAGAGGGGGAGGAACATGGAGACAGGGCAGAAGCTGGAGGACCCGGGACTCCACACCTCCTTCCCCAGGCTTCCAGGGCCCCTGCTCTCCTGGACACCCTCCGGGTGAACTTTCTGCAGGCAGCCCGGAGGCGACAGCAGGGACAGTGCCTTCTGCTCTGGCAGGCGAGGGCCCAGCAGTCCCGGGGTGCAGCGAGGTGGCACCAGCACAGCCTCCAGAGGCGGTAGGTACCCCCCCCCGACTGGGTGAGCTGAGCTGCCCACCACTCAGTGGGTTGTTTGACAGCCCCTGTCCCAGCCACCTGTGGCCCTCACGGCAACCTCAGGGGACTCTGCCTCCTACTTGAATCAGCTTGGGCCCCAAATTCAGATCCTCTCAGCTTTGCACCCTGCGAGAGATGATGGTTTCAGAGACATCACCGCTGTGGCTCGTTCATTCGCTCGATGCCCCGTGCTTGAATTGGTCTGACTTCTAACCCCAGCCTTGCCCCTCGCTGGCTGTGTGGCCTTGGACAAGTTGCTTAACCTCTCGGTGTCTGAGTCTCTGCATTGTGTGGGGTGCTTCTGGCGCTCGCTCCGTGGGAAAAGCAAGGCAGGGGCGCGTGCCCCCCAGTGCCACAAGTGCTCCTCCCAGCACAGCTCCTGGCAGTGCCCATCGCCAGGGGTCAGGCACAGACTTCACACAGAGGGTCTGGGTCCCACCTTATCCTCACACCTGTCTCTGTGCCCCTCTAAGTAGCATTTGAGCCCTCCAGGCCCCAGCAACCCGCCCTGCCCATGACAGACACAGAGAGGAGCCGCCTGGGCCCCTCCACTGCTGAAGGGAGGGGAAGGCTGAACTGGGCCGGCCGGGGTGGCAGTGACCATCCTCAGGGTGGACACCTCCTTCCCAGCATCATCCTCGGCTGGAGCCACTGGGCAATGACCCACAGGGCCCGGAGAGAGCTGGCCGCTCGCCTGGCATGGGGCAGGAGCTACAGGGCCGTGTTGGGCGTGTGGCGGCTGCGGCTGACTCAGAGGCGAGAGCTGGAGCAGTGGGCCTGGGTGCGAGGCCGGAGACTGGCGCGAGATGCCCTGGGCCGCTGGCGTGCCTGTTGGCAGAGTGAGTGGGGACAGGGCCCAGGACTCCATGCAGGAGGGAAGGGCCAGGTCGATCGGGAGACTCGGGGTTGCACACCGCCAGCTGGGGCCCCTCCACACACACAGCACTAGGGGGGCAGAGCAGGACCTGCAGGATGAGTCCCGCTGGTAGTCTGGGTATGTGCACCGTAACCAAACTGCTCGACTTCTGAGTCTCAACTTACACCTTTGTAAGTGGGGTGACAGTAGCCCCCACCTCAGAGGGTGATCGTGGGGATTCTGAGACAATACACACAATGAGCTCAGCTCAGAACCCAGCCCTGGTAGATGTCACATCCCATCCTCCTTCTCCTCCTCCTCATCGTCCTCACCTGGTCTTCCGGAGTCACTGGTCTGCCCCTGAAGTGGGCAGAGAGGCGCACTGAGTCAAGGCATCCTCAGAGCACAGTCAGGGCGGGCTTCCAGGAGGAGGTGAGGAGCTGGCTCAGCGGATAGAGCAGTGGGGAGGGAAGTTGAGGCAGTGGGAATGGCAGCGTCTAAGGTGGCAGGTGGGAAGATTAACTGACCCGGCCAAGACTGCTGCTTGTTAGAGCAGCCCAAAGAATGGGGAGGGCCGGGGAGAGCCCAAGACAGGGGTCCTGGCCTCTGGGCATAGAGAACTGTTCTCTTTGTACTTCGTTTAAACCCAGCTAAGGCAGGGTCCCCTCTTGAGGGGCCTGCCACGGTATGAGGTTCCTGCTGCTGTGTGAGGAATTCCCAACACTCACCAGTTTCGAGCTGCACACATTATCTCAGCTTCTGTGGGTCAAGCATGTAGTGAGGCTTAGCTGGGCCCTCCTGCCCACGTCTCCATGGGCCCCTTGGCAGGCCTTGCCCTGGGGGCCTCTCTGTGGGCTGTGAAGTTCGCCCCTGGGGCAGCTGCCTCTCCAGCCCTGTTGCCCAGGAGTGCTCTGATGCTCCCCCACTTGCCAGACCTAGTTTTAAAAGAAAAGTCAGAAATTTAGATTTTTATGTGCATCCACCTAATCCCTAAACATCACCAAGAAATTTAAAGCAACACCGTGAGCTGGGTTAGCCTGGTCACGCGGGACACCTGTAATCACGGCCTCCAACACACTTGGGTGGCTTCCTCTCTTCCTGCATGGGTGGCGGGCAGAAGCCTGGCCGGGCAGGCCCACAGTTACTGGGCGGGGCCTGGAGCAAGGTCAGGTGAGCAGCCCTGCAGCATCTCTCTGGCCACAGGGCAGCAGTTTCTGCATGACAAGTACCAGAGATGGGTGCAAGGCCACCTCCAGGGCTGGCGGAGGGCCCTGTTCTGGGGCTGGCGGCAGGCGGCGGCTCGAAGGAGACACACGGTGGCCAGGCCGGAGCCGCTTCTGATGCAGAGGTGGGTGAACCTGATGGCAGTGGGGGGCAGCACAATCCCACCCCTGGAGGAGCAGGAGGAGGGCCCAGAGGGCCTCAGGCTGCGTGGCCTCTGCTAACCCACCCCGGGAAAATGAGCATGAAGGGAGACCCCAGCCTAGACACGGGAGCCGCGCCCACGCCCTACCCTTGTCTGCTTGGCTGGGGAGGTGTGGGAGAGCAAGCCCCAACCCCGCACTGCACCCCACAACGCCCAGGACTCCACCTTCAGTCCTCTAGCTTGAGGATCCAGTTCAGAGGGGACTCAACTCTCCCATAATGCATGTTGCTTGAGGAATCAGTGTGGGGGGTTATAAGATCCCTGGAGAGATGATCTCAGTGCAACATTTATCATTCATTACTGCAGAAATAAAAGCAGGGGTTGGGTGATGCTCCCAGGGCTGTCACAAATGTGCAAATGTTCCCACGGTCCCCATCGGGCCAGTGAACCCATGATTGACTTCTGTGCTTTAGTTTTTGCATCCGCACAGAACATTCTGGGCCCCTTGGGAAGTAGGGCGGTGTTTCCCAAAAGCAACCCCCTAGCCTGTGAGGGTTGGGCAGGGTGTAGTGCTCCCCCGGGGGAGCTGGACTCCAATGCACCACCCCTGTGTTCCCTGGTCCCCTGGGGCAGCTTCTGACCCTGCCCTGCAGGAGTCTGCATGCACCTCTGTCCCCAAACGACAGTCCATGTTCTAACCTGATACGCTGGGTGGATGCAGTTAAGGTACTGGGGCTTCTGTGTGCAAACTCACATGCACCTGTGGTGCTTGGCGGGGGGCGGGGGGCTGGGGGTGTCTGCAGGTGTAATTTTGCATAAATTCAACTGACTCTGAGGCCCAGCTGGGCCTCTCCCCTGCTCCTGTTTTTCAGCTGTTTGCAGGCCTGGTGTGGGCTTGTGAGAGACAGAGGGGTGCTTGGGGCCAGGTGTGGCACCTTCCGGGATGGTTTGAGGACAAGGGCCCCTGGGGCCACTTCTGCCACGTGGAAGGGCACCCGAGTGGCTGCTGCAGCCGGAGCACTGGAGCAGCGTGTGGCCCAGGCCTCCGTGGCTCGCTGGAGGAGCCATGTGCAAGGGCGCCAGGCCGAGAGGCAGCTGCGCAGGGCCCAGGCCCAGCAGGCCTTTGTTGCATGGCGAGTGGCCTTGGGCCAGCGCCGTGAGGCCCACCAGAGGGCAGAAGAGCAAGCTCAGGCCCAGGCCAGGATGGCTCTGTGCTGGACGCTGTGGGTGCGTGAGGCTTGCCAGTGCCGGCTGAGCCGAGCCCACGCTGCCCGGAGGCTGAGCGCCAGGTGGGTGCCCAGGGCCTGAGGGCAGCCCCTCACTGTACTTCCACTTGGGGCCTTGAGCTTGTGTTGGGCAGGGAGAGAGGATATCTGGGTACAGGTGATCCTGGGGTCTGTCCCAGCTCTGGCACTTTCTGACTATGTGAACTATCTTCAGGCACAGTGTCTTAACTGTAAAGGTCAGAGGATTTGCCCTTGGGATTCACGATAATACCTGCAAGTGGGGGGTGGGGGTGAGGGAAGGGCAGATCCCCAGCAGAGGTGCACAATAACCCATGCTCTTGTGAGGGACCAGCGGGGGGTGGGGGGGTGACAATGCAGCCCGCACACCTCTCCTCTCCATCCCCTAAGCAGGATGCTTGTCCTGCTGTGTGATATTCTGCTGCCTTTCATGTCCATTTTAACTTGATTTCTCTCCATGAGAGATGGAGGAGAAGAGGCCTGGGGTGTTGCCTGGAGGTTCTGTTCCTGCAGGGGGCACTGCCAGGCTGGGGAGGGCTCCCTGCAGGGTTGTATAGAGTCCCTGGTCTGTGACCTCAGGTGTGTGTGCTCCACCCTCTTCCCAGGGTCCTAGAGGCCTGGGCTCAGTCAGCAGCCCGGGGTGGCGTCCTGCGTGCTACCCTCACCCAGTTCCAGCAGGCTGGGCCCAAGCGCCTCCTGCGGACTCACTGGGCCCAGTGGCAGACCGTGCTGCTCATGTTGCGGCTGGAACGTGGGGCTGAGGCCCAGGAGGTCAGCACTGCCCACCCCAGGCCCTGGTCCAGGCAGGCCAGCAGAGAGCACCAACTGGCTCTGATGGACACCCCAGCCCTGTGGAAGCAGGTGAGGGTAGGCCCAGGTGGGGTGGGTGATCCAAAATGGCCCCAACCACTGGCTGGATCAGCACGTTTCAGCCCTGGTAGCAAGGGGGGCTGGATGCTTTCCAGGGGCCCGTTGGCCCTGTGCCACCACCCCTACCCAGTTCTCAGACGGCCTCCGGTCTGGAAGAAGCCAACTCCAGGTTGGGAAACCCCTGAGTGCCTCAGGAGTGCCCACCCAGTGCAGGAGCAGTGCAGAGATGGGCCTGGGGCCATGCACCACTAGGCGTCAACACCTAAGCTCGAGGTCCAGGCACACGAGGCAGTAGCAATCTCTCACTGAGCCACTTTTTTATTACTGTAAAAGTGAAAGAAGCTCACCACAGAAAAATGAGGAAATGTCAATGAAAAGAATTTCCTGCATAACTCCTTACCCAAAGACAACCGCCAGCCCCTCTCCACCGGCAGCAGGGAGTTCTGAAACCAGCAAATGGTGACAAGAGCTTGATGACCCAGCAGGAGGGCCGAGGCCTCAAGGAGAGCCGGGCTCCAGTGACCCTGGCAGGCCACAGACGTGTCCCCAAGGGACAGAGCCCGAGTTTCTGGAAGGCCACATGGTGTCCCTAAAGATGGCCCGAATGCAGGAATATGTAATAGATTCTAGAAGGAGTCTAAGAAAAAAGACCAAAGTACATCGGTAATGGAATTGAAAGGAACTGGCTTTGGTTATTTGCAGAATCCACACGGGATTGGGCGAGAGCAGATTTGGGGGTCTCGAGGTATTTCCCTTCTAGATCCGAGTTACAATCCTTATTTTCAGAGGAGGCTTGCTCCCAGAGACTTTCCCCCATCCCCGCTAGCAAAGGCAAGCAAGGCCCCCACTGACTGATGGAGAAACTGGAGGCCAATAGGAACAGAGTAAGGACTGGGATGGTCACTAGGGGGCTCACCTCCAGGCCCCCTTCTTTGTGAACAGCCTCACCCGGCAGCCCCACCCACTCGGCCCACAGCCCCTTCCAGAGAAGCTGGGAGCTGGAGGCAGACCACACCCAACAGGCAACAGGAAGGGGGGCTTCAGCAAGGGACTTCCCTGGACAGCTCCAGGCTGTACCTGGCACAGGTAGCTACTATGCTCCACCCCTTTGCTTGGTCTCCAGCCACGTGGTGGGTGTGGGGAGCTGCAAGGGTGGCCACAGTACTGGGGGGGGGGGGGCTTTTCTGCCTCCTCTGGAAGCTCCAGACTCAGCTGAGCCCCAGAGTTCCAAGCCTATTGCTCAGGCTTCCTCTCTGTCTGTTCCCTCAGATCCACAGCTGCAGGCCCCCAGCCCCAGAACCCCTACTGCCTGGCCCAGCCCAGCACCACAGCCTCTGTGGACAGAGGGAGTGGAGAGAAACATCCTGGGAACAGAGTAAAGAGACCCTGCCGCGGACCAATGTCTCAAGTGCAGGGGCTAGGTGGTTGCCAGCCAGCTCAGGCCTGGAAATCAGCTTCAAGTTCTTTTGTATTTTGCTTACCCCACCCATTTCCTTTTTGAACGTCAGCCATTTTGAGAATGCAGCGACATTTTCTCCTGCCCCACCAGTACTTCTCTTTGGGCAGCTGTTCAGGACTTCTGGGAGCTGGGGTGGGGTGGGGTGGGGGGGTGTCACAGTGCTTTTGTTGTCTGCCCCTTGCCATTACTCATGACCTACGAGCAGACTACCGGGTGCTCCGCACTCCTGAACCAATGCCTTAACCTCTCCTGACGACTCCCCTCTCCAGGCGACAGACTGCCTCCCCTCCGGCACATCTCCCTGCTCCGGCTGCAGTGGCGGTGGCCGACACGCACCAGCTGGGCCCGGGGCTGGACACCCGCAGGACCAGAAGGGGACCGCACCCTCAGAGGGGTGGGCGAGGCCCAGAGAAGGCAGCTGGGGTAGGAGCAGCTGTGTGTGTGTGTGTCTGTGCGAGTGCCCCTGTACGTGTTCACTTGCCCCCGGGGTGAGGGTGGGGCAGGGCCGGCCTAGGGGCTTGCCTGACCCGTGGCCAGCACTGGGCCTCTCTGGCTAGTGCTTGCTGATGCGGGAGGCCGGAGAGGCAGGTGCAGGTCTCAAAGGGGTCAGGGTATGCTTGTGATCAGCACACACAGCAGCGCCTCTCCCCGCAGGAGGAAGTACCTGCGACGCTGGCACCTTGAGGCTCTGCTTCACCGGCTCCAGGGTGCCCTGCAGGCCCAGCGTCTAGCGAGGGCATGGCGGTGCTGGGCAGATGCTCAGGGGACGGAGCAGCTGGCTCAGATGCTGGTGAGTGGGGCCGGGCCCTCCCTGCCCTCATGCTGACCTCCGTCTTTTCCCATTCTCAATCCCAATCCAGAGAAGTCAAACTAGTCTTCAGACCAGCTGAGCCTGAAACCTCGGGACAGACTCAGGACTTGGCCTTCACACGCCTCGGTGACAGCCTCTCCTGCTGGGGCTGCAGCAGGACCGGTGGCGCCGGAGGGGCTGGGGGCTGCCGGTGAGCATGGGCCAGCTCAAGGCTCTCGACAACTGTCCCCACAGCTCAGGCAGTGGCAGCTGGGGTGGGCCTGGAGAACATGGCGGCGGCGGGTCCTGCAGCTGCAGGTGGCTCAGCGATTTCAGCAACAAGAGGACGACTGGCTCCTTTCCCAGGTACTGCTGGGACATTTTCCCTCCCTCCCCCTTCCCCCACCCCCCATCCCCAGCAGCTTCTTCCAAAACCAGTGTCACACCTGGCCATTTCTGAGCTGGGAGGGAGGTCAGTTCGGTGAGAGAAGAGCTTGGGTTCTGGCTGGTGGTCGAGTACTCAGTCAGGCCCATCCTGCTGCTTGGTTTGGGAACGAGGCTTAGCCTCTGGCACAGCTGCCACTCACACTGGCCAGCAGGGTATGGGTCCCTGAGAGTGTCCACCAGCCTGTCCTTATTGCTCCACTGAGCAGAGCCTCCCAGGCCACAAATCCCATCTGTTGTGAGCTTGTGCATCTGGCCTAGGGCAGGGCTTCCTGCCTGGGGGAGGGAAGGCAGCTCCTCCCCCTGGGGGCAGAGGACCTGGGCCCAGGCATCGACTGAGCACACAGTGCAGACCCTGGAAGCCACAGAGCCTCTCCTTCCCCCTCCCTGATTCCAGGCCTTTGGGAAGTGGCGCCAGAGCCTGGCAGCCAGGAGTCCAGGGAAAGGAGCCGCCAGCAGCGGCTGTTGCTATGACTTGTTTCCCTGAAAAAGCAGCGGATGGAAGCTGGCCTCCCTGGAAAGGCACTGTCACCCCTGTCCCTGAGCCCAACCATCGGGACGGGCATGCTGTTAGCCACAGGGTGCTCACTCCATAGCCTGCGGTCCAGGCAGCTGCCCTCAGAGCACTGAAGGACAATAAAATGCCTGTCTTAGTTCTAGCTGCTTCTCTTGCTGTCTCTGTTAAAGGCTGACCCTTGGCCTTAGCCAAGGAAGGAACAGGACAGGCCACCCCTCTGTCATCTGCCAGGCCGCTCCCTGGACCTCCACCCTTTCCGCTGAGCCTGCAAAGACCAGCAGGCAGGACAGGAGAGGGTGTGCAGCTGTGTGCAGCTGCCTGTCCCCGCCCTGGGCAACAGGACTTGACTCCTGGGGAGCAGTGCCAGGCAGACAGCTTTGGAGTGGGGGTGAGCAGAGGGGAGACAGCAGCTAGCACCTGCGAAAGAAGCCAGGGAGAAACAAACCTGCTTGGGTGAATCTCATTTTCGCCCTTGCTGGTAATGGCAGGGTGTCCCCGTGGCCCAGGGAACGGGGGGCAGCCAGGCTCCCCGTGCACGAGGAGAGACGCCTTTAAACCCGCAAGAGGCACTATCTCTCGAGTCACAGGAACATAGAAACCGTTGTTTCAGAAAGCAGCACTGTAGAGAGATGAAAACTCAGCTGAGTTCCCAGGTAGCGCCGGTTAAGTTCCAGCCCAAGGCCCATCCAGGAGCCTGGTGCCAAGGCCGGCAGGGTAGGTGGACTGGGCACTGGTCTGCCCCTTCTATCAAGTAGGTCATGCCTGGTAGCGTGTCCCAGAGGCCGAGGGGGCACAGCCTCCTTTTGCTGTCTCTCTTCCGCAAGGCCTCAGTGCCTGCGGTCCGTGCTCCCTGCCTGTACTCAGACCCAACAATAAGGTCACCGGCCGTTCCAGGCGGGCTCCTAGGGGCTGTCCTAGGAGCTCAGTCAGCATGAACCGGTCTCCTCCCCTTCTCGGGGAGGAGGGAGTTCTGCCCACTCCATCCTCTGCGGGATGGAGGGTCCCACAAAAGAGACTCTCAGCAGTACAGAGGGCACCAGGCTCCTCTGTGGGCCGACTTGGGTCTGGCCGGAGCCCAGAAGCCTCACAGTTGTCTAGCTGCCATCGTCCTCTGGGGGTGGAGGCCCGGGCTCAGGGAAGAGGGAAGGAGAATGGGGGTCCCCAGAGAACCGGGCCTGGCGAGGAGGAAGGTGGGACACAGCGGCTTCCGGGTAAGGACGTCAGGGTGCAGCCTCTGTCTCCTGCTCGCCCGGGGAGGACTGCTTGAGCAGCTCAAATGTGTCTTCTACCACCTGCCACAGGCAGTTGTCCAGCGGAAACTCATTGTCCACCAGGTTGACCAGGAAGTAGTTGTCATGGATGTGCTGGATGATCATGCGGGACGGGGACTCCTCCTTGTACAGCTTGCCCCACTGCTCGATCCACAGGGCGAAGGCCTCATCCTGCACACGTGTGGGCACATGTGCACACACACACAGACAGAGGCAGGGTTAACAGGGCTGTCCTCGGGGCAGGGCCCATGTTCAGGGCTCCAAGGGCCTCTGTCACTGCCCCATGGGATATTTCCAGGAATAGAACAAGGCCACTGCCAGTGCCAACTTCTACCCCACCCCCAGCCCAGAAATAAACATGGTGAGTCACAGTCAGGCATAGCCAGGAAGGCTGAGGCCTAGGACCCAGCAGTGCTGCCTGGCCAGGGTCCTTCAGGTGAGCAGGGCAAGCCATACCTTCCAGAACATGAAGCTGACAGGATCCACCACGGTGGGCTGGATGATCTCCCGTCCAGGGAAGATGCCCCAGGTGACAGCATTGGGCTGCAGCTCAGGGGCATTGGTGATGTTTTCGCCCTGAGGGGATGGGTAGGGTAAGAGCAGACTGGTTAAGACCACCTCTCCTTGCCTGGAGTTCTCCACCTGCTCCCCCAGCTCTGCAGCCTCTGCTGAATCCCAGGGGGGCCGTCCTGGGCCTTGCCTGCCCCTTTTGCCCCCTCCTAGCTGTGCTCCAGCGTGGAGACACTGGTGCTTCCACTCCAGTGTCTGCCCCACAGTCTAGCTCAGCGGGCCTCGCTAGGCTGCTGGGGCTGCCACAGGAGCCTCTGACTCTGGTCTCCCCACCCCCACTGTCCACAGAGCAGTCCCTGTGACCTGCTGAAAACATGGGGTCAAGTCACTCCACCATTGGGGATGGCTCCTCGCTGCCATAAGAAAAATGCAAATTCTTGGCAGGGCAGTGGAGACCCTGAGGACTCCATCAGCAGAGTCCTGAGGCCAGGCCTGCCCCCTGCCCTCTCCCCAGATGCTCTTCACCTCGTCCTTGAAGATTCAGGCCACACACAACGCTTCCACCCACCCTTCCCTGACCTCCCAGGTTATCTGTCCCGCTCCTGGAGTCCCAGCATCCTGCTCTAAGCCGGCTCGTGGTCACCTGCTGAGTGGTCTCCCCTTCCAGGCGGGGAGGTCTGAGCCAGGGGCTCTGGGTCTGCCTCAAGCCTGCCTGGCTGAGCGCAGCGGGGGGTTCTCCCCCGGACCCCCTTTCTGGATGCAGGAGCCGCCCACCTTCACATCCACTATGTGGTAATTCACCCGGAGCTCGTACTTCTTCAGCACCTGCAGCAGCGCTTCCACGGTCTTGCGGGAAGTGAAGAACTCCAGGTAGGCCTGTGGGGGAGACAGGCACCCATCACGGCAGTGATCCCAAGTCCTTGCCAGATGCCCTCTCTGTGCTGCCACCCACGTATATGCCAGCACCACCAGTCAGGCGCCTGCCCTGTGGCCCATGCGCCAGGTGCCAAGGCGTAGGGACCAGGGGCACCTCCAGATGGATCCTGAACCATGGAGCTGGTTCCTCAGTCTGGCAGGGCTGAGGCTGCACAGGCCTGAGGGCATCTCCACCCTCTTCAATGGGCCAGGGAGGGCTCCATGGAGAAGGCCTCACAGCAGCTGCAGAGAAGGCCCAGTCTAGAGCCGCGGCGCAGGTGAGAGGCACATATCCCTCCCCTCCCCACACGCTGGACAGTTGGGGTAGGGGGCTTCTCAAGCACCAACCTTCTCTTTGGGATTAAGCTGGGTTGATTTTGGTTTATTTGCTATAACACTATCATTCCCATTTTATAGATGAGGGGACTAAGCTGAGCGAAGGTGGGCACCTGGGCAGCACTGATGGTGAAGAGACAGCTGGTGCTCAGACCAGGCCTTTCCAGCCCAGAGCCCATGGACATGAGATTGAACGTCACTCTGCCCCCAGGGTCCCCGGAGGAGGTGTCTGACGGCACGGTGTGATCACAGCTCCATTCAGTGTGTGCGTCTCATGTTTTTCCCACATGCTAAGCATCGCCATGTTTCCCCCTCAGAATGTGACGTGATGTACCCCCATTTTTACAGGAGACCAGCCCGCCCAGCTCTGTCTGACCTCAAGTGTGAGCTCCTGCCCACTTGGGTCCACTGAGGCTCAGAATACAGAGTCCCTGGGGAGGAAGGCGCCTTAGTCTGCATCTCCCTGGGCACTGTGTGGCCCTACTGCACCTTCTGGAAGACGTAGCCCCCGCTGGGGCCCCAGCCCACCACAGGGTCAGAGGACGGCTTCCCGTTGATGCTGGGCTGCGAGTTGATGGTGAGGATGCCCTGCCGGTTGACCCGCAGCAGCTGCTCCTTCAGCAGGCTGGTCTCGGCTGCCAAGGGCTCGTCATTCCAGGGCAGGCAGGTCACCTGGGAGAGAAGGTGAGCTGGGCTGGGGCTGCGGCCCTCCCTCTCGGCTGATCTCTGCCTCCAGAAGCCTCCAAAAGTCCCAGGTGGGGACTTCCCAACCTCCCCCTTTGGGAGGGGGCGTGTTCAGACACAGACAGGTGAAGCTGGGGAAGTCACAGCCCTGAAGTCTGGGCCACAGAGAGGCAGAGTGGGGTGTCACCAGGGGTCCCCCCACAGCACTCACCTTGTAGCCATTCGGGTTTGGCTCTCCCGAGAGGTAGTGTGCGAAGACTTCAAAGACGCTTTCTTCACTAGTCAGCTCCTCCCCCCACATCTTGAGCAGCTCTTCCCTGGGGGACTTGCTCTTCAGGTAGAAGAGGTAGTAGTCCTTCAGCTCCCCAAAGGCTGGGGAGGACGAATTGCCCCTGGTGGAGGAGGTGCCCACAGTTCAGGACCCACTTCTGACCTTGGGCTCCAGAAGCAGGACAATTGTCCCCAATGCCCAGGGTCGTGGGGGGTCACCCTGTGCATCTTCTGCCTCGTCCTCCAGGGGCTCAACATGCAACTTCCTGCCTCCCTCCTCCCGAGAAACAGGATTCATTTGCCAGGGGATGACTACAGGTGCTCACCAGCGGCCATTGGGGAATTCATCCCACTCCTGGGTGCGGTAAATGTAGCTCTTTGGTCTGGAAGCCCAGAAGATGGGGCGGACATCTTCCTCCCGGCGCTTGGGGTGGGCACTGACAGCCCAAGGCAGGGGCCGCCTGGGTGAGAGGGAGAAGAGGCAGCGCTGAGCTGTGTTCTGCAGACTGAAACCCAAGGGTACCGCTGGCCATGTCACAGACAGCCCTCGGCCCCGGGGGCCAGCACAGCTTGGCATGTTCAGTCTATGACTCCGACTCTGCTCTGTGGCTCCCGGGTGCGGCCTCACCTGGGGTCCTCATTCCACAGGCCCAGGCGCTTCAGTACCTCGGTGGTGGCCACCTCACGGTTGAGGGTGTAGAAGTGGAGGCCAGGCACCAAGCCACTCGCCAGGAGCTCCTGGCACAGGCTCACGGCCAGCTCGATGCCATAGTTGCGGATGGCAGCGTCATTGTCTTTGATGGGCTCGATCACGTCCTTGATCTGCTGCGGCACCTCCAGCTTGGACAGCTTCACGAGCTGCCGGAGGGAGTGGTAGCTCTGTGCGAGACACGAGGGGTGTGGGTGCACCTCCCCACCCGCCTCGCTCCCTGAAGCCGATCCCCTGCACCTCCCCACTAGACCAGGAAGGGCTGCCGAAGATTCTGAATTCCGGCCACCTGGCTCGGAAACCACTGCTTGCGCCGGCTCCTTCCCCGCTCCTGGGGTACAGCAGCTGTGCTTCCCCGCCATCAGTCTGAGCCAGCTCTCTAGCCCCCCTCAATGTATTAATTGATAATAGGGTGGCCAGCTAACCCAGGGGTTCCCCAGCCTCACTCATCACCAGGAGCCCCAGCAAAACTGAGGAAGTGATAAACAAGTTCCTAGGCCCCTGCTCCATCAGAACTTCTCAGGATGGGATCTAGAAAAGGATCTTTTAGAAAAACGTTATCAAGTGATTCTGATAAAACTCATGTTGGGAAATACCAATCTGACGAAAATTTATGAGGATTCTAATTCCCTTTAGTGACACTTGCCAGCGAGCCAAAGTACAAGCCCCTCCAACAGACAGTTGCTATTTTGGGGGGAAGGGAGGATGAGCAGTCACTAAAATGGGTGGCAGGACACGATGTCTGTATCTGTCTGGTGGGAAATCTAAGAAGCATCAAAGAAGAGCTTGACCTTGAACTTGGCGCTTCACCCCAAGGGCTAGCCAGTGCGAGTTGGAGACAGAGGGAGTCCACCAGCCCTCCTGGAACCCTCACCTGGATGGGAAAGATTCCGGGGAGGATGGGGCAGGTAATGCCTATCTTGGTGCAGGCCTTAACAAAGTGGAAGAATGTGTCAGCCTCAAAGAATAGCTGGGTGATGATGAAGTCAGCTCCCGCAGACACCTTCTCCTTCAAGTACTTCAGGTCGACCTCAAAGCTCCCTGCGTCGGGGTGGCCTTTGGGGTAACCTGCCAATAGGGATGACAGTAGGGAGAGGTGGCTTCACCTGCTTAGGTGAGTGATGAACAGGGAACACAGCGTTCTCTGCCTCAGGCTGCAGACTTGTGCCTTCCGATATCACAGCATGGGCAGGCGGCATGGTGAGAGGCGGGGCTCACACTGACACGCCCCCCCCACCCCCACCCGGGGATGACTCTCGGTGACAGGTGGCTTACAGCCACCCTCCCAAGGGAAGGGGCGAATTGTTCCAAAAGCCCCAGGCTGTCTTGCCTCATGGCCCTGGCAACTAGCTGGGTAAATCTGGCTCCCCTCTAGGTCGTGGACAAGAGAACGGGCTACGTTCTGCACTGGGCAGGCAACACTGGGCTGCTGGGCTTGACTCCAGGCACTGGACTGGGCTCAAGAGTGAAAACTTAGGAACCGTGTTACAGAAGGCAGAATTGAAGAAAGTGGAGGTGACTGGCTTGAAGGAAAGAATGAAGAAGATACAGTAACCACTTCCAATGCCAAAGGCATGTCCCAGAGAAAGAAGATTCCTCTTAGTCAAAATCTGTGTTGCTTCTGCTGGCAGGACCAGAATCAGGCCCAGGTGTGGCCTGACAACGGGACGGCAGCCCCACAAAGGAAGGAGCTCCTGGAGGTGAAATGCTAGGCTGCTGGGATGTCAAGTGCCTGGGCTGCCGAAGATTCTGAACTCTGCAGCTGCCTGGGAAGCGCCTCACTTCCCTAACTGACTGAAACAGCACTTTCCTCCTGGCCTGCACAGGAAGACAGGGCGGGGGCTCTGCCAGCAGAAGGCTGCGTCTGGGCCTGAGTCCAGGGCTGGCCCCCAAGGTAGCAAGGGGGCAGGCCTGTGACCCAGGCTGTTGGGCAGCCAAGCTGCTTGGCTATGATAAGGGTTTCATTCTTAAGAAACCCTTGAGTCATCAAAAATGGACATATAAACGATTGTTTTTTGCCAGCAGGAATTTGCAAAACAGAGGTTTTAGTAGCTCAAAGTCTGGCTGTGAAACCTCCAAGCACCCAGCCAGGCTCACATTTGCTTTCATTTGGGCCTTGCTCAGTTTATTGTGTTCTCTGTCGTGGCAGCTGCTGCCTTCTAATCCCATAATCCTCTTTCTCACCCACCTCGAGGCTCCTCACTTCCCTGACTGACTAAAACAGATCCAGCAAGGCACTGGAGCACGTGTTGACAAGCTCACGGCTCCGCCGGCTCCCACTCCTGACCACCTTGGCCCACTGCACTCACCAGCTGACCGACTGCCCAGGGCCCATGCGAGCAACGGCACTTACCAGCGCCGGTCCTGCTGCTAACTCTGACGGGCGGCCCACGCTCAGTCATCTAAACTCCAGGATGAGTGGACATGTGCGTGGGGGCCTGGGACTGAGCCCTAAGTCACGCCCGAGCAGTCATTTCCTCAAAGTCACATGGCTTATTTTTTATATTCAGATCACTTTGATATACGACTCCATAACGTCACCATGTTTAATATGAAAATGATGCAGTTTTCTTCAAAGTATTTGAGAAAAACTGTCATGTCAAGATGATGTGACACATGACTTCCTGCACACACGTGCCCCTTGCCACACCCAAGGCCTCCCTGGAGAGTCTGGGCCTAGTCCGGAAGACGGGGCGAGAGGTTAAGCCTGCCCTGTCCATTCCTCGCCACTTGCGATGGACTTAGAGCTGAAGTGACGTGATTCCTGGAAATTAGGCACTGACACTGGGACTATTGCCTGAGGTGAGCACTGACTCCGGGCAGGTGGTGGGCGCGTGTGGAAGGCACATGCCTGCCAGACAAGGCAGGGAGCGGGACAGAGATGTGGGGTTTTGGCCCCAGAGAGAATGAGGGGGACGTGGTTTCTGACTGCTCCCTGGCTCCAGCACCCAGTCAGGTCTGAGGACATTCCCTGTCTGGGTTCTGAGATTCCCTGCCTCCTGGAATCTTAACACCCTCTTTTGTTTTAAGAAAGAAGACAAGGGCTGAAAGCAGACTCAGAGCGCGCGAAGGCCTGGAGGCAGCGGTGGCAGACAAGAGCAAGGATGCTGCTGGAGTCTCCTCTGCGCCTCCCTGGCTCACGGGGCGCAGGCGCAGGCCCTGGTGCACTGGGGGTCTGACTGATGACCAGCGGGCTCTGTGCCGCTCTGGGGTCCACCCCTTCCTGTCTCCACACACTGGGACACTCCAGCTACTCACCTGCCACACAGATGTCAAAGTAGTCACCGAATTCGCTTCGGATGTGCTTTACCAAGTCCACAGCGAAGTTGAAGCCTCCTTCTTCCTCCTCCCACTGGTCACCAACGGGGTCTGCAGGTTGGCGGAGGTCAGTCACCGGGAAACCCCATTTCCAGGTAGTCTTTCTGCTCCTTCTCCCCTACCCCTGCACCCAGGACTGAGAGCTCCTAGAAGGCAGAGTCTCGGCGTTATTTAAGCTTATGTCTCCCCTCTCTAGCAGAGCACTCGGTAAACAGTGGGGAGGAAAATAGCGGCCAGCCAACCACACATTTCGGAGGGCTGACCGCGGATGCTGTGCCGGCAGCATGGATGGACAGCCGTCACTCCTCCCAGCCTGGGACTCTGGGAGCCTGCCCCGCTCCAATGCCATCTGTTCTGGTGTCCTCAGCCACTCCCATGCTTGCTCTCCAGCCTCCTGGAGCTTTTACCTCCCAGGAGAACCTTCTGCTCCTCTCGGCTGAGAAGTGGCCTTGTGGCAGGGAGTGTGAGGCCGTCAGATCCCACCCATCTGGCGCACCCTCCCACACCTGGGTGGCCCCATGACCAGCACCAGAGGCAGAAGCAGTTACTGTCACTCCTGGGCCCCGTGCCAGCGCCGTGCTCATCGATTGGGCCAAGAGCTGGGTGCTGCCAGCGATTGATGAAGCAGTGTTAGCCAGGGCAGGGGGTTATCAGGGCCTGGCTGCATTCCTCACTAAACTCCCAAGTGGAGGGCAAGAGGTCAAGGCGTGGCTCCACCTGTGCAGGGCCTGTGGTCCTCACTACCCACAATGCCTACTGATGCTGATGGCAAGGAGAACGCCCTGAGGGTGCTCAGCGTGGGCCCAGAGAAAGTTAAGGGATCACTCCAGGGACAGAAGAGGCCTTCGGGAAGGCGAGGCCCCAGAGCACAAGTGCTGGCTGCATACCTCCCCTCAGTGCCAAGATGTTCTTCAGGCCCAGCCGTTTGGCCTTGTGCAGGTAGCCCGTGATCTCCTCCCGGCTCTGCCGGCAGCAGGTCATGTGCAGGACGGTCTCCAGGCCACAGTAGTTGACAGCCGTGCTGGCGATCACCATGGAGGAGGTCTCCTTGTCTGAGCCAGGGTCCCCTGCGGGGTGCCAGGTCACATCGATAAAGAGGGGGCCGCCTGCCCCCATCTGGTCAAACCTGTAAGGAATTTCTTTCTGATGAGGGCTCCTGGGGGCACATCGCCCTTCACCCCTGCCCTTGGGGCCTGGAAGACAGAGATGCAGCAGACGCAGGCTGGAAGCAGTGTAACCTGTGTCTGTGCACAGTTGTCCTGGCGTTGCTATGTATTAGCTGTGTGGCCTTGGGGAAATTAATCTGTCTGAGTCCCAGTTTCCACATTTCTAATATGTGGCAGTGAACAGCGCTGGCTTCATAGCAACACTGAGAATATCATGTTGGGGGGCTCCCCAGCATTTAGGGCAGTGCTGGTGTACACTGATGGCCCCGTCAGTGTGGGCTGCCATTATCACTATCACTGTCATGGTGGAGATGATCTACCACGCTTATTATGTTGGGTGTGTTAAGACATTTGGATGGTGTAGGGTTCCGGGAGCTCTAAGTGGCAAGCAGAGGCTGATTCTAGGACAGAAAAAAGGGGGTCAGCAGACAGTTGTTTTTATGTTGCCCCCCCCACGGCCCCAGCCAGCAGCCATGTTCCTGCAGGGCAAAGCCACAAGCCTGGAACCACTTGAGAGCCATGGGCCGTGTGCACAATGCGCCCAGATTACAAGCTGTGATGCGGTGCATCCCCAAATCTTTGTGCCTTTAAATTTCAAAACCGTGGGAGCGACACATGAGAAGCACAAACAGGGAAAGTACATAAACTTTGAAAAAGGAACTGCAGTTCATAAAGCACTAGCGTCATTCAGTTGGCATTTCCAGATTTCAAGAAGCACAATGCAAATTCCTAACTTGCTGAAAATGTTCCCTAAGCCGCTGCTCTGACTTCCCAGAACTTGGCCCAGCCCCAAGTTCTGCCAGAGGAGACAGTTGGAGAGAGTCCACCTTTTATTTTAACCCACTGAAGAGCCTAAAAATTCCAGTTATGAAAGGACATTTAGGGGCAACCAAGAAATTGCAGATCAAGTGACAGTCTCTGCCTTTGCTTTCCCACCTCCTCTGGAGGCCTCTTCTGGAGGTCAAAGTGCAGCCCTGTCACCAGGCTGACCATACCCCTCCCCCAGGTTCCCACTGCCACTCTCCAACCCAACTAATCCTGAAACTTCCAGCAGCTCACCTTGAGATGAGGTTGACAGCTCCCTCAGCAGTCCGAGGAGGGAAGAATTCTAGGGAGAACCACTTGTCACCAGATTCCATCCGCCGCCTCATCTTCTCCCGGAGTCTCTCGTGCCGTTCGGGGTCCAGCCCTGGTGTGGAACATCTGGAACTCTCCTTGGAGCTCTCTCCACCACTGCTGCTGCCCTCTGAGTGGGGGCTGGGGCCGCCACTGCCTCTGGGTTCGTTCACCATGGCTGAGCTCCTGCTGCATGGGGGTGGGGGGCAAGGGTATCAGTGGGCAGGATCAAGTGAAAGATGCTACATCTCCTCGAGGGAAGAAGGCCTGTGCAATGACAATAACCCCGCTCAGTGGCCCCTCGGCTACCTCTCTCTAAGCTGTTCACTCAAAGCCTGGCCAAGCCACTGCCTGGCTCCTAACAGACAAGGCCCCCACCCGGCACAGAAACACCTCCTTCAGCCTGCGGGTCCTGGCAACAGCTACCTGATGGAGGGTGGCACAGAGAACCTCATGCTGCCAGCGGTGGAGACCCGCATTCCTAGGGCGGGGCAGCGGTGACCTGCTGGGAGGACCTTGGGTTTTGGGTGGTCCATCTCCGCCAGCTTACACCCAGAGTGGGTGGGGAGGAAACATAGGAGCCTTCCCAGCGGGTGTATCCGACTGGGCGGAGCTGTGACAAAGGAAGAGACTTGGCCAGAGCAGGGGCCGGCTCAGGGGCGGGGGCAAGGCTTCCAAGCGAGAGGGAGGGTGAAGCTCTGGTAGAAGGCAAATGGAAGGAGGGAGAAGCGGGGGCGAGCCGGCAGGAGTTGGTGGAGACAAGGCCAGCAAACGTTCAGGGTCACTGGATCACTCTCCAAAACAGGAATAGCTCCTCTGCCCTGGCCCTGTCTGGAACATCTCCTATTTCTCCTTGGAAACAGTTTGCATGCAGCGTGAAAGGGGTGAGGGCCAAGACAAAGCAGCCAGATAGCTCCCGAGTTCATGAGCTACTCCTAAAAAGACCCGTGTCATGGGTTAGAACTTGACGTTGGTTGGATTCCAAGAGCAGTCAGGCCCGAGTTCAGTAAGGGCATGAATTTATGTCTAACTCAGAACAAATGCTGCCCCGTCTGGGTCTGCCTTGCAGGCAGCGATCCTGACTTCAAGTAATTACAATGACTGTGCAGCCACCACATCCGAAACCCCAAGCCACGGCAACCACAGCAGGCCAACAGGGGGCCCAGGGTCACCCGGCAGTTTGAAATAAGGCATAACTTAAAAACAAAACATCACTCTCTCTTGCACGGTGGTGTGCAGACACACGGTCGTGAAAGGCTGGTCTGTGGTGACATGGAGCCTTAGAGGAACAATCAGGCCAAGTTCATCCCTTATGGGAAATGTCCACAGCTAAGTGGGGTCCTACACGAGAAACTCATGAATCCGCTGCCCCTCTCCCCAGAAACAACACAAGGACATACACTTGGGTTCGTCCAAAGCTCCTTAAGGAGTCGTGACCAGACGAAGGGCACTTGTGCCAACACATCTCCCTATTTTGATTCTGACCTAAAACTCCGGTTTCTCAGTGGGGATGGCCACGGGAGTGAGAGAAGGGACAGTGCCGGGATCAGCCTGGCTGGCCTTTCTGTGACCTGTGGGCCGGACCGGGAGGACCTGAGGGGGAGGAGGCAGAAGCGCCAGCAAAGGGTCTGCTCTCTCACTTGTTCAATGAAGACATTGGATTCCGGGCAGGTGCCAGCCACATGCCTTTTCTCACCTTTCCTATGCCTCGATGTGTCCATGATGAGTTGGGGACCCAGAATACCCTGAGTTGTAATTGTGGGTTCACAGGTTTGCTTCCCACCCCCCCACCCCACCCCACCCCACCCCCGTCCCTGAGATCTGCGCCCAGGGTCCTGCTTGTGGTAGCCCCAGTGCCGGCCCTCAGCACTAACCACCAGCCCTCTGCCCCAGGGGCTCAGGGAAGTCGCCTCCACTCAAAACCCCCCTCTGCGCCTGCTGCGCGCTGCCACCCGAGTCAAGCACCGGGCAGTGGGCGAGCCAGAGCGCCCCAGCCCCGAGGGTCCCGGCGGGCACTGTGAGGAGCCTGGCGCGGTGGCCACGGGGACAGGACGGCCAGAGCGGCCCCCCTCCCGGGGCCGGCGGGCGGGCCAGGCCGCAGGGGCTGGAGACGAGGCCACGCGCCGCCCCCCGCTCGGGCCGCCGTGGTCCCCCGGCCGCACGTCCAGGCCCGGGACGGAAAACGCCTTCGCTTCGGGGTTGGGGTCTCAGCCGCGGGCTCCCCGGGAGGCGCAGGGGCGCGCAGAGGGGCTCCCGCCCCCCGCCCGGGCGGACGGGCGGGCCCCGCTCAGGCCCGGTCTGCCCCCCGCGGCCAGGCCTCGCCTCACTCACCCTCCCGTCCCGCGTGGCCGAGGGCGCGCGCGCGCCGGCGAGAGGAGGCCATGGGGTGCGCGCGGGGGCGGGGCGCGCGGGGGCGGGGCGCGGGGGGCGGGGCCTCAGGGGCCGGGGCGGGGCGCGGGTAGCCGGTGGCCGCGGGGGGCGGGCCGCGGGCGGGCAACATCCGTACGGCGGCCGGAAGTCCCGCCCCAAGATGGCCGCGCCCAGCGGTCTGGTTGGAAGCCGCCCCTCCGCCGTCCTGTGACGCGGGCGCTCGCCCCACCCGCCTGCAGCCACTCCCTGTCTTCGTCCCCAAGCGCGAGGGGGCCACGTGACCCTCCCGGGGCCAGTCACGTGAGCGCGAATCCTGAGTGGGAGGGGGTTGGCCGAGGGGTCCGGGGTGCCAGTAAAGGAGAAAGATGGCGGGGTGCAGGGGGTCCCTGTGCTGCTGCTGCAGGTGGTGCTGCTGCTGCGGCGACCGCGAGACCCGCACCCCCGAGGAGCTGGTGAGGAGAGGGTGGGGCCGGGCCGGGGCGGGGGCGGTTGCTAAGGGACGGCGAGAGGCGTTGCCGGGGGTGGGGCCGGGCGAGCGGGGCCTGCAGGTGGCCGCGGGTGGGGCCGGGGCGCCGCAGCCCGAGCTCCCCAGCAGCTGCCGGGCTTCACGTGCACGAGTCTGAGTCTGTGCTCAGGTCCTCTCCCGGGACTGTGAGGAAGCGTCCACGTCGCCCCTAGTTCATGCCTGCCGTGTCTTCCTTTATTGCCATCAGGAGTTTTGAACGAAACAAGTGTTTTCAGAATGGGCTTCTTCCCTGGACGTGGGGCTTGCCGAGCAGCCGGCCTCGCTGCTCCAGCCCTTCCTCACGCTGTCCCGCACTCTTTCTGGGTCACTGACAATCCAGCTTCCCCTTGCAAAGCACCCTGGGAGAACTGGAGTTGCAGTGTTCCCCGAGTTGACAGGTCTTTTCTGATTTCAAATTCAGCACTGTCGTATGGACAGTTTCTCTCTCTCTCACACACACACACACACACACACACACACACGCCAAACTTGCACTGAACATCTATCCCTGAAGAGAAGAGTGATTATTTGAAAAATGTGCCATTAGTAATGAAGAGCTCAGCTGGAAGACTAGAACCCACATCACTCCCTCTCTGTCCCACTTTTTGAGTGTGTGTGGTCTTGTTACCGTTTGATGATAATGGTTCCAGAAGATTGAGAAACTAGCAGCTGATTTCAGTAAATACTTCTGCCTCTTTCCACTTTTAATCACTCAAAGGGTCTTCTTTCTGTGGCTCTGTTTTTCTAGACCATCCTTGGAGAAACCCAGGAGGAAGAGGATGAAATTCTTCCAAGAAAAGACTATGAGGTGAGATTCTTAGATGCTGTTTTGAGTAACAAAACTAGGGAATGACTTGGTCACTGCTGTGGATAGAAGCATTCGGATTCTCTGCAGGGAGTGAGTGGTTAAGAGGTAACTTCTCCCAGGAAGGGTCTGTATGTTGCCACGCTTTCTTGGATCTTTGGCACCTTAACCTGGATTGAGTATGTATTTGCCATCAGATTATTTGCTTTTACAAATTGTAGAGACCTAGAGTCAAAGCCACTGACAGTGTGTGTTCATTATAGGTGTGGGCTACTCTTCTGAGAGACTTAGCCTCCAGTTGATTGCTTCCTGCTCAAGCAGTTTCTCTCTGAAATATTCTTGATCATAGTTTTGGTTTTCAAGTGTGGGACTCTCTCTCTCTCTCTGTGTGTGTGTGTTTAGTAAAATCAACGCTGCTGGAAACTTAACATACATGCCTTCTTATCATTTAATCTGTTCATGATGACATCTCTGTGGCTTTTGAAGTGAAAAAAGCAAGCTGTGGTTGTGATAGAGAATTCTTAAACTATTTACAAAAAAAAGATAGAGAAAAACTCATAACCCCACTCACAAGAGATGACTATTAACACCTTACTAAATATTCTTTTCTATGCTTACACATGTGCTATTTTTAAGTAACAGAAGTGAGTTCTATTAAATATACTGTTTTTTTCCCAACTTGATAACAATTTTTATATTGTTAGATGCTTTTCTATAATATATTTTTAAAGAGGATTAGGGTTTTATTGTGACTTTCCTGTGTGATAAAGTCCTTTCTTGTTCATCCTTAATTGCTTCCTTGGAATTAATTCCAGGATGTAGAATTAATTATATTTATGTTTAATCCTTTTTTCTTTTAGTGTCATAAAGTCTTAAAAAATGCAGTATCCTAAGGGCCTCCCTGGTGGTGCAAGGGGTTCAGTCTCAGCACTGTGAAGCTATCCACAGCCACTGCAGCATGAGTGTAATCCCTGGCCAGGGAGCTGACCCTCATGGCACAGCAAACCTCTCCTGTCTCGCCCACTGCTCCCCCTCAGCAGTGTATTTCAGTCAGACTGCCTGTTCTGCTCCCCTCTCTGTCTCTGGTGAATCCTCTCACTCATGCACCTCTGACCTACACCCAGTTCTTGTATGCATAAATAAATAAATCTTTAAGAAAAAATTCAAATTCAATATCCTAGAGCAGTAACATACCAAATGAATTTTCTTTTTAGCATTTCATCTTACTTTTGCTGTAGAATTTAGTGAACCTAAATTTATAATTTGGAGAGTAGCATGGAGTTAACTTTTACTGTAGAGAATTTCAAATGCTGAAAGATGAACAGAATAGGATAGTGAAATCCCTTGTTCTCATCACACAGCTTCAGCAGTGACTCCTCTCATGCCCAGTCTTGTATCCACGCTCCTATCTGCTCTCCCCTCTCATATTATTTCAAAGGAAATTCTATGCATCACATCATTTCACCTATAAATAATTCAACGTGCATCTCTAGAGGATAAAGACTTTTAGCATAATACAATACCATTTTCACACCTAAGAACTCAATAATTCCTTGATATGAAATATCCAGTGTTTTCATTTCCCTGTTCTTATAAACATCATGTGTATTTTTAAGATCTTTTGTTTGAATCAGGTTCCAAATAAGGTCCTTATGTTGCATTTATTTGATATATCTTTTAAATCTCTTAATCTGGAGGCTCCTCCTTCATCCTTTTTTTTTTTTTCCCTTGTAGTTTACTTGACAAAATTACTTGGACAAAATAATTTTAGGGCTCTAGAACTTGCCAATTGCACCACCATGGTATAGTTTAATATACTACTTATGATGGGTGTGCTTCTAACGATTCAAAAAGTATGTGACATCCACTGATGCATTTTCTCATAGGTCTCAAATCTTTGTTTACTTGTTCATAGGTGAGAGGTTTGCAAGAATTAGTATAAGACACTCCACTTTGTACCATTTCTTTGCAGTCCCTCAGAGAGTCTGGTGAGATCTTAACTGTATTATCTGACTCTCTGGAAGCTTTCATCCTACTCCTGGGAGTTCACCATGACCTCCTGCCCCATTACCCTGCTGTTCCCTTCACGCCTTTCACTAAATTGCACTTGTATTTGTAATGCATTTACTTTCAGCTGATATGCATATTTATGTCAGTTTTATGGGTTAATGTTCTGTCATGTGAGTCATTAATATTTCTTAATTAACCATCTTCATGTGAGCTTCTGGAGAGCATTCACTTTGTATAGAGCAAATTTAGCTAGGTACTTAATTGGAAGTCTGCTCAGATTTTATTTTTTAGTAAAAGTCCCCTAGAAAGCCTGTTGAAAGTTTTCTAAGGCACAATCCTTCTTGCCCTGTAGGAGCTTATTGTACATACTTGGCTCTTTTTTTGGTAAGATGGGTGTCTTACAAGATGTTAAAATCCCCTTTTTGATTTCCATTCTCATTATCAGTGGTTTAAAAACTAAGAACCCCAATTTGTGACCCAGGGCTATTGCCAGATCCTAATGTTTCTGTGCAGGTCACAGAGCACATCCTAGAAGAACATTTACAGATGCAGTTTCTAAAAATATATAGAAAATAAGTGAGGCCTTGTTATTGTTCTTTTGAGCTACACAGAGCCCCCTCTTAGCCCCAAGCATCCCCTGAATGTGCTTTCTATGTGAGCACTAAGGTGTCCTTCCTGGTTGAATTTGAGCTGCACTCTGACCCCAACTTTACCCCGTGGCCAGGTGCCATTTTACTTATAGCCAAGGGCAGCAACCCTGCAGAACACCAATAAACATTTTATTTGAAAAAAAATTTTTATTATCAAAGAAAAAGTTGTTAGTCCTCCAACTCAAAGAGCAGAAATAAAGGGAAGTTAGTCATAGCAAAGAAGTAGCAGTATCTAACCTTAATAACAGATCATATAGTCTACTGGTAGGTAGTTACTATGTTGAAGGTCTTGAACTATTAAAAAAGTTAATAAATTCTTTTTTTTTTTAAAGATTTATTTATTTATTTATATAGGAACCGGGATACAGGCCAGATGTGCGGGAGGGTGAGAGGATTCACTAGAGAAAGAGCGGGGAGCAGAACTGGCAGACTGACCAAGTACACTGCTGAGGGGAGCAGCGGGTGTGGCAGAAGAGATCTGTGCGCCACGTGGGACCCTCGCCGGTAGCCAGGGATCGAACCGGTGCTGCAGAGGCTGTGGGCAGCTTTGCAGCCCAGCGCTCAACCGCTGCGCCACCGGGGAGGCCCCCAAAAGAAGTTAATAAATTCTTCCATTAAAAAAGGAAAAAGTCGATGTCCTGGTTGGACTAAGTGCCCTTCTATCAGCTTTATTGAGCTATAAGTCACCTACTATGCAGTTGACCCACTAAAAGTATACATGGCAGTGGGGTTTTTAGTGTGTTCATAGAGCTATGTAACCATCAGCAAATCAATTTGAGAACATTTTCATCATCCCAAAAAGCAACCCTGTACCCACTAGCAGTCACTGCCCATTCCCCTTGCCCTCACCCCAGGTGGCCACTAATCTGCTTTCTGCCTCAGTGGATTTGCCTAGAGTGTGTGTCTAAAAGCCTTTTAAGTGTTTAAGGAGGATTTTGGACAAAACCATCAAGCAAATAATTAATTGGTCAGTAATTCCTATATATATCTGATGTGAAGGATATTTGTTTTTTCAATATTTTAGTTTGTTCCCCGTTTGTTCCTAGAATGGGAGATTATTTAATTGATTTTTAAAAGTGTGTGTGTGTATTCACTCATGATGAGGCTGGTTTTCCAGCAGAAGTATTTTTGACCAACTATGGTGTTTTTATTTTATTATCCAAAAAAAAGGACATGATGTTTGCTGGAAAATCCCAAATAATACCACATGTGAATACCACCTCGGAGAAAACCACTGAGTTTTCCCAGATGTTTTTGCATTATATGCTAATGTGAAATAACCTTGATTTTGTTTAATCAAAATGGGATATTGTACTTTCCATCCTGTATTTAGCTTTATTTTTTTATCTTGCTTTTTTTGCTTAATTTTTTCACATTTTCCCCATTTATCTATGAAGACATGTCCTAATCATTTTATTGCTACATACGCTTCCCTATTTGGGTGTGTGATGATTGACTTAGTCACCTGTTGATACTCCAGTGTCCTTTTAATTTTTTTTCTTTAATTTTTTTTTAAAGATTTATTTATTTGTGCATGCAAGAACTGGGATGTGTGTCAGAAGTACGTGAGTGAGAGGATTCACCAGAGACAGAGTGGGGAGCAGAACTGAAATACTGCTGAGGGAAGCAGTGGGTGAGACAGCAGAGGTCTGCTGTGCCATGTGGGTAGCTCCCTGGCTGGAGATCAAACTCATACTGCTGTGGCTGCAGATAGCTTGATAGTGCTAGACTTAACCCTTTGCACCACCAGGGAGGCCCCTCCAGTCCCCTTTTTTAAACAGGAATTTGAATTTGGGGTAGTTGTAATAAATAGTCACATGTCACACCTGTGTTTGCCTGGGGGTGTGGCCCCAGGCCAGGGCCCAGCTTGTTCACTAACTACCCTGGCGGTAGGAAGAGGTTACTGGAAGCAGAGAACATGAGGCAGACCACCTTCTGTTGTCACCACACTGCTGCTTCTCCCTCAATTTATAGAAATAAAATCTCCTTTGAATTGTTTCTTGAAATGTCTCTGACACACCTGCAAATTGTCTGCAGAATAGCAGTGTTCCGTGAAGCACAGTTTAAGGAATACAGCTGCAGACGAAGAATTTTTAGGATCTGGCCTCAATCCCTGCCTCTGCCTAACACAGACTGGAAGTTGCTTGTTACAATAGTCTCCAGATTTGTGTGTCTTGTGACTCACCCCTCTATCACAGATGCTAACAAGAAAAGATACTTAAAAGTAATTGACTTTCTAAATCAGTTGGGCTCTGGTTCACTGAAGTTTATTCATTGAATCAAGTTGGTAACACTGAATGCTGAAGATCTAATATTCAGCTCTGCTTGGATGTTCCGTCAGAGACCAGATGTTTAAAAATAGGTGATTGGGGCCTCCCCGGTGGCGCAGCGGTTGAGCGCTGGGTTTCGAAGCTGCCCACAGCCTCTGCAGCGCCGGTTCGATCCCCAGGCTGCTCCCCGGCCACCGGAGGAGGGTCCCACTTGGCGTGCAGACCTCTCCTGCCGCCCGCTGCTCCCCTCAGCAGTGTACTTCAGTCCTTCTGCCTGCTCTGCTCCCCGCTCTGGCTCTGGTGAATTCTCGCACCCTTCCGCGCTTCTGGCTGTACCCAGTGCTTGTACAAATAAATAAATAAATCTTTAAAAAAAAATAAATAAAATAAATAAAAATAGGTGATTGAAAACTTTTGAGGTATGAACCCTGAGCAGGGCTGCTGAAGTGTTAGGTATAAGAAGTGCAGAGTCAGGTGCTGCCAGGTCTGAGCAGCCTGCAATGCTGCACTGCCCACCCCACCCTCCCGGGAGCCACTGCTCTGCCCATGCCCAGAACCTGGAGTTCCAGCCCTTTGCAAGTGTCGCTAATTCCTCCCCTCTGGTTGTGACTTGTCTGTTCTCATGCCCATCTTTCAGAGTTTGGACTATGACCGCTGTATCAATGACCCTTACCTGGAAGTTTTGGAGACCATGGATAACAAGGTAAGTCCCTTATTGCTTTCTTGAGGTTGAGTAGGTCTTAAGACAGCTGTTCTTTCTGTTTTAAATGCTTCAGTAAATATCCTAACCCCTTTAGATCCCTTTCGCGAGATATCGGCATTTGTTCTTCAGACCTTTATCCTGCCAACCCTAGTCCCCCCTATCGATGCAGCTGCCCCCGCCCCTAGAGTCTTTATTGTAGCACTGTAAAGCACCCAGCCTCTCAGAATTCTGCTGCACTGTGCCCACTGTCCATGCAGAATTTAATCTCAGAGCGATCGACCAAGATACATTCCTTCTCGTACTGATCTGGCCCTGTAACAAACTGAGCCACTCTTTTCCTGTGTAAACAGAAAGGCCGGAGGTATGAGGCAGTGAAGTGGATGATGGTGTTTGCCATTGGCGTCTGCACTGGGCTGGTGAGCAGGCGGGGGCGTGGGGGAGAAGGGGCGGGGGTCAGAGGGTGGGTTCTGGCCGGGCCAATGAGTTGTTTATTGGCATAACAGAGAGGCCTTTCCTTTTTTCCTCTTCTTTTCAAATTAATAATCCTGACACTTGCTTTTGCTTTGCAAACTGAAAGTGAGCCATACAGTCATGCAACTCTGTTGCTCTTTGAAGCACTCAGAGCCTTGGTCCAGACCTATCTCCCAGGCTAGAGTATGGTCCTCTCAGGTAGGTGACGTGGTGGGGAGAGAGCCTGGTGAATGTGATGTCCCTCTGTAGGGGGGCAGCAAAGTAGTGGGAGCACAACCATGAACGTGCCCTTCCTTTTAGCATGGCAGGCCAGCAGGCAGGACACCGTTGCCCTCGGTGAACGTATCGTGCTGTCCTGGGCTGCTTCCCTGGGCACTGCTCATTTAATCCAGAGGTAGAACTGGTGATTGTGGGCAGAGGAATAAACCTAAATGCATGGGGATCTGGGGTCAGGGCCTTCAGGAATGAATCACAAACAAGAAAAGATTAGGCAGCATTGGCGAGATTTAGCAGCACAAGGTCTGGACCGTCTGGCTGACTTACCATGGATTAGCCTGGAGGAGAAGCTGGAATGTTCACAGGCTGTCAAAAGGAGGTGTCAGATCTGATTTTCCACCAATACAGTGTCAGAGTAGGGGATGGTCTTAGTCCGTTCAGGTGTATGTAGCAAAAATCCCATAGACTAGACAGCTTAGGCAATAATTACTTCTCACAGATCTAGAGACTGCACAGTCATGGTGCCAACAGTTTTCATGTCTGGTGATAGCCCAACTTCTGGCTGACAGCTGGCTGTCCTTTGGCTCTGTCTTCACATGGCGGAAGGGGCAAGAGGTCCCTCTGGGGTCTGTTTTCTAAGGACATGAATTCCATGCATGAGGGTCTCACCTTCATTATCTAATGATCCACCAAAGGCCCCCACCTTTTAATACCATCACAATGGGGCTTAGAATTTCATCATGTTAATCTTGGGGAAACAGAAACAATCAGTCTAGAACTGGGGTTACATGTTTTCCTAAGCAGTGGCCTGGAATGGGCCCCAGGTCTCCTATTTAATGCTGTGGGATGTACCTTTGAAATATCGTCAGCATGTCTTTAATATAGGCACGAGAGTCAAGCACGATTTTTCTCTTCATGTCACTTGTCACATTTTTACTGTAATAAATTTAGAGGTCGAGGGACATCTCACTAACGACTAAATGGCATTCAAAAGGCTCTGTGGTGGCATTCAGTGGATGCCCTTGGGGGAAACTTGGGTTGATTTGTTATATTGAAATTTCAGTGTCTGTTTTGCTATCTGTGTTTCTGGTCACAGATTTCTCTGTAATAAGTGTAGCCATTAGCCGTCCAGTCGCTTGCTTTCATACCAAGCTCCTTCACGCTGCCATTTATCGCTCCGAGCCCCTTGACCTGGCCCCTTGTGCTGCACGCCAGCAGACCTGCCTCTATTAGGTAGCACCAGCTTCTCCCGCTACTGGTTCTCTCATCCTTTGCTCTGCCACCACCTTTTGCTTCAATACTGGAAAAAGTTTTCAGGCCTTGGCTTGAAAGGAGGCAGAGTTAGAGGCGGAAAGCCTGTGATCCGAGCCATGGCTATCAGAAGTCTTTCCAGTTTCCTTAGAGCCCTGAGCAAGGACCTCCGACAAGGGTCTAGTGGGCCTTGAGAGGTTTTCTGTTATTTACCTGGGAGCCACTGGCCAGTTGTCAACATGGTGATGAGGGTGGGTGAGGGGGGCCGTGCCTGATGCTGGCTTGCTCTTCACAGGTGGGTCTCTTTGTGGACTTCTTTGTGCGCCTCTTCACCCAGATCAAGTTTGGAGTGGTGCAAGCCTGTATCCTTTTCACTGTCTTTGGTGTTCCTGGATGTCATCGGTCATTGACTTTGCTTTCTTGCCCAGAATTGAGTGTAACTTTTTTAAAAAAGATTTTATTTATTTTTGCATAGAAGAACTGGGGTATAGGCCAGAGGCGTGGGAGGGTGAGAGAATTCACCAGAGAGAGTGGGGAGACGAACAGGCAGATCCACTTTATTTATTTATTTTTTTTAAGATTGATTTATTTGTTTATATAAGCACTGGGTACATACAGTCTGAAGTGCGGGAGGGTAAGAGAACTCACCAGAGCCAAAGTGGGGAGCAGATCAGGCAGACTGACGAAATACACTGCTGAGGGGAGCAGCGGGTGGCAGGAGAGTCTGCGTGCCATGTGGGACCCTCGCCTGGTGGCCAGGGATTGAACCAGTGCTGCAGAGGCTGCGGGCAGCTTCGCAACCCAGCACTTAACCGCTGTGCCACCGAGGAGGCCCAGATCCACTTTAATATGCTGCTGAGGGGAGCAGTGGGGAAACAGGAGAGGTCTTCTCCACCAGGTGGGACAGCTCTCTGGCCGGGGATCGAACTCAGGCCGTAGGGGTGATAGCGCTGAGACTAAACCCCTGCACCACCAGGGAGACCCACTAAGTGAGTTTAACATTAGATATAATCTTTGAAGAGCTGTGTATTAGCCATTGGGCTTTAAGTTTTTAATCATCATTGAATGGCACCAAAGGATAATGGAGAACGTCTATGGTTCATGGTTAGCAAGACGCAAATGCCAGAAAGATGCCTGTTTGCCTCAGCCAACCTGTGAATTCAATGCAATACCCATCAAAGTTCCAGTAGGATTTTTTGTGGAACTTGAACACTCTCTTCCTAAATTTGTATAGAAAAATCAAAAGACGTCGAGACAGCTTTGAACCACAGGTTGGGGACTTGCTGTCTTAGTTGTCAAGATGCCTATGATTTAAGGTCTAGTGTTAAAACTGTCAGATTGGTGCAGAAATACCCAGTTCAACCAATAGGAAACAAGAGAAGCAGAAACTGGCCCATGGGTATATAGAAGTGTGGTGAAATGCAGCATTAGGGTTATAAGTCAGTGAGGAAGCAATGGAATATAAGATGCTGGGACATTAGCTTTATATATATGGAAAAATATATTTATATTACACTAAAAATTAATTCTGGGTGGGTCAAGTGCAAATAGGCAAAATAGTAGTTTCAGAGACCATGTTATATCAAAAGTAGGGAATCGTTTCTTACAACTCCAAAGGCATGAGGTGAAAGGGAAAAGACTGAAAAACCTATCTACATTAAGTACTATACTTACTCAAAAAACCAAAACCCACAAAGAAGAACAATAAAACACCATAAGCCAAATAAACAAGTGTGCAGCCTGCCTGGGAGAGGTTGTTCACTGTGCATTGAAGAGCCACGTAATTACAATCCAGAATAAAGGAAAGAACTGTAACTCAATAAGAGCCCAACTACCCAGGTACCCTTCAGCAGGTGAATGGATAGAGAAGCCATATATCCAGTGGAATATTACCCAGCCCTGAAGAAGGATGAGGTGGTGGCATTTGGCACAAAATAGATGGACTTTGAGGTGATTTTGTTGAGTGAAATCAGTCAAAACATAAAAGAGAGATTACATATGGTTTCACTCATCTGCGGAATATAAATACCTAATTGTGTGTACAATTACACACAAATAATAGAAGAAATTAAAATGTGAACTTGGCAAAAAAGAAGATAATGGTTACCGGGGGAATAGGAGGAAGGGTGGAGGGGATGGAGGAGGGAAGCAGGTGGGGTACGGGCACGGGTGGTTTGTTGGAGGGTAAACAACAATAAAACAGAGCCCAGCAGGAAGGGGAGCCCGACAGGACGTGGGTGGCAGGTCAGGGGAGAAAGGTTGACCTTGCCACCACCTGAGAGATGCAGATTCAGTTCCTAGGAAGGTACCCCTGCCTGTGGCTCAGGAGCCCCTCTTATCCGTGTGGGTCTAGGCGACAGAGGTGTCTGTGCAGCTTTTTCATGGCAAAAGTTGAAACCACCCCAAATGTATGGTTCAGAAAACTGTGGTATGTTCATGTGATTTAAGTTTATACAAACATTCAGAGGGGTGAACCAGAGCTGTTTTCCATCTACATGGCAAATTCTCAAAGCCTTAACGGCGGGGTGGGGAGGAAACCGTGGGATGTCCATCCAGTAATAGTTCCACTTTAGTAACAACCTGGAACAATCTGGACAGTGAGGGCAGTGTCTGGGGAAGGCCTACATGATTGCAGGTTAGTGGCGTCTCTCCGAAGAGGGAGCAAGAGCAACATGAAGGTGGTTGTTTTTCAGTGGCATTTAATGTTTTATTTTTTAAAACATCCGGAACAAAGATGACACAGTGTTGAGTTGGGTGAGATTGGGCCTGTGGGGTGTGGATGTAACTTTTGATTTTTAATGTTTGAAATAGTTCATCATTAAAAAGGGTTCCCAGTGCTGCTGATGTAGAAGACATCTCAGCAATTTTTAAGAAATGTATGTATGGTGAGGCGCAGCAGACCTCGCCTGTCTCCCCACTGCTCCCCTCAGCAATGTGTTTCAGTAGATCCGCCTGTTCTCCCCACTCTGTCTCTGGTGAATCCTCTCACCCCCTGCACTTCTGGCCTGTACCCCAGTTCTTGTATGCATAAATAAATAAAAATAAATCTTTAAAAAAAAAAAGGAAATGTATGTGTGGAGGACAGGCAGCTGTGCAGTAAGCAGTCAGCATATTCTAGAAAAGAAGCCACACCACTTCCAGTCATGGCAGGAAAGCCCTGGCTACCGGCACATTTCCCTTAACCTCATGTCTGTAGCGGTGGAAGAATGTAGCCAGAAAGGCTGCCTTGCCTTGTCCCTCCTTGAACTCTTGGGTTTCAACTTGACCTTTGTCTTCTTGGCAAGCCTTCTGGTCCTCATTGAGGTGAGGTGTGGGTGTCGCCCTTTTGCTGACATTTTGGATTCTGGCACTCATGTTCTCCATCTCCATTTCTGGGATGTCAGAAATGGATTCAGACCTCGAATATAGGTGCCTGCAGAAAGTGGCCACTTAGAGATGTTTCTGAAAGTGAAGCTTCAGCCCCTGGTGAGGTTGAAGAGGAAAGATCTCGATTAGTAGGGCGCTGCAAGGCCTCAGCAGCACATTTGAATTGACTTGGGTACCCAGGCCCCCCTCAGACAAAAGAGCTCTGGGTCTCCAGATGTGGGGGCGGCCTACATCTGGAGACCCAGGCTCCCAGGCAAGGTGGAATCAGCAGGACCCTGTTAGAAGTGCAGTTCCTCCTGCCTCCCCTCCCCTACCAGGTCAGAAACTCAGGGAGAGTCCTAGCGATTTCCTTTTAACAGACCCAACAAGTGAGGCTGAGGCAGCTAATGAAGAGGGTCCATTGCCCTCTTGAGGGGTGAGGGTGTTGAGAGTAGGCTTCAGAACCCATGAATTGTGATTTGTGGGTGCGCCTCCTCTCCCCGTCAGCCCGTGGCGGCGGGTTCCGGGATCCCTGAGATCAAGTGCTATCTGAACGGAGTGAAGGTGCCCGGAATCGTCCGCCTCCGGACCCTGCTGTGCAAAGTCTTTGGGGTGCTGTTCAGTGTGGCTGGAGGTAAGGAGTCGCTTCCTGTCTCTGAGCCCCCATGTATCCGGGGTAGAGATGACAGAATTGTTCTGGGTGTAAATAGATTCAGATTTGCAGGGCCCGCCCTCAAGCGAATCTCGCACCTTTTGCCGGTTGGTGACTGTCAGCGCAGGTACTGTTAGGAAGCTACCGCCTGGCGCGGCAGCAAACGCTGGGCTTGGAAGTAGAGTGTCCACCTGGTGGGTTTGTGGGGCTAACTTTCAGCAGTCAGCACACCTCCTGTAGGACCAGCCAGATGACAAGTATTTTAGGTGATGTGGGCCAAGAGGCAAACAGAGGATATGATGTAAATACATAAACTTCCAACTCTCTGGCTGTGCAAAAACAGGCACATGGGCTGCCGCTTGCTAACCCCCTAAAGAGTCTTTTGTTTCTTGGAGCAAGACTTTAAACAGCTTGTTTGATGGGACTTGGCTCACTCTTTCCCTTATAAAGTGATATGATCATCTCTGTTTTATAATCGTCGAGAGAAAGGTCTCCCGACCTGGAGACCGTTCTGTGCTGACCGTGGTCTCCTTCACCTGTCCCAGGGCTCTTTGTGGGGAAGGAAGGCCCCATGATCCACAGTGGCGCGGTGGTGGGAGCTGGCCTGCCGCAGGTAAGAGCCAGTGGCCGGGAGGGGGCGTCCCTCAGCGCGGAAAAATCCATTCGGAGCCCCATGTGAGGGAGTCTGATGCCCGTGGAAGTTGAGAAAACTCTAGTTTGTCTCCTGGGAGGGCTTGTCTCCGGGAGGGTGGGCAACAGGTGCCTACGAGTTTTAAGGAGGCCCTGCTGCACCCTGGAAGGAAAAATGCGACATAGAGATGACGTTTAAATGAAAGTCGCCTGGGGGTCCCCTGGCTACTCCTGAGCACCCCACATTGTCCCAGTACTGCCCAGCCCCGGACCACCAGCAGGGGCGGTGCTGCTCCCTCTGAAGTGCACAGGCATCATGTGCGCAGCTCCCCGTGTCCCCACCCCTTGCTCCTTTCTTTAAACTGAATCACCTGGAGAGATTCATTGGCCTCCTCCTCCTCATGCCTGGATGAGGAGACTGAGGCTCCCAAAGGGGCCAGCTCAGGACTGCGAACTCTCCAGACACCGGTTCTCAGTGCTCCTACGGCCCCTCAGTTGTCAGGCAAAGGCAAGAGGGGAGTCTTTCCTCCTGAGCCCATCTTTTCCTCTCTTGCTGCCGCCCCGACTCCTCCCCACTGGCTCCCCGCTTTCAGAAGTGAGCCCAGAGGCCCCAGGGCTCAGAGCCAGGTCTGGGCAGCGAGAGACTTTGTTTCAAAAGTTCGCTCTCCGGGCACTTTCCTTGACCACACGCCCTTTCAGTTCCTCCCAAGCCTCCGCTCAGCCGGTTCCCCTTGTTCTTTCCGACTTGTTGAATATGTACAAGACGCACTTTCCAAAGACCCTGGAAATGTGGGGGCAGGAAAAGGAGTCCTTCCCAGTCCCAGGTGTAACTTCTTTATTTCCAAGTTGCTGTTCTGGACTCAGCCCTTCAGCACACCTGTCCAGGGGGGCGCTTAGGGGACCCCCCAGCCACGACCACCCAGGCTTCAGATTCCTAAGCTCCTCTCTCTGTTTTCCCCTTGTTTTAGTGCCAGAGCATCTCCTTACGGAAGATCCAGTTTAACTTCCCCTATTTCCGAAGCGACAGGTATGGAAAAGTTAGGATCTGGTGTTTTTGAAGAAACGGTTAATTTACTCCTACTCTGCGCGGCCCGTGCCCTGGCCAGCTCACGGCCTCCTCTCTGGGCGGCTGTGCCGGAAGCCCAACGCACAGGAAGGGGGTGGGCTTTGAATTCTCTTCCTGAAAACAAGCGCAGGGGCCACGCGGAAGCCTGGCCCTGCTCTGTTGCGCCATAAGGCCTGGACCGTCTCAGACGATGGAGGAGACAGTCCAAGATCGAAATCGCAACCAAGAAAGTCGTGTTCTGACTTTGGCAAGAATGTGTTTTATTTCCCCAAGTGCTTACTCCACCAGCCGCCTCTCTGGGTCGCCTTTCTGGTGGTCTTCTCACTGGAATTTTTCATGCTGTGGGCTGGGTGTGTCCCTGACCTACACGCCTTGCAAGGCCCATGGAACCGGAGCCGGGGTCAGCGATGTCCCCTCTTCTTGGCACTCCTGCAAGTCACTGTTGCTGCCCTTCTCTCTGTACCCAGCACATTGGCATTTTCCCTGGTGCTGGGGCTTCTGGAAGGAAGGCCTGGAGAGAATGTGTCTCAGCAGGACAGCCCGACTTCTTCCACCCACCTCCTGCCGGTGCTGGGGCTCCTTGCTCACAGTCAGCAAATGACGGGGAGCCCCTCCACCCACAGGCACCCGGCTGGGGAGGGCCTCTGACTCCTTGGTGAACTGTGTGTGCCCCCGAGTCTGTCTTACCAGAGCCCTGCCCTTCATCTGCCCGACCGTTCGCAGGGTGTGAGAGGGGATGCTGGAAATGAGGTGAAAAGCTGCCTCTTGCACCCAAGGGCTCTGTCGGGGATCAACCAGCTCTTTCTCTTCCCTCCTCAGAGACAAGCGGGACTTTGTATCGGCAGGGGCAGCTGCCGGAGTCGCTGCGGCTTTTGGGGCTCCCATCGGGGGTACCTTATTCAGTCTGGAGGAGGGCTCGTCTTTCTGGAACCAAGGGCTGACGTGGAAAGTGGTGAGGAGGACCTGCAGTGAGCACTTGTCAGCTTGGCCACGCCCCAGTAATTAGGCTGGACACCCCGCTTGATTTTCCACCTGTACTTAGATGAGACCAGGAGACCTTGGCTTTACTGGAAATTCCCCTAGACACCCATAACCTCCAAACTCTAGACTCCCCATGTTCATGTCCTCCCCACCCTCCAAGCTGTCACCCCCACATCAAATTGCTGTTACCCTTTGGGTGAATCATCCAAAAAGAATACTTGAAACTGGCCTTGGCGTCAGGCCAGCAGTGGCAAAACATGGCCTGACTCCGAGTTCCTCGCCTGGAGGCGTCTGTTCTCCCTCGAGTGCTTTCTGTTCCTCGTTCGCCCAGGATCAGGCCCACAGGAGGCTGTTTGAGTGAAAACTTCTCATGGCCTGGCTTGTGCCAGGTCCATCCCACTTGAGTTATGACCCCCGGGGGCCCTGGATCCAGTCTAGACCAGAGTCTCCAGAGCAGTAGGGTCAGCTCAGGGAGAAGGCGGGGTGTGTTGTGATTAAACGCTCTTGTTTCTGTCGCCTGTCCCCTAGCTCTTTTGTTCCATGTCTGCCACCTTCACCCTCAACTTCTTTCGTTCTGGGATCCAGTTTGAAAGTTGGGGTTCCTTCCAGCTCCCTGGACTGCTGAACTTCGGCGAGTTTAAGGTATGTTTGGTCCTTTCCTCCAGAATTTCTTGACCCATGAGAATTGCTCTAAACTTCAGTGCCTGGGAGCAGTGGTCAGTAGGGTAGGTACAGTGTCCAGCGGGTGTCTCTGCCGCGTGGCCCCCTGTGCCTGCCCGTGCCTGGCCCGGCAGGACCAGCACTGCTGCGCTGGTGCTTGCAGAGAGAAGGCCGCCTCGCCGCTCACTCTGTCTTCTCCGCCTGTCCTTCCTGGTCTCATGGGCTCTGGTTTTTCTCTCTCCCTCCCTTGCCCCTTCTCTCAGTGCTCTGACTCTGATAAAAAATGTCATCTCTGGACAGCTATGGATTTGGGTTTCTTCGTCGTGATGGGGGTCATTGGGGGCCTCCTGGGAGCCACATTCAACTGTCTGAACAAGAGGCTTGCAAAGTACCGTATGCGAAACGTGCACCCGAAACCTAAGCTCGTCAGGTACCTGTGCAGTTGCCCCCAGCCGGCCATGGCTCCCTGAGCTCTGTGTGACCAGGCCACCTCGCCCCAGGAAGGCCGTTGTGAGACCAGACCCTGCTCCCTCCACCAGTGCCTCGTGTCTGGTGCTAGAACATAGACAGGGTCCTGACCCTGCTCTGGGACAGGCCTGAAGGCCGAGTCTGAGCGGCCTTTACAGCAGAGCTCCGCTGACTCCCAGCCTCTCTTGACCTGACCAGGACAGAAGGGCCCAGGAGACTGGCCCCAGGGACCTGAGATGGAAGGCTGGCTGCTTTGTTCTTGGCGAGAGAGGATGTGGGTGCGTGGCTGTGTTGTTGGCCCCGCTTTCCACACAATGGGAGCTGGAAACACGCAGGTGGCCACGCAGTCTCACTGTGCCGCTGCACCACATGCAGGGGCTGCTGGGCCTGCTCAGGGCAGTGAGGGCTGGGGGCAGGCTGGGTGGTCGCTGAGTTCCTGAGACCAGGACATCTCGTCATGCTGCACTTTGCTTCCAGAGTCCTGGAGAGCCTCCTGGTGTCCCTGGTCACCACCGTGGCGGTGTTCGTGGCCTCCATGGTGTTGGGAGAATGCAGGCCAATGTCGTCTTCGAGTCAAATCGGTAATGGCTCATTCCAGCTCCAGGTAACCCCAGTGCACCCGCGACCTCTGTCCTACACCCACAAGGAAGAATCCAGAAATGCTTGCCTGTGTTTAGAACTAATAGCTGTTGGGGTTCATCGCTTCACACACCTGTGTCAGGTGACTAAGAGAGAGAAGGGTGACAGTCACCTTTCCCAAAAGAGGACATGTACATTCCTGCTCTTTTTTACTTTGGGGAGCCATCCCAGCCATCATGCACACACACACGCTTGCACACACATGCGCACATGCTCATGCACACACTCACGTACACATGAACACCCCTAACTGGAAACAGAAGCTTAGGAAGCTGAGTTCACGTCTTCCAGCCCCAGTTTGCTCTCTCTGTCCCTGAAAGGTGCCCACCAGCCTCACCCACATGATTGTGGGGAGGACTTGTCTCCTTAGGGTGAACAGCAGTCCTGGCTCTTCCCAGCATCCTTTGGTCTGAGAACAGCTGGAATGTAGATCTGGTTGGCCACATTTGGCCCTTGGCAACTGCGTGTTCTTCACCCCCAGGCTAAGAATGACCTTTATATTTTTAAAGGGTTGTAATAAAAAAAAAAGCAGTAGAATGTGCCAGAGAGACAGCATGTGGCCTACAAAGTCTGAAATATTTACTGTCTGCCTCTTCACAGAAAGAATTTGCTGTCCCCTGTTGCTAGTTATTCCCTAGGCCAGCTCATTCTGAGACCTCTAGCTTCCAAAGTGTGTTCTAAGGAATACTGACACGTGATTCAGAGCCAAGCAGATGGACAAGAATCCTGGGGCTAAGTGGGTTGACCACAACTCAGAAAGCCTCACTGGCACAGGACATTCCAGGGCTCTCAGTGCCTTTCAGTGTTGTGGGTGTCTGGGGTATTTGTTGTGTGCCAAGTATTCTAAGTACTTGACATCCGTGACTTCATTTATTCCCCACCACCACTGTGTTGGCAGGTAGTAGTACCCCCATTTTACAGATGAGGAAACAGAGGCAAAGTAAGGACTTACCAAGATCACTCAGCTAGTGATGTGTAGCTTGGGGTAGGTTTTATTCCTGTTTTGCCAGGAAACTGAAGCTTCACAAAATAAAGTTCTTTCCCAAGTTCACTCGGGAGCAGCAGAGTGAGAGCCGAATCTACCTGATGACAGCCTGTTCTTTGTTTCGCCAGGAGCCCTGGCTCCCAGCAGGTGCCCTGTTGCTTTCCAGTGCCCTTAACTGGAAAGAGTCCTCTTCTCTCCAGAGACCCTTGGGACTGGCGTTCCTCCATGCATATTCTGGAAACACCAGACTATGGGGTCCACCAGGGGTCCTCTCAGCTTCACCGCTCACTGTTCCGTGCACATTTCTCCTTTGCCAGCTTCTCCCTGCCAGGTTCTGCCAATAGGGGGTGCTGTCCTCTCCCGTCGGGCAGCCTTAATCTGCCCTTATTCCAGCCAGGGTCACCCGAGGGAGTTACGCAAACCTATCACCTCTAACTGTTACCGTGCCCGTGTAAGGGCGTCTCTGGATGTCATCGGTAGAACTGAATCCAGGAGAATGTGTGTCCTTAGTCATTTTCTAAAGACATTCCACGCGCATGCCTGGTGACGGGTCTGGAGTACGTGCTGGTGTCAGCGGGAAGGCCAGGGACTGTCACCCTCCAAAAGCTCTCGTCCGCCAGTGAGTCAGGCGGGGCCGAATCTCACCTCTCCACGATGGGGAGAGCAAGAGTGAAATGTGGAGAGACAGTCTCTTCTTTCCCCACTTTAGATTTTATTCAGCCAGATGGGGCTTGGGGGGAGAGGCAGCCAGAATCAGTGTCTGCATCCACCCTGGAAGAGGACGCGGAGCCAAGGCCAAGGTGAATCCCAGTTGTAGTTACGCGGTCACGATGAGCGTGAATAGGCCAAGGTCTTCCTCCTGATTCTTTCATTCTCAAAATGCAAAGCCTGCAGCACCGCGCTGGCTGATCTTGGGTGTGCATCCTCTTTTGCCTCCTGTTTAATATTGGGTATAACTTGCAAGCCCGACTCCACCAGCCACAGACGCCCCGCCCGAGACACAGGGTTTCCTGACCGGGCGCTGGTGTAACTCCCGACTTCTGCTCCTCAGGTCATATCGGAAGACGTGAATTCAAGCATCAAAACCTTTTTCTGCCCCAATGACACCTACAATGACATGGCCACGCTCTTCTTCAACCCCCAGGAGTCGGCCATCCTTCAGCTTTTCCACCAGGACGGTGAGTGTCTGCCCTGGCCAGCTGGCCCGTGAGCGGCCCCCTTCCCCGCACCCCCCCACCCCCAGCAGGAGCAGGGCTTCACCTTTGTCCGCCAACCCAGACAAGGTCAGTGCTTCTGCCAGTGCCTGGAGAGCTGCCTGGGCCCGGGGGGACCTGGCAGGGGCCGAGGGGCTGGTGGGCAGGGCTGGTTTGGTTTGGTGCCTGCAGAACCGGTTCAGCGTGAAGAGCCGTGTCTGGTGGACGTCTGCCTTGCTGGGACTCAGGTGGGTCCTTGCCTTGCAGGTACTTTCAGCCCCATCACTTTGGCCCTGTTCTTCGTCTTCTACTTCTTGCTCGCGTGCTGGACGTACGGCCTTTCTGTCCCAAGTGGCCTTTTTGTGCCTTCTCTGCTGTGTGGAGCTGCTTTTGGACGTTTAGTTGCCAACGTCCTCAAGAGGTACCGTGAGCGTGCGTGTGTGAACCCCCTGAAGAGCGCGGACCATGGACTGTGTTCCTCCCGCCCTCCACCCCGAAGGATTCTGAGCCGCGTCTCGGTTTCTCGCCCCACCAGCTACATTGGATTGGGCCACATCTATTCGGGCACCTTTGCCCTGATCGGTGCCGCAGCCTTCCTGGGCGGGGTCGTCCGGATGACTATCAGCCTCACGGTCATCCTGATCGAGTCCACCAACGAGATCACGTACGGGCTTCCCATCATGATCACCCTGATGGTGAGCTCCGCTTCTGGCTCTCCAGGCCCGGGGCCAAGTGCACCCCACCGCTGCGCGGCCTCAAGTCCCTGCTGTGTTACAGGTGGCCAAATGGACGGGGGACCTTTTCAATAAGGGCATCTATGACATCCACGTGGGCCTGCGAGGCGTGCCGCTTCTGGAATGGGAGACAGAGGTGGAGATGGACAAGTGAGGCCATGATTTCTCCTCGTGCTGGTTCAGAATGCATAAACTCTGGGGCCAGGGCCCATGGGTGTTCAGGGAAGAAATGGGAATTCAGGTTCCTAGGAGGGAAGAGGTGAGGCAGTAAATAGCGACAGGGAGGTCCTTCAAACAGCACTCAGGTTTGGGGGTGTCGCAGAGCCCAGGGTGCTGGCAGCTCAGGGCAGGGTGGGGGCAGAGGAGAGTGGGCCGCTTGGCGGTTTGGTTCGGTTCCTATGGCATTCTGGTTAATCTGAAAAGAAGCTTCTGGATGAAGTCTTTGTGTGGTTGAGGATTTAAGTCTCCCGTGTGCCCGATGATGTGTCCTGTCAACGGCAGTGATTCCAGCATCATCACCAAATGCTCCCCTGGCCCACGAACAGTTTAGGCCGCCCGCATCCACATATCGCACCAGGCCCTAGTGGTCAGCTGTAGGGGGCAGCAGGCTTTCCTGTAAAGGTCCAGAGAGTAAATCTCTAGCTCTGCCAGCCGTGAGGCCTGTCACACCATCCAGCGCCTCATGTGTGAGTGTGTGCGCACAGCTGGCTTGCTCTGTGGGGCTCTGTGGTCTAAAGGGGTCCCCCAGAGGTTTCTTATAAATCTCCATGATACAGTGAGCGGCTCGGTGGTGAGGTGTGGCAAGTGCCACGGTGTGATGAGGAGGGAGGGCCAAGCCCTGGGCAAGTGCAGAGGGTCAGTGGTAAGGGGACATTCGTGTGGATTGAGGGGTCACGCCCCAGCAGTGTGACAGCACAGGGATGGGTATGCCAGGCCTCGGAACCGCCTGGGCGGTTCTATCCAAGGGGATAGAAGTACCAAGGACTGTGGGGTGTGCTCAAGGAGCCGCCAGAGATGGTTCAGAAGAGCGCCCCCGGGTGGTCTGGGAAGTACAGGGGGCCACAAGCTGCTCACAGCTTGTTCCTGGGGTGCTGGGAGCTCCCTGCTGAGACTGCACGGTTCCCCTCCCTCGCCAGACTGAGAGCCAGTGACATCATGGAGCCCAACCTGACCTACGTGTACCCGCACACCCGCATCCAGTCCCTGGTCAGCATCCTGCGCACCACAGTCCACCACGCCTTCCCCGTGGTCACTGAGAACCGCGGCAACGAGAAGGAGTTCATGAAGGGCAACCAGCTCATCAGCAACAACATCAAGTTCAAGGTGAGCAGAGCAGCCTGAGAGGCGGATTAGCAGCCAGCGGCTCTTTGCAGCTCACGTGCTATAGCTGCTCCCCCTGCGGGACCCATTGGCTCTTGGGGGGCATCAGCCCTGCTTAGCGTGTGTGAGGGAGTGAGCTTGGGCTCGACAGCGAGTCTGGCCTCTGCTAGGCCATCAGGATGTGTGTCCAGTCTCCCTGCAGTCGGCGTGTGGACAGACCATTTTCAGTGCCAGTTGTGTCAGGGAGAGCCCTGGAGCTGCCAACAGCAAAGACAGACTTTGACCTACTTAGAAAGAAGGTGAATCCGTCAGAGCCCACGGGACTGGCGGCAAGCTGAGGCGCGGCACAGATGCTTTGGCAGGCGGGCGGCTTAGCGTGGCGGGGGCGGCCATTCCTGATTCGACATCCAGGCAGGGGGAAGCCCCATTGCTTCCCTGGGGCCATGTGCCCTTGGCTTTGGGGATAGGTGCACACCATCCCACCAAGATCTGAAGGGAAGGAGGGGCTGTACCCCAAGACTGGAGAATTGGGCTGCTGTTCCCCAGTTCAAGGAGGAGAGGTGCTAGGCCGGCAAAGACCACGGGGCCTGGGGCTCCGCAGCTTCTTGAGTCACAAGCCCAGAGCCGCTGTGAGGAGGCTGCGTTCCTCCATGAGCTCAGGCTCGTACCCCTCATGTCCCCCAAATCCTGCGGCCCGGTTGCTGCTGCTGTTGCCACGTTGGTGCATCCACACGCCGCACACCCCGACCTCCCTCGTCGAGCTTGTGTCCAGGGCGCCCTCCTGTCCACAGAAGTCCAGCATCCTCACGCGGGCGGGTGAGCAGCGCAGACGCAGCCAGTCCATGAAGTCCTACCCGTCGAGCGAGCTGCGGAACATGTGTGACGAGCACGTCGCCTCCGAGGAGCCAGCCGAGAAGGAGGACCTGCTGCAGCAGATGCTGGAGCGCAGGTGAGAGCCAGTCCACGGGGCTGCGGAAGGGCCCGCCCCGGGCTCCACGGCAGGGAGCCCCGAGTTCCTTGGGCGCCTGGGGCGGGGCGGCATGGACGTGGTGCTGCTGCAGGAGTGCTAGGCAGCGTGTGGTTTTTGTGTGCCAGATACACTCCCTACCCCAACCTGTACCCCGACCAGTCCCCGAGTGAAGACTGGACCATGGAGGAGCGCTTCCGCCCGCTCACCTTCCACGGCCTGATCCTGCGCTCGCAGCTCGTCACGCTGCTCGTCCGGGGCGTCTGCTACTCTGAGAGTCAGTCGGTGAGTCGTCCGCTCGGGTCTCGTGCTTTGGGAAGGCGCAGGTGGCAGGACACAGCCCCGTCCTTTGGGTCCTTGGGAGGCTGAGGGTCCCCTCTGCAGTCGGCAGCGTCTTACCAGGCGATGCCGGGCAGCGTGTGAGGCTCCCTCCAGCCCTTGTCCACTCGGCCTCGAGTTCTGCCGGCCTGCAGCTGCTCAATAGTTCTACATTTTCATTTCTGATATAAGCCTTAACCTGTGTCGTCAGCAGAAACGCTGCTCCTCCCACCAACTCCTCTGTGGTTTTCTTTTTCCCTCATTTGGTTCTTGGGCAGTCAGGGTGGTGGCTTGTTCAGACTTGTCCCCTTGGCCACCCGAGACGCACTTGCCCTCAGATGCTTCAACCCCTCAGACGGAGCTGGACAAGCAGCCAGAGACCCGATTTCCACGCCGACTCCCGGCTGCAGTCTGGCCGTGGGAGGCCGGCTGGGGTCACTCATGACTGGCCTGGCAGTGGGCAGCTAACGAGGGGGTGGTCCAGGGTTCGGAGATATGACCAGGGAGGGCCAGCCTGGCAGAGGTGGGGCAGAAGGTGCTGTGCAGTTGAGGAGGTCGGAGGAGTGAAGCAGAGGGTCACGGAGGACTCGCCTGCCTGCTGGAGCCCACCAGAGCCTGCCGATAAAGCGCTGGGGACCCTTGCTGCTTGGCAGGCAGTGGGCTAGAGAGCTGTGTGCAGAGTGGAATTAGGGGCGAGGGTCACAGCAGCACAGGGACACTGAGAGCAGTGGGGCAGCCAGGACGCAGGGTGACCGTGAGAGGCCTGAGCGCTGAGCCCAGAGGGGTGCGGCCAGGCTGTCGGGGCCCTTCCCTGGGACAGCCGTAGCCGTTGTCATGCACTGGGTGGCTTCAAGCCGCAGGGATTTTTCCTTTCCTGGTTCTCGAGGTCAGCGTGAATTTCCAGGGCCTCAGGCCTCTGGGGGCTCCCAGGGAGGTGCCTTCCTGCCTCTTCCTGGCTCGTGCTGGTGGCTGCAGTCCTTCCTCCACGGTGGAGGCTTTGCTCCAGTCTGCCCCCGTCGGCCTCCCTGGACTTCCTCTCCTCTTTCTGGAAGGACACCAGTCATTGGCTGTAGGGCTCACCCTGATCCAACATGACCGCATCCCGACTCTATCCCAAGACCCGATATCTAATAAGACACGCGCAGGTGCCAGGCTTGTGGACTTGGACTTCTCTTCCGGGGGATGCAAGGGAGTCCACCTCGCTGCTATGAATTTTTTCTTTCTTGCTTAAACTTCAGAGTAACCCATGTTCATTTAACAGATGAAGAAAGGGAAATTCAGAGAGGTTGTCCGAGGTGACTTGGCTGGGAATTGGCCGAGAACTGCCTGGGATGAGGCGTTCTCGCCCTAAAGCCCTGCCGTCCGGCCCCTGCTCCAGGCCGCCACCAGGCTGTGGGAGGGGGGTCTAGATGTGGCCTCCCGCTGCCGTGCTTGGTGCAAGGCCAGTGTCTTGGTTGGAAATGCAGAGCGCCAGCCAGCCTCGCCTGTCCTACGCCGAGATGGCCGAGGATTACCCTCGCTACCCTGACATCCACGACCTGGACCTGACCCTGCTGAACCCCAGGATGATCGTGGTGAGAAGGGCTGCGCCTTTGGGACAGTCTGCCAGAAAAAAGGCCAGAGTCCTCCCTGCGTGGACGGCTGTCCCCTCGTCCTGTTTGGACACACCTGCTGTAGGTGACCTGTGGTTTCTTTTCCTCTGCAGGATGTCACCCCATATATGAACCCTTCGCCCTTCACTGTCTCACCCAACACCCACGTCTCCCAAGTTTTCAACCTGTTCAGAACCATGGGCCTGCGGCACTTGCCGGTGGTGAACGCAGTGGGCGAGGTGAGTCTGGGCCTTGGCAGGTGGAGGGGCTGCCTGCGGATGGGCTGGCCTGCATTTGTCCACCCGCCCACCTTCTAGAAAGGATTCTCTCCCCACAGTGCTGTTTATAAGCCAGGGCTTCTCACCCAAGAGGAAACATCAGAATCCCACGGGGATCTTTCTCTGACTAAGTACACCCTCAAAGTTCTCCCACCAGGAGTGAGGAGGAAAAGTGGGGTGTGGCCCCCTCCCCCATAGCTCAGCAAACCTCTCCCCTTTGCCTCCTGCGGTTTCTTCTAGGCCAGCTCCACTTGGGCCAGCAGAGGGCGCCCGTGTCACACCGACCTTTCTCGCCACCATGTAGGGCCCTCTCCTGAAATGGTTCCAGAACAGGGGCCTGTGCTGCCTGTCTCATGTCTTCCCAACCGCCCTCACCCTGCCCCCACTCTGACCCCATCGTGGGAATTTGTGTCAGTAAATGAGAGAATTTCTAGCAAAATACTTGGAGAGTTTGAAAAGATACAATACCTGGTCATTTGTGCTGGGGGCATTTCCATTTTTTCCTATTTCTTAGAATTCCCCTTTTTTCTTGTTACCTGAGTGTGACTATTTGACTGTAGAAAAATCAGAAAATACAAGTAAACACAAAAAGAGAAACCTACCTCTTATCTCCCCAGAGGCAGCTTATTCACATTTCAAGGTAGAGTCTGTCTTTTTCTCTGCAACTAGATATAGAGGTTTTACACAGCAAGCTTCCTGAAAACCTTATCACTGTTCGCAGTGACTTCTCCCTTACCCTACAGAGAGGGCTGCCTGTGCAGAAAGCCTCCGCTATGGCTGTTTTAATGGCCTGCGGGCTCCCCACTGCATGGCTGTCTGGTCTGCTCAGTCCTGTCGTGGATATTGATTGGGTGTCCCTGTGGACACCCGTTTAGATATGTCCAAGCCGTGCTCTAGGACTGACACCTCTTGAAGGTCACAGAGTCGTGGCCACATCGACGCTGACCTATCCCGCACGGCCAGGCCGGCGGCCAGTCCGCTCTCGCCACCCTGGGCCAGGCAAGCACTGTCCGCTCAGACTCTCGCCACCGGGTCTTGCCCTGCGGGTGACGTGGGTCTTTCTCTCCTGGTCCTAGATCGTTGGCATCATCACACGACACAACCTGACCACCGAGTTCCTGCAGGCCCGGCTGCGACAGCACTACCAGACCCTCTGAGGCTGCCTCACTGCCACACGCCAGCCCACCCACCCCTGGAGCTGCCAGGGTGGGCGGCTTGCCCTGTTCTGCCCCCACGGCTGGGGCTGTTCTGGGCACTCAAGATTTCCAGCTGCCCCCTCGCTCAGAAAGCCTGCAGTCCCTGAGCGCGCTGCTCTGAGGCCTGGGACAGCGTGGGCCCGTCATCAGTTTGGGCTTGTCTGACTCTCAGCAAGTGTCATCCCCTTTCCTGCCCCCACGTCCCTACCATCCAGTGTTGGCACAGGCCCCTCCCCTGACACGCCAGGACCAGAGGGGAAGTCAGCTCACCCCAGGAGGGTGACCCCAGAGCAGTTTTCCTACCCGCTTTGCTGCTTCCTCGGGACCCAGCTGTTGCCTTAAACCATGACGGCCGTGGCTCTGGCCCGTTCCGACACTCGGGGGCCAGTTCCAAAGTCAGTGAATGTCTCAACTTAGGAATTGGCACCCAGAAACCTGTCCAGTCTTTGAGGTTCTCACTCGACATCTCTGGCAATGGATTTTAGGGAGGTTTCTCCTGGATGTGAGCTGGCACCCTGGGCTCCCCACGTCATTTGAGTCTCCTTAAAACCACACCCTCCAGAAGCACAAAGCACCCAAGCCCCATGGCCAGCTCTAAACCACAGGCCTAGCACCGGGGCAGGTGGATGCCTGTCCTAACCTTTGACCCTGAAGCTTGCTCGCCTTCCCCCACTCAAGGCCACCCCTCGCGCTGCCCGGCTCGCCCTCTCCGTTGAATTCCTAAACCTTCTTAAGTTTGACCTCTGTCTTCCCAGGGAAGCAGCCACAGCCCAGAGGACCTTGGCTTTACCCTCTAAGTCAACTAAAAGCAGGGCACCCCTAGATAGAACTGCTTCGCTTGACTCGGGGAACGGTACGGGCATTTATGATGGAAAGGGGGCTCCTAAAAGGTACGTGATGTGGCTTGAAAAGCATGTGCCTTGGTAAAGCAGGTGGCTCATTTGAGGAAGAAGAAGAGGTGTCTGCCCTTCACAGGCATCCCCACCACCCCCTGCCCCCGCCGCTGCTGGCCAGCCCCAGCCTGTGGGCGTGCTGGCCCCTGGGGTGCTCAGAATGGGGGCTTCAGGCAGGTCTGCAGTGCTGCGGGGGCTGTGCTGGGGAGGGGAAGATGCTTCCTGCCAGCGCATGCTCTGAGGTTCTAGCATTAAACACTGGGAGTCTCCCTCTGTCTTTCAGTGACTCAGTTTCCCTCCAGGCTGCTTGGTCTCTCCCCGCCCCCAGTAGGCTCCCTTGGGCATCAGACATTTCCCTTCTTTTCTTGCCCTCTGTGTGCACTGTGGCTTGTCAGCATCTGGACACAGCCGCAGCCCTGCGGAGGGGCTTCGGGACCCAGGGGTGGTCATTCACGCCAGGTGGTTTTTATCATGGAAGGGGCCTGAGGGGTCCTGTCCCTGAGGCACCTCTTTCCTCCCCTCTGCGGGGCCTGGGGTGTCAGGGCATGCTGGGGCTTGGGGAGGGGGGCTCTGCACCCTTTCCACCTTATTATTCTTATCATCTTGATCAAAATTACTTTGAATTCTAAATGTCTCAGCATCTCGGAAGCACTTACATGCAAAATGTGTATGAAACAATAAATAGCTAGGAAAATCCCAAGGACCAAAAATGTTGCGACAGGAGCTTTGTCGCCTCTTTGCAGCACAACGCAGTGAGGGACACAGCAGTCGTGGAGCAGGTTGGCAAGGCCAGACTCTGCTTCTTGAGCAGAGAAGTTCTTGTGCCATTGGTTGAAAGCACCCAGGCTGGTAAAGCTGACCGTGCGACAGTGGTAGGAGTACGGGCCGGAGGGTGGGATAGGAATGGGGGACAAGTTTTACAAGGGACAGGGAAGGGGACATCACGACCCTCCATCAAGAGCCATTTGCGTCAGCAAAGTATTTGATGTTACCACAGGCAGAGCATCCCAAGATCACCGCGGAGACAGTCCCATAATCAGGTCAGCAGCGGCCTTGACGTCCCCGGGCTGCCGCCTGATACGGGCTCTGCTCCGTAGGAGGTCTAGGAACGCTCTGCTGTGATGTGTAGATAGCAGATAGGTCACAGTTGCCCATGAGTGGCCAGCTAGTAGCCAGCTCATGGGAACCCACACAAAAAGGCAAGCCCTGCCCCTCACTGTCCCTCCCTGTGTTTCTGTCCCTTTTCCTCCCCTGCGTCTCGCTGTGCGCATCTCCCTTGCCTCTTAGTTTTAAGGCTGCGCTCAAAACTGGGCCACGTTGTTTCTTCCTTTTATTAAGAAGGGGACCAATGGCTGAAGCATCAGAGATGCTGAATCCCCTCTTCCCGCCCTCCTGAGCTGCAGAACCAGAGGCCCATGGGGTAGCTCCCCCCAAGGACCGCAGCCTCTGGGGTAGGTTCACCAGCCGCTGACTTCAGGCCTGCGTTGGGGAACGTGGCTGGAATCCCTCCCTCCTGCACATCCTGTTGTGTTTTGGTCACCAGATCCTTGGCTTCCCTCGCCCCGGCAACAGTGGAATGCAACCGCCTCCCTCCCCTGACCCAACTGGAGGCCAGGGAGGACCCAGGCCCCAGGAAAGGACATTTCCTGTCCTCTGTTGGCCTCTGCCCTTTCCAGATCAGCCCAAAGACAGCCGTTAGAGCAAAACCACTGGCAGCTTTGCGCCTTTGATTTTCATTAGAGACTGGCATTTCCAACACCTCACCTCCAGCCTCCCCTTGCCACCTGGTGACATGCACCCCATAGATAAAACTCACAGAGGGGGCTCCGGGGCTGGCTAAGGGGGTTCCTGTGTTTCGTCTTCAGCCTGGCATTCATGGTGGTGATTGGGGGTGGGGCGCAGGGTCCTGTCCTGACTGGGCCCTTTGTGCCCTGGGGCTGATTTGCTCACGATCATGTTGAACTAAGGTTCCTGGCTTGAATGGAGCTTGCTCGACCCCCGGCATCCCCTGCACGGGAGTGCTACTCTCATGACCCTGGGGGTCTGTATGCACCCGGGGGTCTCAGTGTTGCCCCAGCGGCCCCTGTGGACTCGCTGCTCATTCACAGCAGCAGCTTCCCCCTCCTGTTTGCACTGTTTGTTTCTACAGTAATGTTAGCTAATTCCACCGTGTATATAAATTGTATTTTTTTTAATTTGTATAATTCTATTTTTATTTGAACTTTTGGAACTCGGAGGTTCTCGTAACCATAACATGTCAGAATAAAATGTCGTCACGTCTCCTCTAGCCCTTTGTCTCTGCCGCTTTAGTGCATACTGGACTTTTATTTTACTGCCTCTTTTTCTAATATGGAAAACTTGCAAAGCTTGAGGGTAGCTTTATAGCCTTGTTTCTCCTTCCACACCTCTCCCAGAGGAACACTTCCCAGGGCCACTCTCCACCTTCGTGATCGGAACCAATTCAGCCCTGTGAGTCTTAGCAAAACCCACAGAATCACACCCTCCTGTTTCTGCCTTCAAATGGACACTGGGAGACTTGTTTACTGATCTCCCTCCTCCCGCGAGCGCCGCCCATGTCGGCTGCTGCTCCCCACACCAGCTGGACAGTCATCCGTTTGTGCTCCCGGCAGTGTCGTGCTGGGAGCTGGCCCCTCAAGGTTTGTGCCACATCCAGCCAAGGAGAAATGCTACCGGTGCTGGGTCTCTGGGTGTTTAGACCTTGGGACTTGCTTCTGTTGGTGCAATTGACATTGCTTCTTGTTCACTTTCGGTTTTCCCAGCATGGAGACTTTCTTTTACTGAGCTGCTCCTAGCTGCCCTTACCCGCCATGGTGGAAGCGATCTCAGTTAATCATTCACATCGCTCCACCTGCCAAGTTCCCTCTCAGTTCCAGGGGCATCTTCTGCCCTGGTATTTGGCACCTTCCATCCATCCCATGAGAACCCACTGTCACGGGGACGCCTCAGGCATGTGCCCAGATTCCTGCTTTTCCCCTCCCTGCCACTCCTGCTTCCCAGCACCGGTGCTCAGCAGCCAGGTTTGGGCAAACGCTTCTCCTCCTGTCTAACTCTGTCCTTGTTAGTCACCCCCTGCTTCTTGGTTTCCTGCCTTCTATGTTCAAAGTGCACTTAAGGACATTTTTAGTGGAAGTGGTTAGAGTTCTTTCCCCACCTCCACTCCCTAACCATCAATTCTTTGCTCACCGCCCCCATTCTCTCTACAGGGAGTAAATTGCTACCGTATTTCCTCTTTTCCTAATTTCTGTACAAGAAAACAGTATCAGTTCGACTACGTGCTGCAGGGGGGCTACTGAAGGGTCATCAGGGACAGCCAATTGCATTCCAAGGCAGGTTGTGTCCAGATGGTAGCTACTAACAAAATGCTGCTAACAAAGATCTTAATTTGTGCTGGGCACGTTATCTCAAGGAAGGCTTCCTGGAAGAAATGGTCTTGGCAACGAGCCTGGAAAAATGAATAGAATGGTCTCAGGAGCACTGGATAAAGGGAATTCCAGGTGGAAGGAACTACATCAAGCACATGGAGAACCAAGCATGTAAGTGAAGGGGGTATTGGAGGAGTGTCATAGAAGACGATATGGTGTTGGGGGTACACAGGAGGGGGAGGGGAGTACTACTTTCTGTTGTGGATCAACTTAGTGCCTGATATTTTCTGCCTAAGACAACAGCCTTTTTAGAAACAGGTAAAAACTGTCTTCCCCAGTGGCTCCCACCTCAATAAAATCTGCAAGCCTGACTTAGGGAAAGATGGTGGCTATTTCTCAAACACGCGCCAGAACCCCAAAGGCCCATAAGCTTGCAGTTTGTCAACATAGCAAACATTACTGTCTTCACTTTGTTCAGCTTTTGAACCCAAAACATTGTACCTATTCTTCCTAAAATGAGTTCACTCAGCTCCATAGCCAACTCTCAAAACGTAGCAGAGAAAATTTAATGCTCTCATTTTATAAATGTGCCTCAAAAAATAACTAATCAGGGCCTCCCCTGGTGGCGCAGCGATTGAGCGCTGGGCTGCAAAGCTGCCCACAGCCTCTGCAGCGCTGGTTCGATCCCCGGCCGCCGGTGAGGGTCCCACATGGCGTGCAGACCTCTCCTGCTGCGCCTGCTGCTCCCCTCAGCAGTGTATTTCTTTGTCAGTCTGCCTGTTCTGTTCCCCGCTCTGGCTCTGGTGAATTCTCTCACCCTCCCGCACTTCTGACTGTACCCAGTGCTTGTATAAATAAATAAATAAATCTTTTAAAAAAAAAAAAAAAACAAAAAACAAATCCCAAGGTGTGCAAAAAAAAATCCGATATTTGTGAGTTTCCATCACTCTCACTATGGGCAAACCTAAGTAAAAATACATTCCTTTGCTGTTTCCTAGGGCCTTTTGGTATCCATGATCAGGCTGGAGTGAAGTCAGCATATTGAGAGCTGCAGCTTGAGCCCCAACTCCACTCAAAGGAAAAAAAAAAAAACAGGGAGGAAGGAATGAAAGGAGGAATGTGTCAAGCCCACAGGATGTCCAACACCCAGAGCAAGCTCAGTGTGAAGTATGGACACTGGCTGATGTGTAAGTGCAGGTTCACTCACAGTAACAAATGTTCCACTCTGCACTTGATGGATCTGGGCCAAGGGACCCCTTGGTACTTTCACAATTCTTCTAGATTTCTGAATGTTTAAAATTAAATGAAATCATCTTTCCTTTAAAAGAAATTTTTAAATGTTCCACTCTGGTGGGGATGGTCTGTGCAGGTCGGGGCTGGACAGAGCTGAATACAGGGTTTCTGCTAAATTTCACAGTGAGCTGAAAACTGCTCTAAAAAATAAAGCTTACTAATTATTTTTTAAAGGAGCTAGAAAGAAAGGGAGCATTCCTCTCTGACAAAAGGTAAAATGAAAAGTTTTAGCAGGCTGAATTCTCTTCCCTGGAAATAAAAGAAATCACGCCAATCCAGGCCATTGTCCTCTGTCCATGGTGCTGAATTTTATTCACGTTTCAAAGCGCTGTCAGTAACAGGTGAGGGTCTTCCCTAACATTTAATGCGTAGGTGGGAGAGGTGGAGAAGCCACAATTAAACCACTTTATCTACACTTAGCATAAAATGTGAAAATGTTGACCGGAGGCTGCAGCTTGGATCGGTTGCTCCTCACAACCAGGTCCTCGGGTGGTGAGATCGAAGTGAGAGACCCAGGGATGAGGGCCTGGATCACCTTTTCCTCCCTGGCCATTATCTTCGGTACTGCAAACAGAACACAGACATGTTTGGCTTGATGACTGGCTGTACTGGAAAATTCAGCTTCCTAGGACTCCCCATCAGTCTCCACACCAGCCTGACGACCCCCCACCCCTCCAGGTTTCATGAGATGGTGCAGGAGTTACTCATTAGAAGCCAATAAGGTTGGCCCCGGTAGGTTGCATCTAATCCGTTGGGATCTCTGAATTCTGGGGAGTAATGTGGACTACCCACCACCAGTACAAAGGGGACTTGGCCCCATGATCCTTTAATTTTCCAGTGGTAGTAACTTTCATTTCGATTAGAACATTCTAGTAGCTGAGGACAGTATCATTGTCCTGAGACTCACAGTCACCCACCTAGTTGGGGCAGAAACTTCAAAGGGAATCAACTTCGGCCTGAGTCCTTGGTAGTATTTTTTGACACCTCATGTCAAAAAATTTTTTGACACCCCATCCCATTTCCACACCCAGTTCTTCTTACCCGGAAGCTGTTGCAGCCCAGTCCACTCTGGGTGCCAATCCTGTCCATCCTGCCCCCAAAGCAACTGGACCTCCGCAAGCTCCGAGGGGCAGCGAGCAGGGCCCTGAGCTTGCTCTTCAGGAGGGCAGATCTATCGGAGGAGTCCCAGGGGCCCTGCCCCAGGACACCCCCATCTCTCTGGCCTGGGCTGACCTCCCCAGTCCAGGAAGGCACCTCAGGGAGGGGGCTGAGAGCTGCCCCAGCTTCTTCATTCTGCTCCCTTAGTGCTTGTGGGGGCACAACCTCCTCTTCTAAAGGCATCTTGTCCTCCAGATGGTCCAGCAAATTCTTTACAAAGGAAAAACACAGAGAGGGAGTGGCTCAGTGACTGGGTGCAGTCCCAGAGACCCCGGTCCCAGACTGCAGCCCCTCTCCTTCAGGTCCTACCTTGAAATCCATCAGATCTGCGTTGGACACAGGGCCGTACACAGGGTTGGCTCCGCTTTGCCCTGAGAGCTGGACCACCACAAAGAGGAGGAAGCTCGCTGTGATGGTGGAGAAGCGCATTCTGGCGTCGGTCAAGGAGCAGGCCCCTCTGGTTTCCCTCTCTTGGATTTTGTCCGTCTCTGTCTCCCAGCTGCCCTGCGCCTCCTCTTTTTATAGCCCCCCAGCTCTCCAGGAGCGCAAAACGGATGAAACCCTCCCCATTCTGTCACTTGCAGTGATAAAGCAGCTGAGTGAGGAGCGAGCAGATGATGCCCTTTTAAAGTTATCAGTCCTGCGGAGCTGGTCACAGCCCCTTCGCCTGCAGCAGCCGTGGCAACCCCCGGTCCTCAGCTGCAAGAGCCACATTCTTGTTGATTTGCCTCAAGAGGCTCCCACTTCAAAGGTGTGAGGAGAGCAAAAAAGAGTCCTTGGTTATCTCACAGCGATGCCTCAGGCTCCTTTCTCCTCAGCGACTGGACCAAGGCAGGGAAGCCGTGGGTGACGTTTTGGCTGGTGCCCAGCTCCCCCGGTTGGATCGCAGCTCAGCTGTCGGGGGCTCCAAATAAGGGCGGGACAGGAGGAAATGACAGGCCGCCAGCAGCTCAGGACAAATTAGTCCAGATGCTGGAGCTGACCTCACACCTGACTCATCCTCCGGCGGGGCTGCCTGACACAGACTCACAGTCATCAGGTGAAGAGGGAGTTATTTTTTCAGGGTATTAAATCAGCTGGGAACCAAATGTGATGAATGTCCCAAGAATTCAGTAATGTCCCTTCTTCCTCCCGGGAAAGCTGCCCTGACGAGCTGGCTGATGGGGGGGATGGGAAGCGAATGAGGCGTGCAATTTCCCTGAACGCCTTCGTGACTTATTTCTGGGCCAGGCAAGTAATGAGCCTCTGAGGCCCCAGTTTTCCTGCCCATCCACCAAGGAGAAACAAGAGGTGGCAAAGCTTTGTACCTGCAGCGAGTGGCCTATGTCCCCTCAGCACCGCCTTCGGCGTCAGGTGCTACCCAGCACCAGGTGCACGGGGGAACAGGACTTTTGTGGGGCTGAGGCAAGCGCACGGGTGCCCAGAACATCATCGGGGCTTTATCTTCCCCGTCTGTAAAATGAGGGAAAATATAAAACCTGCTCGCCTGCCTCTCTAGGCGGCTCAAAGGAGCCTGTAACCGTAGGGAACCATTTTGAAGTGTGACGTGCTGTAGAACTGCAAGTGGGAATAGCAGGGAGGAAACTGTCAAGGGAAGGGCTCCCTCGGCGCCCCCAACCCCGGCAGCCGTCCACCACAGAAGCCCAGAGAATGTGTTTTGGGCAACCACCTCCGGCCAGGCCAGACCCCTGCCTGGCTGTGCTCACTCGGCTGATCAGGTGGAGAGCCGTTCTGTGCCAAGACGGAGGGCGTCAGGGCGGACGTGGTCACGAGGTGAGAGGCTCCAGGGGGCTACTCTAAGAGCCCTCTTCAGTGACTTAGCTGGGTCGGCCACACTCTGCTGAAATCAGAAATGGGTGCGGGTCCGAGCAGGAGCTTGAAGGCAGAATCATCAGATCCTGCTCCTCTCGAGAATGTGCTCACAGCTTAATTACTCGGCTGGCAGGGTTATTATTAGCAAAGATGATTCAGTGAGCACCGCATGGGGGGCGCTCCTTGCTGCCCGCATCACACGTCACACAGCCTGCCTCCTGGAGATGCCCTTTGAGACCGACCTTTGAAGCGGGTGCAGGCTTCGGAAGGGCACGTCGCAGGTGGCCCGTGAGCCCCAGGGCAGCGCCTCTGTCCCGAGCCACTTCTGCAGCCTGCGGGTGGCCCCAGGAGAGCGGAGGTCCCATCCAAGTTTGCAGAAACACAAGTTCAGAGTGCACCACCGCTTTTTATTCATCACTTTTCTCTTCCAGAGATAAACCAGAGTTGGCGGGGGTGGGGGGGGGGCTGTGGTGTCATTTGTTGAGTTTCTGCTCTTCACTTCGGCTTTTTTTTTTTTTTCTTTTTGCAGAAGGGAAGTGGCAGGAGGAGAATATTTGGATGTGCTGCCCTGAGGACTTTGGGCAGAACCACCGCCACCTCCTGCCCTCAGGGGACCCAGTGAATGCAGCCGAACCCCAAATGTACCAATTGCTCTGACCCATTAAAGTTTTGGATGGGAATCTGGAATGGAGAAATGCTTGATGACAAATTTCTCTTCATTCTATATCCCTGTTCAACTTTAGGGGTACACGTGGAGCAGTTAATATTTAATGGGGTGTTTAGAAAAAAGCCTGGGGCCTCCCTGGTGGCGCAAGGGGTTGAGCCCAGCACTGTGAAGCTGTCCACAGCCTCTGCAGCACGAGTTCGATCCCCAGCCAGGGAGCTGCCCACATGGCGCAGCAGACCTCTCCTGTCTCCCCGCTGCTCCCCTCAGCAGTGGATTTCAGTGGTTCTGCCTGTTCTGCTCCCCACTCTGTCTCTGGTGAATCCTCTCACCCCCCACACCTCTGGCCCACAGCCCACCTCCCATATGCATAAATAATAAATCTTTAAAAAATATAGTGAAAGCAGCCTGTAGGAGTGAGAGAGAAGAAAAGCAAAAGGCACAGAAAACCAAAGCCACCGCCCACCCCCTCCTGTCCCACTAGTTGAAAAATCAAAAGCCTTTATTTCCTTATCACGGGGAAGACGTTGTCTTAGTCACAGGACGGCACGACTCCTGCCAGTGTGTGGGAGAAGCCAGACTCTGGGTCCTTCCATTTGCCCATCCGGACTTTGTCATCAGGCCCCTCCCCGGGAGGCCGTGGCCGCCCTGGGAGCCGGGAGGGTCCAGTGACGTCACGCATGCCCAGAACAGGAACCACAAACCCAGGCAATTATCATGCAACTCTGTCAGCTCCCAAGTTCCTAAGGCAGAATTGGGGGACACGTTGGCATATTTAGGGATGGTGGTTTCTGACTTTGAAAATGATGTTCTTTTCCTTTGACAATACGGGGTCACTGGGACTGGAAGTTGGGAGGCAGCCTCCCTAGAAAGCAAAGCCCCAGGCCAGCATTTGCTTATTGAAGCTTTTCGGGCGTTCCAGTTCAAGGGAAGCAAGAGCAAAGGAAAGAAGGGACACCCAGTAGTGTATCCGTAAACTGCTGCTGCCTAACAAGTCACCCCAGACCTCAGCAACTGAACACCGCTCTGCTGCGGAGGGAACGCTTGGTCAGGAGTCTGGCTCCGACGAGCCGAGTGCCTCTGCCTCTGCCTCAGGCCTGGTGCTGCAGGCTGTGCCGTCTCGAGGCGCGGCCTGGCGATTGGCTTTGCAGCCCCCTCCTGTTCTGTGGCCAGGACTCAGGTCCTCGCTCATGCTGCTTAGAGATGTCAGCTCCTTGCCATGCGGCCCTCTGCAGAGACTTAGACGTGAGTCCAGTCTAGACAACGACTTAGGAAGAGAGGCTGAGCGAGGGCTTGCCTGACACTGCCTCGCGGCCACCTGATCTCGGAGGCGACCTCCCGCCATTTGTTAGACGTGACTCGCTCTGTCCAGTCCACACTCAGAAGGAAAGTGGACAAGACCATGGACCCCAGGAGATGCGCGACCTGCGGGCTGTTTCTGAGGCTCCCAGCACTGGTAGGAAAGAGGACGAGCAAACCTCAGGTGGCATGTTCCAAGCGGCCACAGCCTCGCCAACCCCCCGGGATGTGCTGGCCCCGGCAGGCATCTCCAGAGGCTGCGTGGAGCCGGCACCCCGGAACAGCCTGTGAGGAGGGACGGAGGAGAGCAGCTTTGGGGGCCCGTGGCTGCTGTGCGCCACAAACGGGGGCTGACAACAAAGAAGTGTGTTGCCTCGCAGTTCTGGAGGCCAGAAGCCTGAGGCGAGGTGTTGGGGGGCCGTGCTCTCTCTGAAACTATTAGGGAGCATCCCTCCTCACCTAGTCCAGCTCCCGGCAACCCTTGCCTGGCTTACAGCCGGGCCCCCGCACCCCCCGCCTCTGTTGGCACTCCAAACCGTCTCCGCTGCCTTCCCTCTCGGTCTGTCTTTCTCTTACAAGGACGCCAGTCGTGTGGGTCCAGAGAGCATCCCACACCGCCATGACCTTGTCTTCACTCACAACGTCCAGACGACAACGCTGCTTCCAGGTAAGGCCTGAGGCTCTGGGCCTTTAGAGCTTCGACAGATCTCCGTGGTGAGGGCCGGGGCGGAGGGAGAATTTAATTCACACCATAGTGAGCCCTTAATTCACAGTTTCTTTCCATCTCCATCTCTCACTGGTCAAAGTGCCCCCCCCCGCATCCGACCCCCACCCAGGGATGGGAGCTCCCTTACACGTATTTTTTTTTTAATAGAGGCATGTTTTATTTATTTATTTGTTTGTTTGTTTGTTTATACATGCACTGGGTACAGTCAGAAGCGCGGGAGGGTGAGAGAATTCACCAGAGCCAGAGCGGGGAGCAGAGCAGGCAGAAGGACCAGAGTACACTGCTGAGGGGAGCAGCGGGAGGCAGGAGAGGTCTGCGCGCCATGTGGGACCCTCCTCCGGTGGCCGGGGAGCAGCCGGGGATCGAACCGGTGCCGCAGAGGCCGCGGGCAGCTTCGCAACCCAGCGCTCAACCGCTGCGCCACCGGGGAGGCCCTACACATATTTTTTAAAGGTTCATTTATGCATGCAAGAGCTGGGGTGTAGGCCAGAGGTGCGGGAGGTGAAGGATTCCCCAGAGACAGAGTGGGGAGCATAACAGCTGGATCTAATGAGACATGTTGCTGAGGGGAGCAGCAGGGAGACAGGAGAGGTTCTGCTCCCTGGTCGGGGATCGAACTCGTGTTGCAGTGGCTGGCGATAGCTTGATAGCGCGAGACTTAACCCCGGCGCCCCCAGGGAGGCCCAAAAGGAAGTCATCTTGTGCCCCTCTGGGTTCTTCCAGGTTGGCAAATAACCAAGCCAACATCAGACAGACGGACAAGAGAAAGAGGCAGAGCAGTGTGGTGACAGCAAGTGTTCTAATGTCCGTGAGACCAGCCACGGCCGAGTAACTCACCTTCATGGCTTCAGACACCGCCCCCATAGCCCAGCTGAGACAGAGGGGCTTTGCGCTGGGGAGGAAGGGGCGGTGGGTGCGGGAGGTGACCAGGGAAAGGCACAGTAGACAAAAGGATGCAGATTTAAGCTCTGCC